GATGAAGGCCTGTGTGCCGGGCAGCCCCTCCGCCGAGCCCGGCCAGACCTACCTGCGCTCCCTGGAGGAGTCCGAGTGGCTGATCCAGGTCAGTGGCCAGCGGGACGCTCGAGGGAGGAGGCTCTTCTCTCGGCTGTAGTTGCCTCCGGCCTCCTGGTCCCAAAGGTCAAGGCAGAGGAGGACTTGGGGTGGGGGGAGGCCTTTGAGATTCACCAGGTAAGGAACAAAGTCCTCGCTGCTCGTCCATCCGTTTCTGAGGTCAGCAAAGATTTGGCAGGCAGAAACTCCGCGTTCTGGTCGCCAGGCCCTGGAGCTGCAGGTAGGCCCTGGCTGCCGAGTCTCGTTTCCGTCACAGGAACCACGTTGTCCATCCGCAGCCCAGGAGCCCCTCGCCTTAACCAGGCAGGCAGGGGGCAGTTTCCGGGTTTCCTGTGAGTCAGAACTGGAGTAGCTTAGCAAGCTCCGGAGTTTAGTAAAATTGTTAAAAGAGCAGCAAATTAAAAAGACCCCCCCCCCAAAGGTCAAGGTATATGGAAGGTATATATTTCCCAGCGGAGTGGTGGTGAGGCTGGGTGTTGCACAAGCAGAAAGCGGAGTGTGGCGTTTCAGCCTGCAGCTGCCAGGAAGGCTCTGGGGGTTTCTGAGGTGGGTCTGCAGGAGCTTCTGCAAGAGGTTTGTCCCACTGAAGGTCAGGGGGAGGTTGGCACTTGCTGCGCACCTTTGAAGGTTTGCTCCAGGTGCGCTGCCTCCGCCCGCCACATTCTGGGACCCTGCTTTCCTCCCCAGATTCACAAGATTCTGCAGATCTCTGTGCTGGTGGTGGAGCTGCTGGACACGGGCTCCTCTGTGCTGGTCAGCCTGGAGGACGGCTGGGACATCACCACCCAGGTCAGCCTCCTTCCCTCTCCCCCCCCCCAGCACTTGCCCTGGAGGCCGGCCGTGACCCCCCCCTCTGCCCCCCAGGTGGTGTCTCTGGTGCAGCTCCTGTCCGACCCCTATTACCGCACCATGGAGGGCTTCCGGCTGCTGGTGGAGAAGGAGTGGCTCTCCTTTGGGCACCGCTTCAGCCACCGAGGGGCACAGACCTTGGCCAGCCAGAGCAGCGGCTTCACGCCCATCTTCCTCCAGTTCCTGGACTGTGTGCATCAGGTGAGGAGAGCAGCCAAGCCCCTGGGGGAGGAGGGCCGCCCCAGCCCTCTTTGTCCCTGGGGGGAGGTGTGCTGGTCACCCCCCAGAAATGCTTCCAAGGGGGAGACCCCTGGGAGGAGGGGCCCTGTGGCCTCTTCCTGCCCCCCCCACTCTCCTGCTGCCTCTCCCCCCACAGATCCACCTGCAGTTCCCCATGGAGTTTGAGTTCAGCCAGTACTACCTGAAGTTCCTCAGCTACCACTCGGTCTCCAGCCGCTTCCGCACTTTCCTGCTGGACTCCGACTACGAGCGGCTGGAGCTGGGTAAGGAGCCCCTGGGGCCTGGGGAGGGGGGGCCCTTGTGGCCCCTGGGACAGTGGCAGGAGCCAAAGGCTGTGCTTCCTTGGCAGGGCTGCTGTACGAAGAGAAAGGGGAGCGCAAGGGGCCCCAGCTCTTTCGCTCCATTTGGGACTACCTGGATCGGCTGAACAAGAAGACGCCAGCCTTCTTCAACTACATGTATGCCCCGGAGGACGGGGAGGTGAGCAGCCATGGGTCGGGGGCAGCGGGGCCCGGCTGGGGGGTGCTGGGGCCCACCAGCCGCCCCATCAAAGGCTTCCCTGCTGGGGGTCTGGCCTTGGGTGCCGCTGGCAGGTGCCAAGCGTGGCCTTTGGGGCAGTGACTCCTCGGCTCTTTCCTTCCGTTAGGTTTTGCGCCCGTACAGCAACGTCTCGAATCTGAAGGTGTGGGACTACTACACGCAGGAGACCCTGTCGGAAGGACCCTCCTACGACTGGGAGCTGGTGCAGAGCCAGACGGACCCTGTGGAAGAGGCCGCCCAGCCAGACACCAGCGCCCCACAGAGCCGGCGCAAGATCGTCTGGCCCTGCTATGACAACCGCAGCCGCACTGAGCCAGACGCCATCTCCCGGCTGCTGGAGGTCAGTGGGGGCCTTGGGCGAGAAGCAGAGTCGGCAGCCGTGGGCGGGGGGTGCAGTTAGGACAAGGGCAACTGGGCCTGCTTTGGTTCTGGAGTCTTCCCCTTCTTGGTCCTTCACAGCCAGCGCCGTTTCTTGGCCAAAGCTGGGAGTCACTGTGGGAATCTTGTTTTCTTCAAGGCAGGTTTCCTGCCTGTATGGCTGTAGAGGTGAACTTGAGAGCATGCAGCTGCCGTCCATTTTCCCCTGCTGCTCTTGATGCCGCAGGAACCCCTTTTACCTTGGCCCCCCAACTGCCCCTTCTCTGTCTCTCGCAGGAGCTGCAGAACCTGGAGATGGAGCTGGGGCAGGTCCCTGAGCGCTGGAAGGACCTCTGGGACAAAGCAAAGGCCTCTCAGCGGTCGGAGGTGCCGGCGGACCCCAGCGGCCGAGTAAGGGCTCTGGGCTGGGGGGCTGAGGGGCTGAGGGGCTGGGGATCTTTGCCCACCCTGCGCAGAGCCCTCCTCTGACGGAAGGTGCTTCCTTTGCCCCCAGGTGGCGGCTGGCTCCTTGCTGATGGCCTCCAGCCTGTCGCACCAGCGGCGCTCCTTCGGAGTCTACCTGCAGGAGAGCGGCCGCGGCAGCTCCACCATCAACCTGAGCCTGGACAGCGACAGCAGCAGCGCCTCCACCCCCTCCAGCGGGAAGCAGGGGGGCCGCAGGAGCACCAGCACCCTCTACAGCCAGTTCCAGACGGCGGAGAGCGAGAATCGGTGCGGGAGCTGGCCCTTGGGGGGCTGGCAGAGGGAGGCAGGGGGTCTTGGTCTTTGCTTGCCCCTCTTCCCCCGCTGACCCCTCTGCCCTCCGCAGGTCCTACGAGGGGACACTGTACAAGAAAGGAGCCTTCATGAAGCCCTGGAAGCCTCGCTGGTTTGTGCTGGATAAAACCAAGCACCAGGTGGGTGGCTGCAGGCGGGCGAGGGGCATGGGGAGGGGGCCTTCTCCTGGGGGGCTCTGACCTTCAGCCCTCCTTCCTTGCAGCTGCGCTATTACGACAGCCGCCTGGACCTGGAGTGCAAAGGCGTCATTGACCTGGCGGAGGTGGAGTCGATCACACCAGGCACCCCCACCATGGGGGCCCCCAAGATGGTGGAGGAGAAGGCTTTCTTTGACGTGAGTGGCTTCTCCCCATGGCTGCCCAAGGGGGGGGGAGTCGTTTTGGCCCCTTCCTCCCACAGGGAGGGAGGAAGGCTGGCTGGTGTTCCAGAGGCAGACCTTTGCGCTCCCCCTTCTCCCCTCGCAGGTGAAGACCACGAAGCGTGTTTACTATTTCTGCGCCCAGGATGTGCAGCTGGCCCAGCAGTGGATCGACCGCATCCAGAGCTGCTTGTCTGATGCCTGAGGCTGCCCTGAGGCTGCAAGTGAAGCCGGCGCCAGGGCTGGACCAGGACGGGGCAGGACTGGAAGAGGTGCTGTGGGGCGCAGAGTAGAGGCCCCCTTGGGACCCCCATCCGACGGCTTGGCAGGGGAGTTGGGGTCTGCCTGCTCCCTTTGCCGAAGAGATGCATTGGCAGGTCAGGTTGGGGGGAGTGACATGGTCAGCAGGGCCCCCCAAGCAGATGGGTCTGGCCACTGTCAGTTTTCCCCCATCAGCATCCACAGGCAGTGGCAGATGTGCCAAACCGCCTTGCTTCCACCCCCCTAGCCCCACACCGGCTGCCCAGGGGTGCCCCCTGCCAGGGAAGGCAGCGGTGGGGAGATTGGCAACCTGCCGGAGCAGCGGAAGGGAGCAGAAACAGTGTTAGGGCCTCCAGCGCCCCTGTCCCGGCTTGGAGGTTTGGAGCCCCTGGGACTTTGGGGCAGAGGGGTGGGGTAGGGATTCTGACCCTCCTTGCCTCCCCTTGCAAACCACAAGCTCCCCTGGTACTGCTGAGGCTGCAGTTAGAAAGGGACTCTGTCCTGGGGAGAAGTGCCAGGCGAAGAAGGGGGTTGGCCAGGCTCCCCCCCCGGGGGGGAGGGCGAGTGTCTTGCTGCACTCCCAGCTCTTGGTTCCCTCTGTGGCATCCTTGCAGCGGGTTGTGAGTCTGGCTGCTGGGGGCACCTCAGCACCTGCAACTGCCCCTCCAATTGTGTGTCCTGCACTGACCCCCCCCCCCCAAAGCAGATCATGCAGCCTGCTTTCCTGCCAGAGCAGGCAGGGCCTCCTTCCCCTGGAGCTCCAGTTTGGCCTGGCAGCCCCCGTCCCCCACATTTTCAAAGGCAAAGGGGCGCCCTTTCCTGTCCCCGAAGCGTTGTACATAGTCTGGAGCCCCAGCTGCCCCTTTGCCTTCCCCCCTTTTTTATTTGTACAATAAAGGCTGTGGCTGGTGTGCATCGGAGGGTTTTGTAAGTTCTTTGAGCAGTTGTAGATTACTGAAGTTTCTGTACATTGTGTCAAACCTGCAGAGTTCTTGTATTGTATTGTGCCTAGAGGAAAAAATATATGGAGAGAAAAAAAACTAATGGAATTTAATAATAAAAAAGAAATACACAACATGTTGATTGTTGTGAGTCTCACGCAGCACTTGAAGCAGGAGGCTTGTCCTGGCAGAGGAAAGCCAGCCGAGTGGGGGGACTGGTTGCCTTCAGGGCGGCATCAACGCTCCTTGGCAGGGCGGGGGGCTGCCTGCTATCCTGAAAGAAGCTAGAGCTTCTCCTTAAGCTGCCAAGCCTGACAACACTCCATGTTTGGATTAAGGCGGTGGAGCAACTTCAGTCGTTTCTGGAGCAGACGGATTATCTTGACTCATTTCCATCTGGTGTCAGGGCTGGTTTGGGAACTGAGTTGGCCAGCATTGCCTGATGGAGGACCTTTAGCAGGAAAGAGGCGCCAGGGCCACCCTGCCTCACCTGCTCTCCCTCTCGGAGGATTTCAAAGGGAACATCTCACCTAAATGAAGCTGTAAGGCGTGGGGGGGGGGGAGGGGTCCTCAGTGTGCTGGTGCTGCCCAGCTCTGTTTCCCCATTACATCTGATTTAGTAAAGGCTGGGAAAGACCAGGACCAGTTCCTGGATACACAGTTGAACTGGATGAGAGCCGGTCAGCTGAGACTGAAGCCTTGGCGAACAGAGGCTTGTGGGACTGTGGTTGGGGGGTGCTTGGATGCGGGAGACAGGCCAGTTGGCTGCCTTGAAGGAGCAGCTATGTCCTTGACTCATTGTCATGGGAGACTTAGGTGGCCTCTATGGCAAGGTGTGCTTTTTATCAGCCATTCCTTAATAACAGTTGACCACTATAGTTCATGTGCTGGCAACCTCAGGACTGGATTACTGCTGCATGCTCTGCCCTTGGCCCTGACCCAGATGCTTCAGCTGGTGCAGAATGCTGTGGCTGCTCAGTGATGAGAACGCCAGCAACCTGAGACCGGCACTGGCTTCCCATCTGCTAGCGGGTCACGTTCTTGCACACTTAGTGTCCAAAGCCCTGAATAACATAGACCAGGGTGGTCCAACTTCTCAGACCAAGTGGACTGCAAGGGTACCTGGACACTGACCCCATAGGCCACATGATGGAATTAAATTTCCATATTGTCATATCATAAATTAAAAGTGTTTGCAATATAGTTAAACTGCACAAATAATATATTTAATTGAATCTATACAAGTAAATATACAATTAATAGATTTAAAATATGTATTAAACAAAATTTAATATACAAACATATGTTTGCACTTTTGTTAACGCAGCCACTGAGTCCTTGTCAGGATAAAAACATAGGGTATACATAAGTTCTTCCTGTTGTTTTAGCCAGAATCTCCTTTCTTGTCACCTGAATCCTTGGTTTCTGATCTTCCCTCTGGCGCTTCCTCCATCTTCCATTGACTCCTCCCACGAATATGGAGATAGCTCTCATCTCTTGGTCTCTTCAGGCTAAACATGTGACTCAGTATTGTCCACTCTGCCTGGCAGTGGCTGGGGGAGGGGGGTCTTTCCATTGCTGGCTTCCCACCCTCCCCTTTCAGCCGAAGAGGCTCCTGGGGACTGAGCTGGGGGAACCCTCTGTGTGCAAAGGAGGGGTACCACCTTATGGCGCCCCTCCACCTGGAACTGAGCCCGATTCAGCAGCATCTGGTGATGTGGGTGCTCAGGCACTGAGCCTTCTGTGAGAAAAGGTGGGTGTCCTGGGTGGGATTTGTGAGATGCTGGAGTGGACGTGACTCACATTTGAACACAAACATCCAATCACAATTCCTGCGTCTCTCCAGCAGCTCCATTCACAGATGCAGCAGAAAAAGGAAGGCAGAAAAAGAAGCAAGTGCCTAAAGGAAGTTTTTTTGGGGTTGGGAGAGACGCCTGGCTCAAGCCCGGCTGGGCAGGTGCCCCTCATTTCCCTTAGTGCCTCCAGCCATGGCCCCTTCTGAGTCTGGAGGCAGACATGGCTGAGGAGGAGGGGAGGCTGCTGCGCATGTTTCACAGGTGTGCTATCATAAGCACAGCACCCCATAAAGGCATCCATAGCTCTCTGCAAAGGACCCTTTCAAGAGACTCGCATTCTGCAAATGCCAGAGTCAAGCTGTCAAAAGCTCTGCTGTCAAAGCAGTTGCGCCACAGTCCCTCCAGTGGCCAGAGAGCGCAAAGCAGGCAAATGCACTAGTTTCTGAATGAAGCTGTCAATGGTCAAAATGTAGCAACTTACACAGCAGGCTATGGAGACTTCCTCTAACGCCCAGAAGTGATAAATTAACTCTGCTTTCTCAAGAAAATTGTATATTTATAAATAAAATACTCTATAAAATAGTTTTTGAATGCTTTATTGTGATTACAATAATCACCCATATCCATTGGTATTCTGGGAAACTTTGTTGGCATGTCTTGGGAAAACAGAGGAATGCACCTTTGGGAGTGAAGTCAAATTGTTGGGAGGTTGCAGCACCTGCTGTGGCTGTAGAGACTGATGTGCGAGAGGCTGGTTTAGTTGCAGCTGGGGCAGAGGAAGGCCCCCGCACCATGGCCCAGGGGTCATCCATCCTCCAGTACCTGCCTGCCTGTCTCCAGGCACTGTGCCCTCCTGCGTTTGCAGAAATCTTTTTGTTGCAGAGTTGGCCTGCTAATGGGGCTGGTGCTGGAAGGCAGCTCCCCATAGAGCATGTCCTTGGGGATCCTGCTATCCTCCATTCTGTGGGCATGATCAAGCCAGCATAGATGATGTGCTCCTCCAGGGTAGTTTGTCTACCAATGCCCCCCCCCCCCCCCGCTTGCGCTCAGCTCATCTGTGGCTCCAAGAAGCTGTCAGCATGCAACAGCAGCCAAATGTCAGGAACGGCTGAAAACCATGGCTACCATATCCCTGGAGCATGATGCCACATAGGCAATAATCCGTCCAGGTAAGTGTTCAGGCAGGGTTTCTCTAAAACAATGGGTCTCAGTAAGCGTGATTGATAAGCTTATCTTGTTACGTTGGCCCAGATGGTCCAATGAATAGAATGTGTTAAATCTGTTAATCACTGGAAGTGCCATTTTGCCAAATTTATTTAATTTATATACCGCTCTATACCCACAGGTCTCAGGGCGGTTCACAAGATAAAATCACAATATAAAAACACAAAATACATAAAATATAAACAGAAACAGCCAAATACCCCCCCTCTCCAAAAATAAAACACATAAAAACAGTTAATAACAAAACAAAAAGCATTAAAAGCAGTTTGAAAGAATGTAAACAGTATTCTCTGCTGGGCAATAGCAGTCCTTTTGTAGTCTGCTAGGCCCTGTCCTAGGTCTGGGGGGAGGCAGGAGCAGGACCCTCAGACTCCCAGCAGGTGATCAAAATCTTGTTCAAAATGTGTGAGGCCTGTTTTTCACAGGATGCCTCGATTGATAAAATGTTGCTTAAGCTATCACTCCCCCTAGTTTTGTGGTGCATCATTGATGTTTGTATACGTTCTACTGACATTTGTGGAGTGTGATTTATTACTGCTGCACAGGAAAACCTAAAAAAGCAGAACACTTTTTGTTGGGGGGGAGTGTTTCTCCTTTCTTTGCTTAAAAAATGATCAGAGACGTAAGAACCTTCCTTGTCTTTTTATATGCCCGATTGCCTTTTCTTTTCCACTCTGACGGGGGAACCTAGAAGGCAAGGGCCAGTTACTAAAGCAACCCGCTATTTTTGTGTCTCAGATGGGGCTTGGGGCCCTTGTGGCTCCTGGAAAGAGACCAGCACTAGGACACCTCGCCATGGTGCCCCCCTTTGGGGAGAAAGCCCAGCTGCCGCACTCCGCTTTGCCCCCAGAGCTTGGGGGGGGGGGGAAAGGGAGACAAGCCTTCCTTGTCGGCTGCTTCCCTGGCCCAGGATGGCCCACGTCAGGCAGCCCAAGGGGCCCTCATGGGGTCATCTAGGGCACCTTGTCCACCCTTCCTGTCCCTGTCCTGTTGCAAAAACTGCCTGGCTGGAGAAGACGCAGTGCTTGCAGCTTGCCCGGCTCCTCGCCCCCCACCTCCCTTGACCCCAAACGGCTGGAGGGTCTAGGGAGGTCCCAGCGGCATGCTGGGGCGGCTCCAGGGCCAAGAGCGCAGCCTTGACTGGCCCCAGAACACCAGCAGCTGCAAATTGCCCAGCTGGCTTGACTGTCATGGTTAAGCCTTCCTTTGTAAAGCGCTGAACTTAGCACAGGATAATAACAACATTTGTACCCAGTCACTCTGGGCAGCTTCCAACACAATGAGACATTAAAAACTTCCCCACATAGGGCTGCCTTCAGCTGTCTTTTACAAGTTGTAGAATTGTTTCTTTCCCCAACATCTGACCGAAGGGTGTTCCACAGGGCAGCTGCCACTATCAAGGCGGCCTTCCCAAAAATTGCCTGTGTTTTATATATTTGTATGCCACTTCCAGACTTTGGGACAAGCGGCCGCCTTCATCTGCCCCAGCTGCAACTAAACATCTCTCCCAAGTCGGTCTCTCCAGCCACAGCAGGTGCTGCTATCCTCCAAGTTTGACTTCACCTCCAAAGGCCCTCCTCCATTGTCTCCTGAGACAGACGCCAACTTTCAGACCTACATGGTAAAAAACGGGCTTATACTTCAAAAACAAAACACACAAATACTCTCTCCTGCCTTCCACCAAGGCGTCTCAGAGACTCACAGCCAACCTGCGGGATTCTGCTTTCCAGGGAGGCCTCAGGCAACTGCTGCCTCTCAAGACCAAAGGGCAGGACATTGCGGTAAAGGCTGTTCCTGACAAAAAAAAGGGGACAGCCACATGGTCTCCCTAGCTTCTGATACAAATAATTTTCAAATTGTTTTAAATTTGAAAGTGATACTTACTCCTCAAAAAAATCCTTTCTGCATCCTCATGGGAGCTTTTCTGCTGGGCTGGAGGCTTCCTCTCAGAAAACTTTCCCCTGCCTGAGTGGACATGGGGGAGCAGCCTTCTTTACCCTCCAACCACGGGGCACCAAACACTGAGGAAGCCAGCTGGTGAAGTGGCACACAGGGGGGAGCGGCATTTGGGGACAACGCTGGGGGTGTGTGTGGGGGGGAATGGCAAAGCAAGCCCTGGGAGTGTGACCTTGGATGGAGAAGAGGGGGAGCCTGAGGCTGGCATGTGGGTCGGCTGTTTTCCATGAAATGTTCATTCTGCTTCTGTTTCCACTTTCCAAGTGGGGACTAAATCCACAAGGGAGGGAGGGGGCGGCACAGGTTTCCCTGAGGGGCTGCAATGCCCCCATCCCCTCTTCCAGCAGAGGCGCAAGATGGACCAAGCAGCTCCGGCTGAGCCGGGGTGAAAGACCCTCCAGAGACCCCGTCCTGGCTGAGCCGCTGCAGCCAAGGCAGGCAGACCCCAAAGCTTGAACTGGCGGAACAATAAACAGGACAGCGAAGAAAGAAGACTTCAGGCAGAAGACATTTCATTTCGTTTTATAGACCGCTTTTGTAAAAAGTTGCAACAGATCCTGTCGTAATAGCTCCAGCTGCAAATCTGTGGATTAGGACTTTGAAAAGGTGGGTTTAAATTTGGCAGTTGAGGAAGTGGCCCTGGCTACAGGGAGGAGGTGGGTTGTCTCGCTCAGCAGCTGTGAGTCTAAGCTCTCCCCCCTTAGCAGTGCTTCCGCTGCTGTGGCAGCCCAGGCCTAGTCGCCCCCTGTCCAGACCTCCAGGCAGAGCTGGGCTGCCCATCGCTCGCCTTGCAAGGCGGGCTGGCTCCTCCCAGCCTGACTCTCTGTGCCCTTGAAGACAACGAGCCCACCCTCCAGAGCAGGGCTGTGGGTAAAGGGAGGTCACAGAGTGGAAGTAAACACAGAATGGAAGTTCTTGGAGAAGCCACAGGGAGCTCAAGAGAGCAGATGGGCAGGGAAGGCAGAACAAACACCAACAGGATTTCCTGCCCCGGAGAAAAGGTCTCGGAGCAAGACCCTTCTGCTGCCACCAGGCAGTTGGGCTCGGAGATGCCGTCAATCCTCAGGGGGGAAGTCTGACCTTCTGGGGGTTCACGGCAAGGCAGTTCATGCGTAGGGAAAACAGCAGAAGTCCCCCCCAGCTGTCCTTCCTTGGAGGTTTGAAAGCAGAGTTTGGGTGGCCGCCTGTCAGGTGCTCTAGCTGTGATTCCTGCATTTGGGGGGGGGGGTGGACTAGATGAGCGTTGGGTCCCTTCCAACTCAGGAAGCTGTCAAGCTACCAGGCAACTGCTTGTTGCTGCAACTGCAAACTTATGTCAAGTCCAGAACTTAAGATGAGGGAGATTCCTGCTGCCACCAAGCCGACCACTGATAATGGGTGTGTCTTGGTCTGGCTCTCTGCTCATGCTCTGAAGACACGAGTGTCTCTTTCTTACTGCCTCTGCCCACCTCCTTCTCCAGCTTCAATCCCCCATGTGAGTTTCTGCTCAAAGGACATTTGGAACATGCTGGACGCCACAACTATTCAGTGCTGGGCAAAAGGCATGTGACTCTTCACAGCCCTGGCCTTGCTGGGCGAGGGGGGGCACTATTAATGGAGGAAGAAAATGGGCTGCGCTCAGGGGCCAGCCGGCTGGCTGCAGGCCAGGAGCAAGCTCCTCTCAGGCCAGCGTGGCCCCTGCCACTGGGTTTCGGCACGCTCTACATCCCCCCCACATCCCCTGGCTGCGCAGGTGCTGAGGGATGCCTTGTTCTGTGAGCCCTACAGGCGCATCTCAATGGGGAGAGCAAGGCCCAGGGACCAGCCTTGACCTCTGGCCTTGTTGCTCTCAAATCAACCGCCAGGCAAAGCTACTAGAATTAGGCTGGGTGCTGCCACCAGGACTGCACCAGCACCCCAGGGCTCAAACGCCCCATCCCTTGCTGGCAGAGGGTGCTTTGGGCAGGAGGCCCTTGGACTGGCAAGGGAGACCCCTTTCCAAAGTCTCCCTCGCAGGGAAAACTTTGTTCAGCTTGACTTTTCAGCCCCAAACCCGGCACACGAGAGCAGCACTCTAGGGCAGGATGGTCCAAGGCATGCGGCCCTCAAGGCCTTTTTTGGTGGCCCTCATGCTCCTTCCCAAAGCCAGGTGAGGTGATAGGCTTTGGGAAAGAAGCATGGGGCTCTGACAGGGTCCTAGAGTCCTCTCCCTCCTTCCCAAAGCCTCCTTAGTGCGTTCTCCGCTTTGGGAGGGAGGGGGGAGCGCTCTAGGACCTGCCAGAGCCTCATGCCTCCTCCCCAAAGCCTGTTGCCTGGCTTAGCTGGATTTGGGAAGGCAGCAAAAGTGATGGGGGCCCCCTCAACTTTTGGCCTCACTTCCCCCCACCCCAAGCGACAAGGCAGTGTGTGGCCCACAGGTTCCACGCTGAAGTACTCTTGTGGCCGCCTGGATCTAGGGGGAGGGGGGCAGAACCCAATCCTGTCCCTCCCCATAGTCCTCATTCCACAAGGAAGGGGGGCAGCAGCAAAAAGGAAAGCAACCCGAGAGCAAAGGAGGATGGGGGGGGGGCGTCAGTCCCCAGACTCCAGAGAAGCTGCACCCACTAACAGGCTGGAATAATGGCCTCCAGTCACGTCTTCTGAGCCGCCCCCCCCCCCCGTGGATGTCCTTCCTGCAAACTGCAGGCAGGGAGTATGCGCTGGGCCACAGCCGACCCCCTGGATGACCACTGGCCATGCTGACTCCTGGAGGGGTGCCAGACCCCCCCCACTCTCCTCTTTGGGGCCTCTCTCTAAAGGCAGCAGCAGGAGCAGCAAAGCCACAGAGGCCTCTTGCTCCACTGGGCTTGGCCACAGCTGCTAGACGGAATCGCCTCCCTATTCAGGGGCAGCCCCTCCCCAAAAAGACTCGGTTTGGGGGCCCATTTACAATACCTCTTCCTCAATCCTTTTTGAGAGGAGGAGACCAGGACACCTCCCAGGATTTCCAATGTAGCCACAGCCTGGTTTTCAGAGAAAGGGAATCCAACTGCATTTGATTGATCCCTGACCCCCAGATGAAAGGCTGAGCTACATGGGGAGGGGGGGTGCCCCCTCCCACAACTCTTTCCCCCCAGGAGATGATGGCAAGGGGCCCTGACGTCACAGAAGCCCAAATTAGAGCGGCTGAAGAAGCAGGAGGAAGCTCCCCTGGGCCTCAGTAGAAATATTTAACAATGTGCAGAATAAGGGAGCATCACAGTCCAACATTTTACGGAGAGTATTTCAAAAAGCAAATTGTTGGTGGTTTCTTGTTTTTTTGAGGGGAGAGACCCACCCGAACGACGGCAGAGGCAGACCTTTAAATCAGCCTAGAAGCTGCTTTTGTCAGTCCCAGGGTCTCCCCAGTGCCTGATTTTCCAGCTCAGCTGTTGCTGGCAACCAGCAAGCGGCCAGTGAAGATATACGGAGAGTGGCTGCCCCCCCCCAGCTGCCCCCTGGCTGAAGGCGGTTCCTAAGTCCCCTCCCAGGGCACAGGGCAGGCGCCAGCTTCTGCCACGGCTGGGAGGAGGAAGGACCCCCCCCCCCCCCGGCAAGAGCAGCCATTGGGCCAAGCCTCTCCCTCCCCTCAGCAGCAACAGGAGCCCAGCCGGAGGGGAGCCGCCGCCTCCACCCTCCCAGGCTGGCAAGATTCAAAGTGCAAAGTGTTGCAATTCCTGCATCCATTAAGAACATTACAAAACAAAACCAAGTCAGAGCGGAGCCCATCTGGGGAAACCGACCCGCTTCCAGGAGCCTGTCTAACCCTCCGGAGATGCCCGGCCCCAGTTCCTTCTGTGGGGAGGCTGCTCCCTCCCCCGGAGCCCAGCGCCAGCGGCCCCAATCCCAGGGGCTGGTGTGGCGCCTCCGGAAGGAGAGCGGACAAGGCCGAGCAGAGGTTCCCAGGGCCTCCTTCCCTGAAACAGTAAGAAAAACAGTGTGGCAAGACGACGCTGCCTTCCGGCCGCTGCCTCCGGGACCCTCCTGCCTCCTCTCGCCAGCCAGCGCTTCCGGTAAGGCATTATTGCTATACAAAAGGCTGTCCCAGGCCGTCCAGCGCCAGCCCTGCCAGGCCCAGGGCCGAGTCCGCGGAGCAGCGTTTGCCCTCCAGAAGAGAAGCTGGATCCTGGAAGCAAGAAGACAAGGGGGGCAGGACGCCCTCCCCAGAGAGTGCGCCAGGGGTGCTGCGGGGCAGGAGGAGGCGGCCCCGGCCAGCGCTACATGTCATCCGCCCAGGGAGGGCCTCCTCTCGGAACAGGGTGGCCCCCCCGACGCGGCACCTCGGCTCTCCAGCGCCAGTCCTCTCGACAACGCAGCATTTGTGATTCAAAATTAAGTTAGGTTGTCCGAAGGAGGGCCAGCTGCATCCCCACCGTCTGGGCCCAGGCAGTCTGTCAGGCCGGACCGTTCAAGGTGGGCTCTCCTCCCGGCAGCGGCTCCTCTTTCCTGCAGAGAGGGAGAGAGGGGGAGGCGTGAGGGGCTGGCCGCCTGGGCCAGGAGAAGCTTCGCCAAAGGATACCCACGGCACGCACTCTGCCCTGGAGGGGCTGGCTGCATTGGGCACCTGCCAGGGAGGTGGGGGCCCAGGGCCAGGGGGGGCAGCCTGCCTCAGCAGGGACTCAAGCCAGCCCCCCTACATCTGCCCGGCCAGAGCACCTTGTGGGGGAGCCTTGGGGGGGGGGAAAGCAGCTTCTCCCCACCTAAACATTAGGAAGAACTTCCTGACAGTAAGAGCTGTTCGACAGTGGAATTTGCTGCCAAGGAGTGTGGTGGAGTCTCCTTCTTTGGAGGTCTTTAAGCAGAGGCTTGACAACCATATGTCAGGAGTGCTCTGATGGTGTTTCCTGCTTGGCAGGGGGTTGGACTCGATGGCCCTTGGGGTCTCTTCCAACTCTAGGATTCTATGATTCTATGAATCATCTGATTGTAGAATTGGAAGGGGCCCCTGAGGGTCATCCACTCCACCCCCTGCCCCACTGTGGGGGCAGCAGCAGTGGGGCATTTTGCTGAAAGGCCTTAAAGCTGCCCCTGGACGCCAGAGAGCCCTGCTTGCCCTGGTGAAAGCAAGCTGGCAGAGGCCACCAGGCAGCCGCCCAGCAGACGGGCTCCAAAGGGGGCACCTTCTGCTGCTGCCCCATCCTGTGAGGCACCCTCCTTCCCTTTGCCCTCAGTGGCTTCTGCCCAGGCTTCCATCAGGCTAAAGCCTGCCTGGATCCTCTGATTTTCTGTTACTTGCTTTTATATTCCTTAAGGTTTTTTCATATTGCTGCTTTACTGTTTTTAGGGTTTTTTGGTTTTGTTTTAAGAATTGTTTTTGTTCTTTAAGAGATTTTTGAGATAATAAGTAGTTTATAAATGTTTCTCCAGCATTGCAAGGGGTTAGACTACATGGCCTCTTGGGCCCCGTCCAACTCTACGACACTCTGACCCGGCGGCATAAAGGACAGTAATAAGCCAGAGCAGCTCCCCTCTTTGCCAGGCAAGACGCTCTTCCGGGTCAGCGCCATCGTTAATGGCGGATTCCCTCTGATTCTCGGAGGGACTAGCTCCGCGGGATCGGGTCTTACTGCTGCGGCAAAGCGGGGACCCTTTAAAAATCACAGGCAGGGGAAGCCTGTGAACGTGGGGACTCGGCAGGCACCATTTGCGCCCCCCCAAGTTGCGAAGGGACCCTTTTAAGGGCTCCGGAGCGGGACGGGGTGAGCGGCGCGGTGCTGAGAGTCGACTGCTTCTTCCGCGGAGTGAAGCCGCACAGCCGTTATCGGAGAGCACTGACATTTTCCTGGGATAATTGGATTTTGAAAGCAACTACCCGTGAGTAGGATTAAATTGGATTTAAAAGGAGAAAAAACAGCTAATTCGGCACCGAAGCGGAAAGGTATAACCAGGAAGTCTGCCTTCCTTTCTTGTAAATAGATCAAAGCAAAGAGACTGTAAAGCGGAAACATAGAAAGACGTTCGGAAAAAAGACTTAAATCTTAACATCTGGAAAGTGGGCTCCCCTCCGGATTGCAGGAGAGGAGGGGGGAAGGTTTGAGTTGTTTTTACCTGCAAAAAAAAGGGGGGAAAGGAAGCTAAAATCTGCCGCTTAAAACCTGGGAACGGACTGCCCCTAGACAAGGAATGCCGTTCAGTGGAAAGCCTATCGGTAAGCAGAGGATTTTTGACAGCTAACTCTGCAGAAGAGATACAGTGTTTCTGGACTTCTCCTGGCTTTAAAGTAACTGTTCAAGTGCACTGAAACTGTTGTTTTTAAGTGAATTGGGGGACTTATAAAGACCATCTTTGTTCTTAAAAGTTGCAAGCTTTGGCTGTTACTGTGTCCCCATATTTGAGTCTGGTCAGTGTTACAATAACAACTGGGTTAGAGGAAAATTCCATTCCAAAATAAACTTTCAACTGTGGGAACGACCTTGAATTCTCATGAGAGTGTTATGGCAGATGGGAAAGGAAAGATAGAGCTGGCGCAGGAAAAACTACTAGGTCTGGCAGACACTATCGGACAGATACTGCGCAGCAGCGAAGGGCTTCAACATCTGGAGCATCTGGAACATCAGGGGCTGCACCCCCCACAGGTCAAATCAAAAGTTATGTCGTCCGAAGATGTTTTGGCACATGCACTTGGAAAAATTAATGAATCTTTGGAAAATTTAGCTAAGCAGGTAGCTGAGACTAATAAACAAGTAGCTGAAGCATCAGGTAAAATTGATCTGAATACTACAAGTATTAATAATTTGGGACAGAAGGTGAACACCAATACAGAGTCTATTGAAAAATTATTACAGGAATCTGCTTCGACCCGAAAGATAGCCGAAGAAGCAAAAGATATTGCAACTGCTATTCAAGAGAAGATACCACCAGTATATAAGAAATTGGAGGACCACGATTTGACATTGTCTATGATTGAATTGAAAGAGAGACAAAGAAATTTAAGAATCAGGGCCGTACCAGAACGGGAGAAAGATAACCTGGCTGACTTTCTTACACAGGAATTTACAGATTTTTGGCAACAGGACTTGGGGAAGGAAGAATTTAAGATAGTGAATGCATTTAGACTTGGAAGAGGACAAAGCAGGAACAAGGTGAGGAACTGCTTGATTACCCTTCGAACAAAAGAAGAGAGAGACAAAATTTTGAATTTGCACTATCAAAAGACTTTGGAAATTTACGACTCAAGTGTGGTGATATTTAAGGACATTCCAAAACATCTTTTGGACTTAAGGTTTAACTACGGAGACCTAGTTGCCCTGTTGAAAAGAAATAGAATTCTTTTCAGGTGGGAATTTCCTCAAGGCCTATCCTTTAAATATAAAGGAAGAAAGATAAAAATAAGATCAGTTAATGATAAGGACAGGTTCTTGAAAGATCACGACCACAGGTATAAAATTTACGGCAAGTAATGCCCTAAGAGAGAATATTATGAAAATGATATACAGGTGGTACATAACCCCAGTCAAGCTTGCAAAAATCTATCGTTTGCCCGATAATAAATGTTGGAAATGTAAAGAAACTGAAGGTACATTTTTTCACCTTTGGTGGACGTGCCCAAAGATTAAGGCTTTCTGGGAAATGATATATAATGAATTAAAAAAGGTATTCAAATATACCTTCCCCAAGAAACCAGAGGCCTTTCTCCTGGGCATAGTCGGCCAAATGGTGATAAAAAAGGATAGAACTCTCTTTATGTATGCAACAACAGCAGCAAGAATACTCATTGCAAAGTACTGGAAGACACAAGAACTTCCCACGCTGGAGGAATGGCAGATGAAACTGATGGACTATATGGAACTGGCGGAAATGACTGGTAGAATCCGGGACCAGGGAGAAGAGTCGGTGGAGGAAGATTGGAAGAAATTCAAAGATTATTTACAGAAACACTGCAAAATTAAAGAATGTTAGAGTGATGTTGGATTGAAAATAAGTGGTTTCCAGCTGTACAGGATTCAAAGTTATAGATAGACTAAGATTAAGGATTAGGATTAAAGAAGTTTAAGGAAATGGAAATTTGGTTTTAAGAGGTAAAATTTTAATGTTATATTATATTAAGATTAAAGATTGGGATTAAAAAAGAGGGAAAGAAATTGCTGGACAAACAATTTGAACTGGAATACAAAAGAGGGAGGTATGAGGAGGTCCAGAAAATAAGTAAATTTAAAGATGGAAATGAAAAGGTGATATTGTTTTTAACTGTTCTTTTTCTTTTTTGTCTTTTGTTTTTTGTTTTTTTATGTTTTTTGGATTATGTATTGTGCATTTTTGAATTGTGTATTTCTCTTTTATGTTTTTCTGTTTAATCTTTTATTGAAACCCTAATAAATATCATTTTAAAAATATATATATACCTTCTTGAAGAAACCAGAGGCCTTTCTTCTGGGCATTGTCGGCCAATTGGTGCCAAAGAAGGACAGAACTTTTTTTATGTATGCTACAACAGCAGCAAGAATACTCATTGCAAAGTATTGGAAGACACAAGATCTACCCACTTTGGAAGAATGGCAGATGAAGCTGATGGACTATATGGAATTGGCAGAAATGACTGGCAGAATCCGAGACCAGGGAGAAGAGTCGGTGGAAGAAGATTGGAAGAAATTTAAAGACTATTTACAGAAATATTGTAAAATTAATGAATGATAGAATGATGTTGGATAGTAATTAAGCGGTTTCCAGCTGTAATGTTCCAAGAGAATATGAAAAAAGGGTTATAAATGGGTTAAAATCTAATGGTAAGGATTTGCTGAACCAATAAACTGAAGTGGAATACAAAAAAGGGAGGTATGAGGAGGTCCGGGAAACAAGCTAAAGGAAAATAAGTAATAGAAAATATGTGTGCTTTTAACTGTTTTTATTTTGTATTTTTCTTTTTTCTTTTTCATTTTCACTGTACTATTTCAAAAAACCTTAATAAATATCTTATATATATATATAAAAAAAGACGCTCTCTTGGCTCCTGTGACTTGGTCCCTGCAGACACAACACCCCGGGCTGGCAGGCTCCCCGCAGCACCCCCCACCCCCGGCCAGGGAAGACCCAGAGATGGCACAGCGACCAGCACCCTCCCTCACCTGTCTCTCTTGGCCTCTGGGGTGGCGCCAGCAGCAGGGGCAGCAGCAGGGGCAGGAGAACCCGGCAAGAGACCCTCAGGCGGCAGGCTGGCGGTGGCAGTGCTGGGCTGGGGGGGTCCACTCTCCACGGTGCTGGGCGGCTTGTCCGCGACCTGGGAGCTCCCCATGCTGCAGGGAGAGAACGGAAGCTCACATTACACAGCCCCAAGGGGGTCCCTCCTGGGAGGAAGCAGACCCTGACGCTGCACCAGCCGCAAAGGGCCAAAGACCCAGCAACACTGCTCCCCGAGGGGGGAAGAGGCCCAACCGCCTGCCAGAACAGAAGCCCTGAAAGGGGGCCCCCAAATCCCGGTCCCAGGCAGGGTTGGAGTTCCAAACCCATCAGGGCTCCATCAGGTAGAACTGCGCGCGCACACACACACACACACCCCTACTCCCCACAGAAGGCATGTCCAGACCCCACACACAAGCCTGCCCTGGGCTGAAAGGGGGATTTTGAGGGGGCTCAGGGTCTCCACGTGGGGGGGGGGCGGTGCCTGCCCTCCCACAGAAGCCAGAGATGCTCAACACCAGCTGAGGCTCCTCCTGGGGATTGGAAGCAGTGCACTAAGGCAGGATCCCACCCTCTCCTCTGCTCTGGCCCATCCTGATCCCCCTGCCCCCCTTCCTGGCATTTGAACCCCCCCCCCAACCCCCAATCCTCTGACTCTGGGGGGCTCTTCCCACTTTCTGAGCCCCTGGTCAAAACCTTGATGCAAAGCAGCGCTTGGGGCAGCTGCTGCCACCTCAGGGCTGCCCTATCCTGCGCTCGTGAGCCGCTTTGCCCCACCAGCCCCCCAACATGCTCAGCAGCTCTGCCCCCCACTTGCGGACCCCAAGCCAGAAACAATAGGGCAGGACCCCCGGCCGTCAGCACAGCAACCCAACAGCACCATTCTGACGGGATTGCTTCAACCTGCCCTAGTTTAAGGCTGAAGAGAGCAAGGAGGAAAGCTTCGGGGGGGGGGAATAAGTGCCGCCTCTGAAGTGCTGCTATTTTCTAAATGGGGGTCAGGAGCGGATGCCCCCCCACCAGAGCTCCCTGCTTCCTTCACCCAGCACCACACCAGGATTGGCAGCAGCGGAAGCTGCCCCCCCCCAGGCGGGACTGAGAGGGAAGCCCTCAAGCAGGCAGAACCGATTCCCACCCCTCTCCCTGCGTTGCACCCTCACAAGGAGACCTGTGTCGTTCCCCCCCCCAAAAAAAAAGTGCCTGGGCCAGGTCAAAACACAGCAGGGCATACAGGGAGGGGGAGGAGGCTCTCCGCCTGCCAAGCCGTGCCCTATGCAGCTTTCTGCCCGCCTTGCAGCAAGGGAGCCCCTGGCAAGGGGGTCAGCAGGTGACAAGGCGGAAGGCAGGCAGCCTCCTCTTCCTCCTGCTCCTGGGGGGCAGCACCCACCTCCCTGGGAAGCCCCACGGAGGAGGGGGGAGATGGGAGAGGCAGAGGCAGAGGCAGCAGGTGGCCTTGCAAGGAGATGCAGACGGCTCAGATTAATGGGGAGAGAGCGCTATTTCTGTATTTTGTTTGTATCTCACTTTGCTCTAGTTTTCAGAACACCGTCTTGAATGTTGCAGCATTTCTGCCAGGTGGCATTCAACTCAGCTTGGCTCAGAGAAGGCCCACGGAAATCAAGGAACAGAGCCAAGGCAGCTTCACTGATTTCAACAGGTCTTACCTGAATACAGTGCTGGAAACTCAGATGTATAAGCCGGGCGCCAAATGGCTCCTTACACCAGGGTTAGTCGCCAAAATGGGGGGCCTAGTTGTCATGTTTGTACCAGATGCTACAATATGGCTTTTTGGTTCCTGAAATTCATTCTGATTGTGCAGATAAATATAACTGATAGAATTCTACAGGATGAGGTCTTAGTGTGTGAAAACAGTCCAGATCCAGGGATCCCCAGATGGTGGAGACAACAGGAGCCACTCTGGCACCCAGACATCTTCACTTGGCCAGGAGTAAAAGGTAACTGGGGCCTGGCTAATTTGGAACACTGCCTGAATGCCACCCATTGTTTTTAGGTAAACCTCTCTCTCTCTATATATATCTATCAGTATGAAAACGTACGTGGTAAAGACTTCTTCAAAGAAAATGATGCTTTGAGAAGTAAATGCCATTCAGCCCTGAGGAGGAGAATGGGGCCACCTCCTCCCAGGCCCCGCCTGCTGCCAGTGCTGTGCCAGGGGGCCAGGTTTTGCTTTCCCTTCCCTCCTGCTGCATCACCCCCTTGGCTGGAAACCAGAGCCCAATTCTTCCACCAAAGAAAACTCCCTCCTGCAGCAGGAGGCTTTCTTCCCCCTACTCACCCCGGCAGGGCTCCCAATGGGGCAGCCCAGAGGAGCAGCAATGGCCTCCCACCCCACAGACCCACGGGCAAGAGAAATACTCCCAAGTGGCTCTGAATGGTGCCCATGTGACGCTCTAGCTGCCTCAGGCTCGGCACAGCTGAAGGACAAGAGGAGCAGCTGCTTCATCTGATGCCTCTCCTTCCTCTGGGAAGATGGAGCAAAATGGCCTTCCTGCTGCTGCTGCTGCTGCTGCTGTCGGGAGGCCACAGCTCACCAGAGAGCCATTCCCTTGGCAGGTGCCCTGGCAGCTCTCAGGGCCAAGGTAGGGCAGGAGGCGGCAGCGAGAAAAGGTTTGCTCCTTTGCAAGGGGAGCAGGAAAAACTGATCTGTCTGGGGAAGAGGCGGAGAGGAGCTGCCTCCGCAACACCTCAGCCATACTAGATGCCAAACACACACGGCCTCAGGCTCCAGCAGAGACAGGGGGGCAGTCCCTGGGCATACACCCCAAAAGCCACACAGAGAACACAGCCTGGATGCAAACAGCAGCCATGCCAAGCCACACAGCTTCCCAGCTTCCCAGTGAGAGCTGCTTTTCCAAACCCCAATGGAGAAGCTTCTGCAATTTCACGTCTGGCTCTGGAGCCGCTCCTGGGTGACAGGAGAAACTGAGCCCAGCCGCTCAAGCGGACTGCAGTGGGGCTGGGAGCGCCAGATCTTGCAGAGGGAGGCCTCCCAGCTGGGTTAGTGGGCAAAGGATCTGCGGAAGGTGCTCTGGCAAGCAGGCTCAGTTAGTGGCAGGGCTGGGGCGGGCAGAGAGGCAGGGGCGGGGGCACCTGGCATCATGCTGGGGGGCATGCTTGGGGGTGGGGGAAAGGAGGAAGCCCCAAGCCATGCGGGGTCCATGAGGAGCAGCCATGGAAAGCAGCGCCCCCCCCAGGAGAGCCCTAAACATCCACAGAGACAATGCAGCGCCACTCCTCTAGGCCAATGAGAAGCTGGGGCTAAATACTTCCTGCAGCAGCCAAGGGGAGGCTGTGAGGGGCCAGCGGCCAGGCCCCCTCCTGACTCCTCCCTGCCAGAGGATCCCTGCTGCCCCAGCCAAGGGCCCTGGCAAGTTTCTGCTCCAAAGGGGTGCAGTGCAGCTGAGCAGAGGCCTCAAGGCGTGCAAGGGGGGCCCCACACCTTTCTTCTGGAGGGAGAGGGAGGCTCAGAGCAGCCCCCTGGCCAGCGATGAAGCCTCTCAGCCCATTACTGGTGCAATGCCGCGGCCATCTAGACAGAGCAGGGCAGCCCCCGCCTGCCTCCTGATTCAGTTCCTGAGTCTGACAGCCAAGGAAAGCAGCAGCAGCAGCAGCTATGGGGGTTCAGGCAGAGATGTATAAAATGGGGAGGGGGCAGGGGCTGCTCAGAACACGCAGGACACAGCCCAGCCTCCAAGCCAGGAACACAGCCAGGAGTCCAGCAGCCAAGACCTGGACTGACACCAAGAAACCTCAGTCTCCTTCGGGGCCCCCCTTCTGCAGGGCAATTCCTCCAAGGCCGGGGGGGGGGTCATGTGCATCGGCCACAGGAGAGCCGCAAGCTCCTCTCACGCTGAGCCGCTGCTCCCGGTAGACCGAGAGGTCTGAAGGCTCCTGGGAGAAGCCTTGCTGTGGGGCTCACAGGGCTGGGGGCGGGGCACAGGATCCTGCCCATCTCACACGCTCCCTGCATCCACCAAGGGAGAAGCTGGCTGAGCCGGAGGCCTGGTCCCCTTCCACTCCAACCCCAGGTACAAAAAGGCTGCTCTTTGGATTTTTGAAAAGTTGGGGTTTTAACTTGGAAAGAAATTTGCCTGCTGCCAGGTTGCCTTGTTCCCCAGGGTGATGTGCTCCCTATGCAAAGAGCGCCCCCAACAGGGCAGCTTCCAGCCAGCATTGCAGAGGAGGGGGGACAGGTCCTGCTTGGGGGACCCACACCTTGGAGGCTCCCCCTTCCACCCCCTGCAGCTGGGGTGGGGGTCCCTGGGGCGGCTGGGCAGAGGCCTCTTCTCCCTCTTGGAGGGGCAATTCCTCCTTGCAGAACGAGCCCTGAAGAGGGGGAAGAGGCTGCTAACTCAGGGAGGGAGGGGGCACCTGGGAGGGAAAAGCCCCCTTGGCTAGCTGGGTGCACAGGAGAAGTGCGCTGTCCGGTGGATGTTTGGAACCCTGCCGTGGGGACCAGGATACATACCCTCCAGCGCCAGGCCTTATTATTCTGAGCAAGACCCACAAAGAGAGAGAAGGACACAGAGAGAGAGAGAGAAAGGGAGAGAAAGATAAAAATGGCTGCAAAACCAGCCCACCCTCCTCGCTCACTCACTGTTGGCCCCACCCATCACCCCTCCCCCCCTCCCAACCAGGGCACCCAGAATGACTCCACCAGCCAGTCCCAGACCTCAAAAGCACCCCCTGAAGCGGAAGCAGAGGGGATGACACAGCCCCCAACCAGGAAAGCCCCTGGCAGGAGTCCACTAGGCTGTGGCAAGGGAACGGGACCCACTCTGGCAACCGGACTTCCGCCCCCACCCTCTGCCAAGGCTGGAAGGTCAGAGCGAGCCCCAGAACAGGGAGTCCAGAGAGGGAGGTCCTACTGCATAAATGGACTCCCCCCAAACCCCACCTGGGTGAAGCCTGCTGGAAGGGATCAGGGAAGCAACACGGAAGGGGGGGAGGGAGGGGGCTGCCACAGAAATTTGCTGACTGGCTGCAGGACCCTTCCCCCTCCAACCCCACAGCGGAAGTCTCGCTCCCAGACCCCCTTCAGGGTCCATTTCACACGCCATCTCAACAGGACAAGGAGCTCTTGTGAAGGGGCTGGTTCCACCTTTGGCCTGGCAGCACATGGCCAGACTCTTCCCCATCTCCACTGAGAGGGCACTCTCTGAGCCTGCATCCCCACTCGCCAGGGCCCCTTTGTGGGTCAGCTGAGGGGGCAGGGCTGGCACTTGGGTCGGGACCGGGAGGCAGGGTAATTTCACCCGTTGGTGAGACGCCCTTCATACGCTGGTGCCAACCGCCTGGAAAAGAGCTCAGGCAACACCTAGCACTCCGTGCCAAGCCCCCTGCTGGCCTTGTGGCCCCCGCGGAGGGTCCTGCGCCCCAACCCCACTGCTCACGGCCTGAGTCCCCTGCCCCAGTTTCTGGCAGGGAGCAGCAAAGCTGGACCTCAGGAGTTAGGCGCTACTCCTCTGCACATCTAAAGCCCCCCTTTGCAAGAGCAGTAGGAATTTCAGCATCAAAAGGAATGGAAACGTTGACAGCAAATTTAGCAGGTAAGAGACAGGTGTCGTGCCCCCTCACAAGCCTCCCTCCACCTGCCCTCTTGCTCCTCCCAGGCCACAATGGAGGCAAACACAGTCCAAAGGAATGACAATAAAGGAGACTCAATGAAGCTCACTGGCACCCGGGAAGGCACCCAGAGAAGCTGAGCAAATGCCACTTTTTCTCACCTACAGCAAAAACCAGCGTGTCAACAACAACCTCCAGCTTTTCCCGGGCATTTGCACCCCAAACCTGCCCCTGCCCCACACCTCAAGCCCTGGGGCTGACCTTGCTTGCAGACAACCTTCCCCCCAGACACGTCCTTACCAGCAAGAGCCAAGCCACAACTGCAGGGGCCAGATCCAGCAAAAAACCAAGACGCCAACTCTGCCCCTCATCCACCCAGGTTTGGGGCTAGGGAACACTACCACACAAGAGCTGGCAACGCTGGCCTCTGGCTCATTTGCCCACAGGGCATATTCTGTCCCCCGACAGTAGCGCCCTTCCTTCCACGCAAAAGCAGCAGGCAGAGGCTGCCAGTTTAGCTTTCAGCATGGAGCGTCCCTGACATGCTCCTGTTTCCATAATTCCTGGAAACGATCATTTTTCTGATCTTAAGCTGTAAGCAGCCTCTACGTCGTCCTTTTTGCTGCCATGTACAGTGGTGCCTTGCAAGACGAAAAGAATCCGTTCCGCGAGTCTCTTCGTCTTGCGGGTTTTTTCGTCTTGCGAAGCAAGCCCATTAGCGGTTTAGCGGATTAGTGCTACAGTATTAGCGGCTTAGCGGGCTTAGTGGATCAGCTGATAAGCGGCTTAACGATAAGCTGATAAGCGGCTTAACGATCAGCTGATAAGCGGCTTAGCATCAGCTGTTAAGCGGCTTAGCCATCAGCTGATAAGCGGTTTAGCGGCTTGGGAAAAAGGGGGGGGGAAAGGAAAAAAACCCCGCAGGAACTCGCAAGACATTTTCGCCTTGCGAAGCAAGCACATAGGAAATTTGTTTTGCGAAGCACCTCCAAAACGGAAAACCCTTTCGTCTAGCGGGTTTTCCGTCTTGCGAGGCATTCGTCTTGCGGGGCACCACTGTATTCCCATTTTCTTTCTGTATAAATAGTGTTGAAGGCAGCACTGACAAAGTGCACTTTTCTCCACAAAATCTCAGGCCACGAGAACTCGGCATTATTATCAGATAAGCCTCCATTGGTGATTTCTCTCCCCTGGCTGCGCAGCTTCCCCTCACGGCAGGAACGGCCCACCTGGGACGCCTCCGAGGAGCTTCTGGGCAACTGAGCGAGAGTCAGAGGCCCCAGAGGCCTTTCGTCAGGGGAAGGGGAGCTATTCTTGGGGGGGGGCAGCACTTTTCTACGCCTCCTCTCTGGACCAGCACAGCATCAACTGCTCTGAGGCTCCTGCAGACCAGAGAGCTGCTTGGTGGCCCGAGCTGCGCACAGCCTCTGCAGGCCCTCCTACACCACAAGCCTTTTCCAGCCCCTCCGGAAAGAGGCTGCCCACCTGGGGGTCTCTGCACAGCGGCACCAGCCTGGCCCACCCAAGCTGGCCTTCATTCCCGCCCCTCCTGCGCCGGCCTTTGCTGCGCTCCCTCCTCACACCTGGTAAAGAGCGCCTTCTCGTTCTTGGCATCCATCGTCAGCTTGATGGTCTCCTGGCCTGAGCCCGTGCTGATGGTTTCCGTGACAACACCCGCCGCCTTCTCCTCCTCTTCCTCGCTGTCCGAGCCACCAGAGGAGCTGCTGTCCGAGGCCACCAGAGGCGCTTTCCGTGCAACGCAGACGTTCCACACGCAAGGAGAGGCAGCGCTGACTGGACGGGGAGAGAGTGTGTGAGGCCCACCCGGCAGGGCTCTCCTGGGACGCCAGAGCAGCAGCCGCGCGGCAGCAGGACCTCCGAGGCACAGACTCTGCCGGAAGGGGAACGCCTGGACTCTGAGCAGCAGAAGCCCAGGCTCTGCCAGGATGAGGCCCACCCTCTGACTTGATTGGGAATCCTTAAAATTTCTGCAGATAACTGAAGGACCAGCAGAATTGCAGCAATACCATCTCCACGGACAGCACTCTGGCTCCTGCTCTGTAGAAGAAGCTGCACCTCACAGGGGCGGGGCTGGGGCTGGCAATCTGCCCCCCCAAAGCAACCCAAGGAACTGTTGGCTTGTGCTTGAGTCTGATCTCTCCTTCCTTCGTTATTCTTTCAACCCTATGAGAAACCTCTGCTCCCAAAGCCCCTCTAAGCTTTCTGCCATCGGGCTTGGGAGCTGCTGCTTTCTGCTGCCTCCCAGGACACCCCAATCTTAAAAACGGGGGTGATGTCCTGAGGGACCAGCTGGCTGGACTGGGTGAAGTGCCCCTCTTGATATGGGGAGGAAGGACAGGCCGGAGAAACGGCCAGTCCCCCTCCCCTGGTCACTCACCCACAGGGAAAAGGGCTGGGAGCTGCCCTCACAGCCTGAAACGCCCCCCCTTGCAGGAGATGAGCCGCACCAGTTGCCCACCCCCCCCAGCTCCAGGCAATGCCCTAACACTGCCTCCTCCTTCCCCCCCCCCAGGAAAGGGGGAGCGAGTGCAAGGCTTCCAGGAGTGTGGGTAAGTGTGAGGGGGAGAAAAGGGGCTAACTGCCCACCGTTGGCCCCCTTCCACGTGGTGGGGGGGGGAGGAAGTACTCACAGTTCTTGTCCTGGCTTTGCTTGGGCTTCCCTTCCAAATCACTGCTCTCGGTATCCACGGGGGAACTGCACCTGGGGCCGGCCTCCGAGCTGGAAGGGAAAAGGCGCTGAAGGGGGGTGTTTCTCGCGCTGGAACCGGGGCTGCAGTGCGAGAGGATCTTGCCAAGGGGTCGGCAAACTAAGGCCCCCAGGCCGGATCAGGCCCACCTGGGTCCTAAATCTGGCCCGCACCGTGAAGCTGGAACCTGCCACGCAGCAGAGACTTCCGGCGGTGGGGACGGAAGAGGCCAAGTGGCGGCAGCTCTGCCACTCAAATGCTGCACCTGGTTCACCCCAGTGGCATTGGATTGGCAGAGATGTCCCCACGCCTGGCTGAGGTAAACCACGCATGGAGTTTGATTGGCAGAGCCGCTGCCGCTCGGCCTCTTCCTCCCGCCGCCGCCCTGGTGCTCCTGTGGGACAGAGAGCGGACGAGAAGCAGAAGCAGCCCCTGGGAAGGTAAGCGCAGCGGCTGGGGCTGGGGAGGAGGACTACTTGCCCCCTCCGCCTCTTCTTCCAGCCCCCCCCCCCCGGTGCCACTTCTCCAACCCGCCACAAGGTCTGAGGAACAGTGGACTGGCCCACTGCTGGAAAATTTTGCTGACCCTTGATCTTGCCTAAAGCCCATGGGGGGGGGCACCAGCAGGAAGAGAGGGCGGGTCAGGGCCTCTGGCCGGCCTTAGTAGCTTCCAAGAAGGAAGGAAGGAAGGAAGGAAGGAAGGAAGGAAGGGGGCAAGCGTCTGGCTGCGGACAGAGGCCAAGCACTGGAGGAGACAGACCTTTGACCGGATCAGGCACGTTTCCCATTCCGCATGCTCATCTGTGTCCCGGAGGACGGCTGCGGCTCACTCACCAGCAAAAGGGCTGGAAGTCTGTGAACTTGGCCCAGCCTCTCTCTTCCGGGGTCTTTGTGTCTGGGGTGGCAGAGTCCCACACGCTGGATCCGACATCCATGGCCACACACGATGGCGGGGCCTTGGCGTTCACCGGCTCAAAGGCAGCCGTCCACCCAGACCCTGCAGAGATGGAATCAGTCAGCAGTTCCTCTGAGTCCAGCCTTCACCAGGTGGCTCTAGGCCTGCAACTGCCCGGAGGAGCCTGGCTCAGCCGCCAGAGAGGGGAGATCACAACCACATGGGGAGATCAGCTGGGACTGAGCAGCTGCGTTCAGACAAGGAGCAGCCACGGCCATTGCCATGGGATGCGGGAGAAGACCAGGGCAGGGCAGGCTGGGGGTGGGACCCTCTTGACTGCTAGAGAGCTCCCTCTAGTGGGGAGGGGGAAAGGGCCTTCTCTGGCACTCACCACAAGGGATGCTCTCTCTGCGGAGATCAGGGGGGCACGCACCGTGGGGTGCTTCTGTCCCCAACTGAAGACCACCCTGCTCAGTTGGGTGCCCTCTGACCCTTGTTTTCACTAGGCTTTAGTGAGGATTTCTGGCTTTTTATTCCTGACTGACAAACGAATATCACTGGAAGTAATTGCTACCGTTTACTACAGTGTGAGGCACGTGGCAATTCTTTTGGAAAAGGAAAAAGCAGCACAGAAACCTTTCCTTCATGAAAATGAGGGAAGCCCCCCTGCTCAAAGCCGCTGGTCGCAGGAGCAGCTCCTGGCCAAGCCCAGGGGGCCCCACAGCCCAGCAGAGAGCCGCCCCTGGGCAGCTGCTTTTGTCCTGCGGAGCCAGGCCCTCCTGCACCCCACTGGGCGACCAAGGGGGAGGGTCTGGAGTGATGCCCCTCCCACAGCTCCCTTCTTTTCCAGCAGGCTTTCCTGGCCACCCCCGAGCACCCTGGGGGGCGTCATTCCAAAAGGGATGGTGCTGCGGTCAGGCAGCCCTTCCAAACCCACCAGAAAGAGCTGCTGTGCAGAGGTCCCAGGTTGGCAGCCCCCGCCCCGCTCCTTCAGAGACCTCTTACCTTCAGGAGGGGGCGCTGCCGCCCCTCTGCCCTCTGGGAGGCTGCCGTTGCCCTCGGCGTGTGCAGGAGGGGGCGGCTGTGGCACAGCGGCCTGTTCGGACTCCTCCTCCCCAGAGTCTGGGCTGCCATCGTGGCCTCCGTTCTCCAGATCGCTTTTGGAGGATCCCTCCGACGCACCGGAAGTGCCAAACCTGAAGGCAGGAACGGAAGGCAAGGCAGCCATGAGGCTCCTGGGAGGCCCCTGCAAGTTCCGGGACCAGCCCCCTGCTCTGACACTCTCAGGACGCCTGGGGAGCACTTCAAGGTCCTCTAAACTGACCCCCCCACCCAACCAGGCCACCCAGGTGAGCCACGGACTTCCTGTTTCAGAAGGAATAATCCTGTGAGCTCCTCAGTCGAGAAAGGTGGTGCAAATTTTCACCTGTTTTCAGTCTATTTTTAAGAAGGAATCGGGTCTGTGCGTGTGGTTTGGGAGCTGCACGGTCAGGGGAAAAACAATGCTGTCCAGGGTTGTAAAGACTGCGGAGAGGATAATTGGGTGCCCTCTTCCCACCTTGGATCAAATCTATGCTTCCAGGTGCCATAAGAAAGCTGCAGAGATAGTGCAGGATAGTGCGCACCCCGGAAATGATCTCTTTCAGCTTCTGCCTTCTGGAAGAAGGTACAGGGTTCTAAAGACTAGGACTAGCCGCCTAAGAAAGTTTCTATCCAAATAAAATTTTGGTTTTAAACGCAGTGTAAGGTAGTCTCTGTGGGAGCATATTGTATTTAATTATGGGGTATCAGAGTTTTTAGGGGGCTAACCAGGCTGGGATAGCAGACTTGTTGGTTTCTGAATGTCTGATGTAGATTTTTAATTTTGTTGTTCTGTATGGGACAATGACAATAACGATTATTGTATCATATTGTCCATTGTGCTTCAGTCACCAAAAGCAAATAGGAGGTCCCTCCATCACATATAGGGAAGGTAGTGGACGCTCCTTCACTGGAGGTGTTTAAGCAGAGGTTGGGGGGCCATCTGTCATGGATGCTTTAGTAGTTGAGACTCCTGCATTACGGGGGGTTGGACTAGATGACCCCTGGGACCCCTTCCAATCCTACAACCCCATGATCCTATTGCCCCTTGGACAGACCTAAGGAGAGGCGGAAAGCCCCCCTACCGCGTCCTGGACTTGACTTGGGCGGTGTAGCTGATTTCCTTCTCCTCCCAGATGTCTTCCTCTTCCTCGTCATCAAACTGCTGGATTCGTTCGCTGCAGCAGGCTTCAAACAGGGATGCGTTGGGCTGCAGTAAAGGGGGAGACGGAGGGTCAGGATTCGGGGGGCTTCCAGAGAAGCTGCCGCTGCCATCGCCTGCCCAGCTCTGGGCCTGCGCCTCTCAGTCCAAGCGCCCAGGAAGGCGCCAAACAGAGATGGCGACCAGGGGCCCCAGAGTGGCTGCCCCAAGTCTCTGGTGCGGAAGCATGTGAACTGAGCAAAGGGAGGGCATCGTGGGATGCTGTGCATCCTCTCCCCGCTCTGTGCCATGACGGCCTCCTGCCTTCACAGAGGCGGCACCAGGGAACAGCATCCTCCCCAGGGAACATTCCCTCTGCGCTGCACAAGCAGACTCCTCATGAGGTGGCAAGGAGAGGGAAAGCTGTGTGTTATGCCCACATGCTGGTGGCACTGCTGCCCCAACCGCCTGGCAACGTGGCCCAGCTGCTTCACTGGAGGTGCTGAACAGCACTGGGGGCAGGGCAGATGGCAAGAGAGCGGCCGTGAAGCGGAGCAAGGAGCCCCGTAAAGTGTCTCCCCCGACCGACACAGACAGATGCCCAAACACACCCAGCTCAGCTGCTTACACTGTCATCGTCGGCATCAATGTGGAAGTTGATCTCCGCAATTCTGTCAAAAGGTGCGCTGGAAAAGAGGGAGAAAGAAGCCCATTGGGAGGGGGCCGGAAGCAGCTCCCACCTCAGGGACCCCGAGCAAGGAAGCTGCTCTTCAGAGGGGACGGGCTGGCCGACCAGACCAGGCTCCTGTGAGGATGGAGGGCAGAGGGAGGCCCCACAGAGCCTGTCCTGAGCTCCTTGGGGAAAAGGCCGGGCATCAAGGACGTCTTTTTATCAGCTCATAGGGGACCAGCATGGATAGCTGGCCCTGGCAAACACTTGATGTTCCCTACCCCTATGGGTGTGATTCGTGGGCTGCCATTTAATTTCATCCTGGTTTTAATTTTAAGCTGTATTTTAATCAATTGTTTGATTTTGTTTTTAGTGTATCATATATTTGGTGTTAGCCACCCTGAGCCCGGTCATGGCAGGGAAGGGCGGGGTATAAATAAAATTTATTATTATTATTATTATTATTATCATCATTATCCAGCAAACCTGCCCGTGCGCTTGCAGAGAAGGGGGGCTGCAGGGGTTGCAGGGGTCTCCGTCCAAAGCTGCTCCCCTCACCCAGGTCTTCATTCACAAAGAAGCTTCCCAAAGGGGAAGGGGGCTCTTCGGCTCTGACTGGTCCCTGCAGCTGCCTGCCCCTCCACTTTCCTGCAGGCAGCCTCCCCTCACTGCACAGCATCCTTTCCTGGGGGCCAAAGGGGGATCCACAAACAGCAGAACGAAGGGCTGAGTGAATGATTCAAGTGCTCCCTCACAGGGTTCCCTGTGACCTCCAGGAGAAAGCCTTGCCCTGCCCTGCCCGAAAGGGGAGCTCCTCCCTCAGGCCCCTCTGCTTCCTGGCTCCATTTCCCAGACGGGGAGACTGACCTGCTCATGGGGTGAAGACCAAGGGGGCAGAGGGGGAACTCACTTGATGTTGTCATCCTGGTCGGAAAACTCTTCATCGTTGAAGCCAAACTGATCCACAAAGTTGGCCGTCATCTGCTGGATCTGGTACTCCGAGAAGGCCTGGCAGGGGAGAGGTGGGGAGAACAGCTATTGCACCATCTACACAGCACCGGCGCTGAGCCCCCTGCCGCCCCAGTCAGCGCTTGGAGCCACTTTGTGACCAGCGCTGGCCAGGCCTCAAACAGGGCCGCTGAACAGAAGGAGGAGGCTCAAGCGCAGTGCCTGTCCCCCCCCCCCCGCCTCGCTGGAGCCAAGATGTTCACAGACCACCTCTCCCGAGTGGCTTCTAACCAGGACACAGAGAGAGGAGCTACACTGAGGGTGTGGAACTCCCTGCCACGGGAGGCCTGCCTTGTCCTCTTCTACCCCGCCTTGCAAGCGAGCATTGGGGCCTAGCAAGTGGCTGGTGCTCTAGTGCTCCTCAGAAACCTTGTCTGTGCTGCTTCTGCCTCTTTGAACAGCTGGATTGGAGCAAGTTGGGATGATTTTTATGCTGTAAAGCAGAGTGGGAGCTGGAAGCGCAAGGACGGTCCCAATCCCAGCCACCGTGCTGCTGCAGAGAAACACCTGGGCTGAGGAAGACCAAGCGCTTCCTTCCAGGTGGGAAAAGCCACACTTTGGGCCACAGTTTATGTAGGGCCTTCTCGGTAGTGGCGCCCGCCCTGTGGAACACCCTCCCGTCAGATGCCAGAGAGAGAGAATTAGACTTCCTTCTTCCACAGACATCTGAAGGCCCAAGCCCTGTATTGGGATGCTCTGGGTATGTGGCATTTTGTTGCTGTTAATAATTATGTTACTATATTATTCTTATTCAACCTGCTCTTCAGGAAACACAGCCAAACAACCAAGATAAACTCATAATAAATCCAAACACAGCGGAGCCATAAAATAAAATGCCAAAGAAAAATGCTAACAGCATTACATTCTCACGACAAGGCCAGAGCCAGCTACAAAAGACTTCAACCCAGCACCGAAAAGGAAACTACGATGGCGGCGGCAGGCACTCCCCCTCTCAGGGCTGTTGTGGGGCTTAAATGAGGAGATGGGGTGGGCTGGGGGCAGAGAGCCCCATATGCCACCCTGTGCTCCTGGGGTGAGAATGCAACAAATACAGAGCAATGATACGAACCATCCCAGGCCCCCCTGGGTGTAAGCAGGGAGAGCAGATGCCCAGAGCAAGAGCCTCCTCCATTGCCTGCCTGCTGGAGGACACCTCCTCGCTGCAAAGCCCAAGCAATTCTCTTGGGCAGCCCTCAGAGACAGCTCTGCCCAATGGTCACAGAGGGTCGTCTAGTCCAAGCCCCTGCAATGCAGCCGCCCCCTTGGCCAGGCAGCAGCAGGCTCTCCAATGGACAGCTCTGTAACAGCAACAGCCAGAGGACATCCTGGAAGGAACCCTACCTGCTGGAGAGAGAGCTCGTTGGGGAAGGCTCCCTCCGCGTCCTCGTCCTCGCTGGAGGAGTGCAGGTGGTGCGTGCTCACCTGCGAAGGAGAGGACCAAGGTGAGCAGCTAGGCCAGCAGGGGCACAACCAGCTTCCTCTGCTGGGGAGCCCCGCACATGGCAGCTCAGTCTATCCTCAGAACCCTCCCAAAACAGAGGCTCCAGAGGGAGCGAAGGGCAAGCTCACCAAGTCGACTGTATTCCTCCGGTTGGCCTCCATCAACGTCTCCTCCACAAAGCTCTCCCACCGTCCTCTGCAATCCTCAGGCAGCCCTGCAAAGGAAAAGGAGAGGCAGGCCTGGGTTAGGGATCCGACTGTGGAGGAGACCCCTGTGCTGCTCCTTGCGGGGGGTGGGGCGTCCCTGGCCAACAAGGGGCTGGAATCTCGGCCTGGCCACTATCAGAGACCCTCCCCCAGATGGGGCTGGGGCCCCAGGACAAGACGACAGCACTGCTCGGCCTCGTGTTAGTCACGTGGATGGCGGAGTCAGGAAGCAAATACACATTGCCCCCCCCCCCACCAGAGCCAGGAGAAAGGGACCCCAAAGTGCTTCCCCATGCCTCCTTCCCCCCCAGGCACTGCCCCATTGCTGCCTCTCTGACCCCTCATTCCTGCTCGCCCTGCTTGCTACACATGGCAAGGGCTCCTCTGCCCTCTGGGCAAAGCAGGAGCCACCGGCCTTCCCCAAACCCCAGAGGCTGCCCTCTGCCAGGAGGGATGGATGGGGTCCCTTCTGCCCACCACAACCAGCTCCTCAGACCGTCACCCCATGAAGCTCCTTAGCCAAGAGAACCTGGAACCTTTTTCCACAATTGTCCCCCCCTCCACACATTCCTGCCTCATTCTTCACCTCTGAAGGGTTTGCAGAGCAGGTCACAAGAAAAGCCCTCCCAGTAGGAGCCCCAGACGACGAAAGGGCAGGTAAGGAAAAAGCGGAACAAAACCAAGGAGAAAAGTGGAGCCAGGCAGCCCCTGTTGGAAAGGGAAGAGGGTGGGCTCTCCTTCAAGGGAGGCTGCAAAGCAGAGGCTTGTTGGGGGATCCGTGCGCTGCAGCTCTTGCACTGCAGGGGGTTGGACTAGATGACCCTTGGGCCCCTTCAGGGCTTGCAGCTTTGGGCAGGAGCCAACCGTCCTGATCAGGCTGGCCCTCAGCCAGAAAGGGGTTGGAAACACTGCTCCAAATTGGGTGTGGGGTTGTTTGAAACCCAGCAGGACAAAGGCGTCTGTGGGTGCAGGCACAGCCCACGGCCTCAGCATCCAAGACGGGGGCCACGGATAAGGCCTTGCAGCCGCCCAGAAGGGAGGAAGCAGCTGGGCTCCCTCTGTTCTGGAGGCGGCAGCTCTGGGGCCGGGAAGCCACTGGGGCCTCTCCAGACACCCCCAGGCTCCCTGACTGCACCCCTGATACTAGAGGGAGGGAGCCACCCTCCCCAGACCCCCCACTCAGATGGCAGCCCGACTGCTCTGCGAAGAGAAGGGGCTCGAGACGCCAGAGGCTCCTTCTACCTCGGACAAAGTCGCTGATCTGGGTCTGGACGGGGCCCTTCTCCGTATTCTGCACTACTGCGTTGGCAATCCGTGTCAGGTGGCCCATGTTGCCTCGCCTCATTCCGCCTTCTGCCCTGGAAAAATAAACTGTGAGGAGCGGCTCCACGTTGGGAAGGTCTCTCCTCAGCTGCTGCCTGAGCCACCCGTGGGCTGGGAGGACTGCAGCAGCTCAGGGGCAGAGAGCACCTGCCTGGAGTGCAGAACTCCCAAGGGCATCTCCAGTCCAGGAAGGGAACACCCCCCCCCCCGAGAAACACTTCTGCACCAGGAAGAATTTTCCGAAGAGGAGAGCCTTCAACTGTGGAATGGGCTCTTCTTCCCTGGAAGTTTTTAAGCAGAGGTTGGATGGCCCAGTCCGTTAGTTGAGATTATTTTATTGCTAGTACATATCACATTTCTACGCCCCTCATCGTCTACTGACTCGTGTTGTAAAAGGGAGCTGTGGGTGGTGCTGTGGTCAAAACCACTGAGCCTCTTGGGCTTGCCAATCGGAAGGTCGGCGGTTCCTGTATTGCAGGGCAGGGGGTTGGACTAGATGTCCTTTAGGGTTCCCTTCCAACTCTAAGAGCAGGCCTAGGCAAACTCGGCCCTCCAGATGTTTTGGCACTACAACTCTCATTATCCCTGGCCACTGGTCCTGTTAGCTAGGGATGATGGGAGTTGTAGTCCCAAAACATCTGGAGAGCCGAGTTTGCCTAGGCCTGCTCTTAGAGTCTACGATACCCTGGACAGCCACTCTTAAGCCAGGGCAGAATCAACACTGACACATTAGTTAGGAACTGAGGGGTGTCAGGAAGGCCTCGCTAACCTCGTAGAGGTGAGGCACCCACCCGAGGGACCCTCACCAGGGGGAGATCAGCTCTTGACCAAAGGCTGCTTGCATGTCACAGCCTCCTTCTTGAGGCTGAGGAGGCTGTGGCCGGCTGGTGCGGACACTTCTGGGCCTGTCCTGCACTGCAGGGCAGCTGTCCCTGGACTGCCAATGCCATGGGGGACAGGGCTCTCTGGAGGAACATGCAGAGCCAAGACCCCAGCAGGAGGGGAAGGAGCCTTACTGCATTTTGTCGTTGGTCTCCCAGGCATCCAGTATCCTTTGGACCAGGCAGCACTTTTGGAACAGCTGGAAGAAAAAAGGGGGGGACAGGCACATCAGGGCTATCCCTGAGAGCAGAGGCAGCACTAGGGCCAATCCTGAGCCCCATCACAGCAGCCAGGGGCTTCTCCACCCCCAAGACCCCTGAAGCTCAATTTCTCCAGGGGCTCAGCACCGCTCTCGCCCAGGGCCTCTCACCCCACTGAACCCACCCAGCAACACAGACCTCCCGCCTGGCCAGGAGGTGCCAGGAGCAAGCCAAGAGAGGTGCCACCAATGGGCTCGTCTGCTCTGGCCGCCCCCTTTGGCAAGACGGGGGTTCTGCCCCAGGGCCTTGAACCACTCGCCCTGGATGCAGGCAGACAAGCTCCGAGGGCAGCAGGCGTTGTGCGGATGGGGCTTGCGGAAGCCTGTCCTGGCTGGGATTATGAGCCTCCTTACATGGGTCACCATGATGTTCTCGGGGCGGCAGCTGCTGCTGCTGCTGTTCTCCGGGGCTTCTGAGTTCCCCGAGGCTGCGCTCCCATCCGCTCCCTCCTTCTCTTCCGCCTCGCTTGGGGCCACTTTGCCTTCATTCACAGAATGCGCCAGGATCGCTGCGATGCACAATTCCACTTGGAAATGCAAAAAATTATTCCACGTGTACTTAAAAAACAGGTCCTGGAACAAAATCAAGGAGGCCAGTGAGCAAAGCTCTTCCATGGAGGAAGTGCGTTCCCTCCACCCCCACCCAACAGCCCTGGAGGCCAAGCTGAAGCCTCTGCCGCCAAGCGACCTCTCCCTGCCCCCCCAAGGTGCTCCTCACCAGCAGCAGCTCCATGGTGTTGAGCCGGCACAGCTCCTGGTTGATGCTGGGTGTGTTGGTGTGCAGAAGGGCAGCGACCAAGCGGGCAGCATGGAGGCGAGCGTTGCCCAGCGGCTCTTCCAAGACTCCGATGGTCGTCAGAATGGAGGCCGCCTGCCACCAGCAGAGAGACAAAATGGGCTTCTCAGGCCAGACCAACATGAGGCCCCCGCAGAGAGCCTCAGCTCCTCCTGTCCCCTGCCCTGCACCCCACAGCAAGGGGGCTGGTGGTCAGAACAGCAGAGCACAAAGCTGCAGGAATCCTTAACAGGGTGCTTTGGATGGAGGCAGAAGCCCCTCTCTCTCCTCTGGGGGGACGAAGCAGCCGCCTGCCTGCACAGAACCTGCACTCAGCCCTTCACCCAAGAAATGCCTAACAGGGATGGCAGTGGTTTTTATAGGACTGATGTGAGCTGCTGCAGAAGTATGCAAGCTTTCAGGTTTCCACCTGATGAAGAGTCCCATGCACTTCAAAAGATTCTGTCCTCTTCCAATCCCATAACAGAAGCCATTTCGTTTTGTGTCTCCTTGGTGAAAATTAAAAATTCCACAAACCAAGCTCAAGTCTGAGCAAAATAGATTCCCAATCCCCCAATGCTTCCTGGATTCCCCCTCTGATTACCGAAGTACTAACTGGATCTGATGGATCCCACCATCACCGATACACACCGTACATCTATATCTTTAGACACACAGCCTCCTGGGGAGATTGAAGAAGGGTTTGAGGAGAATCTCCCTACCTTGGGCGGGTGCAGCAGCAGCTGGTGGAAGTCCTTCAGCCGCGGCTCAATGCCACCCAGGATGCTGCTACTGACAGTGCAAGACCTTTCGAATCCCTGAGAGAAAGAGTCCACCAGCCCCTCCACGCTGCAGGGGGAAGAGGCAGACCAGGCTCAAGACTCGGGAGCTGGAGAGCCCTACACAAGCGGGCCTGCTCCTCCGGCGCCAAGGGAAGCAGACCCTCCACTGTCAGCATGTCTCACAAGATGTGAGGTCTTGCACGGACCTCCCATGACCTTCCCACAGGCCTCACACAACCTTCCCAGGGGGCGATAAGCCAGGCGGAGGGCTTAAGAACCCTTTCAGCAGCAGGAAAACCCAAGGCAGAAATAGCTTCCTCCATCTTGCTTCCCAGGCTCTGGGCAGGTCATGCGAGATCTTGGACAGCTCCTTCCAACTATTCCCTCCCCACAAGCTCTCCGTTTATTTACCTATTGTCCTGCCACTCTCACAAAGTTGCAATCATCTAAGTAAATCAGTAATAAGTTGGGCTCTCCTGTACTTCGCTTATTTATTTTAAGCAAGCGTTCGTCAACCGCCTGGCCAGGCGCCCAAGAGTCTAAGTTCTACCCTGAAGTCTCTGCTACGATGCATCTGGTCGGCCCCCAAACCAGCTTACCTAGTGCGCCTCGGCTCCAGTAACGTCAGCAGAGCCTGAGTCCCATTCACAAGGCAGCTCTCCGTCTGCTCACCATCAAACATGTTCTTCAGAAGCTGCTCCACACATTCCTGCCTGGAAACACCAAGGAAAAGTTAGAGACCATTTTTAAGGGGGTCCCGAATCCACAAGTCAGGATGCAGCAACGTTTTCCCCAAACAAACATCTATGCCTTGGCCCCCTCCCCATCCCTGGCTTCCAACCTAGCACAGCCTGCCCAGAGAATGGGGGGGGGCTGCCTGGCTGGGCACTGCTCCCCCTCCTCTCCCCCCTCCCTGGCTGCAGCTGGGTCATCAGCCTTCTTAAGCAGTGGACGCTGATATTCAACAACCCCCCTGCGAGGTGGGCCAGGCTGAGAAAGGAGGAAAGCCCAAGGCTTACCCCGTGAGGCTCCTGGCTGAGTCTGGGTTTGACCCTCGGCCTCCTAAGTCCAACCCTCCAGACACGACATCACACTAACTTTGAAATCTCCAAAGGGCAATATGGAAATATTGTGAGAGGCAGGACTGAGACTTGGAGTTGCTTTGACATTCAGACCATGGGAAGTTGCACAATTAGAATTAAATGCAGAAGATAATTTGATTTTTTTAAAAAAATTATTTTTTTATTTTTATTGGATTACGATTTGATATGTTAATTGGATGTTTTTTATTGGAAAATTAATAAACGTTCTAACAAAAAAAAATCTCTGAAGGGCTGTCACATGGAAGATGGCCATCTGCCACGACTGCTTTCGCTGAGATTCCTGCATTGTGGGAGGTTGGACTAGATGCCCCTTCCAACTCCACAGTTCTCTGATTCTAACACAACATCTCCACAGGAAGGGAGCCGAGCTGTGAGACCCAAATCAGGTCCAGTCCCCTGGAAGCTGTGCTCCTCATCAGCCAGATGGACGGGGTATAAATAATAAATTATTTTTAAAAAGAAAATCAAGGAGATGCCTGCCTGCTCTGTCCAGCTGAGGAAAACCTCAACACCCTTTTATGAACATCCACAAGAAAGCGGCCGAGAGCAGCCCCTGGTGCTCCCAGCCCCCCCCCCCAGGCTTCTGTCTGCTGTACTTACGACTCCAGAGCTGCCAGAAGTGGGTCGGGCTCAGCCACCTCTTGGAACTGGCTGCTCTGGTCCCTGCTGAGCCTTATGATGTCGCACAAGGTCTGGGAAGCGTTGGACTGCCTCTGCAAACAGGAGACGAGTCAGTGGTGGCAAAAGGGGTCTCCTCTCAGCCTTCAGAGAAAAGGGGGCCGGGCAGCTGACAGCAACGCAGAACCCCAAAGCCCTGGAAATGGAGGGAGGTGGCCAGTGGCCCCCTCTTGACTGAGCTTCCCTTCTGGGCTAAAGCTGTGAAGATGGTGCAGCACAGCAGGAAATGACTCTAAAGGTGAGGAGTTCCAGACTGAGGGCCTGCTTGAAAAGAAGTCCTGCCTGCCTTCTGTGCCCAGGAGTGGGTCTGCCCTAACACATCAACACACTCCCTTGACCTCTCAGCTTAAAAGCTCCACTAAGGGAAATTTTTAATGTGTGATGGTTTATCATGTTTTCATATTCTCTTGGGAGCCACCCAGAGTGGCCCGGCCAAATGGGTGGGGTATAAGTAATAAATTATTATTATAAGGACAGGCACAATGACCCCAGATTGGGCTGCCTCAAAATCAGAGGATTCCCAGAGGGTGGAGAGCAGGATCAGGCCCTTTCACTCGAGGATGAGGAACCTGTCACCCCCCCCAACTGCTCATGGATGTTAAATCCCACCCTCCCTACCCATACTACTGTCAGGAGGGTCCCCTGCTCCCCACCCGTTTCAGGCCGTGGGGAGCGTAGTCCCTGGACAGGACACCCCAGGCCAAAGCAAAAGCAGATCCTTGGCAGCAAGGTGGCAGAGTCTCCCTTGTGGGACTGAGGCCGGCCAGCCCACTCTAAGCTCTCTGAAGAGGCTGCGGCTCAACACTGGGTGGACCTGAGCCAAAGGCCACAAGAGATGCTAATGGGCGTGTGAAATTTTGAAACTTAGCACCCAAAGGGGGAAGCAGACCAGATGGCACAGAGGGGGGAGGGTGCGGGGGGCAAGCAGGGCACGGCTTGGCCCCTCATCCTCCCAGCACTGAAGAGCAGCGATGGCAGTGCTGACTGGCCCCGCCTGGGACCCAGGAGGCAGCCGCTCTCTTCCTTTCAGGAACCTCTACAGAAGTGCCAGGCCCTTTTTTCCTTTCCACAATTAAGCATCGACACCATAGCTGACCATTCTACACTGGCACTGCCCAGAGCTTCCTGCCCACCCTCTCCCACTGCTCACTGGCAAAATGTCTCGGTAGGTTCTCCTTGCAAAAGAGCTTAAGTAGAACAAAGGAAAGGTTTCTGCTAAGATGCTCTGAGACAGAGCTGGAGAGACCCACGACAGGAGACTGCACTCACATCCTCATCCTGGTCGGGACGGATCAGCTCCACGAGCCGCTGGATGATCTGTGCTTCATTCAGCCACTGCAGGGAAGGAGAGAAGAGGAAGCAGCGCCAGTGAGAAAGTCGCCCTTGCGTGGCCCACCACCAGGCCCAGGGGCTGGGGGAGTTCCCTTCATGGCCCTGCCAGTCTGGAGCTGGCTGCTCTCTGCCCTCCAGATGAAGCTTCACTTTCCGCCACTGAAAATAGCAGGTTCAGGTCTCTGGCCAGGTCAGTTCCTTCAGAAGCCGTGGCGGGGAGGGGGGCAGTGGAATACAGTTGCACTTCGAAAGTCAAATGGGATCTGTTCTGGAAGTTTGTCCGACTTCCAAAACATTTGGGAACCAGGACGCAGTTTCTGATTGGCTGCAGGAAGCTCCTGCAGCCAATCGGAAGCTGTGGAAGCCACGATGGACGTTCAGGTTCCAAAGAATGTTCACAAAGAGGAACACTCACTTCCGAGTTTGTGGCATTCGGGAGCCAAAATTTTCGACCCACATTTGACTTCTGAGGTATGACTGTACAAAGCCCAAGAGGAGCCAACTGAGGTGTTTCTGCAGAGATTATGGTCTCCATTTCTTAAAGAGATCAAACTGGATTTTGGCATTTGACAAGGTGCCTCATGATATTCTTGTAAAGAAGCTGGTAAAATGTGGTCTTGACTATTCCACCACTCAGTGGATTTGTAACTGGCTGACTGACCGAACCCAAAGGGTGCTCATCAATGGTTCCTCTTCATCCTGGAGAAGAGTGACTAGTGGGGTGCCACAGGGTTCTGTCTTGGGCCCGGTCTTATTCAACATCTTTATCAACGACTTCGATGATGGACTCAAGGGCATCCTGATCAAATTTGCAGATGACACCAAATTGGGAGGGGTGGCTAACACCCCAGAGGACAGGATCACACTTCAAAACGACCTTGACAGACTAGAGAACTGGGCCAAAACAAACAAGATGAATTTTAACAGGGAGAAATGTAAAGTATTGCACTTGGGCAAAAAAATGAGAGGCACAAATACAAGATGGGTGACACCTGGCTTGAGAGCAGTACATGTGAAAAGGATCTAGGAGTCTTGGTTGACCACAAACTGGACATGAGCCAACAGTGTGACGCGGCAGCTAAAAAGCCAATGCAATTCTGGGCTGCATCAATAGTATAGCATCTAGATCAAGGGAAGTAATAGTGCCACTGTATTCTGCTCTGGTCAGACCTCACCTGGAGTACTGTGTCCAGTTCTGGGCACCACAGTTCAAGAAGGACACTGACAAACTGGAACGTGTCCAGAGGAGGGCAACCAAAATGGTCAAAGGCCTGGAAACGATGCCTTATGAGGAACGGCTAAGAGAGCTGGGCATGTTTAGCCTGGAGAAGAGGAGGTTAAGGGGTGATATGATAGCCATGTTCAAATATATAAAAGGATGTCACATAGAGGAGGGAGAAAGGTTGTTTTCTGCTGCTCCAGAGAAGCGGACACGGAGCAATGGATCCAAACTACAAGAAAGAAGATTCCACCTAAACATTAGGAAGAACTTCCTGACAGTAAGAGCTGTTTGACAGTGGAATTTGCTGCCAAGGAGTGTGGTGGAGTCTCCTTCTTTGGAGGTCTTTAAGCAGAGGCTTGACAACCATATGTCAGGAGTGCTCTGATGGTGTTTCCTGCTTGGCAGGGGGTTGGACTCGATGGCCCTTGTGGTCTCTTCCAACTCTATGATTCTATGGAAACAGCAAGTGCACAAGAAGAGTCCTTCCCCAGCAGAGAGCTGGCAGGCAGCCTCACTTCAAGGCCTTTTTATGAAGAGAGGCCTGGGCAACCATTTGAATTTCCTGACCAGCCCTTCACTTGACTCCTTTTGTTCTGTATTTATGGTCGTTCATAATTTGTCTATCCCGCTGCACATTGCTAAGACGGTATGAACTGGCAGCACCTAAACACTTCCATAAATAAAGAGCGCAGGTCACATGGCCTTTCTGCTTCCAGGCCAGCCTAGCCTTGGCAAAGGGACGCGGACGGAGCCTCCAGCATCCGAAGGAGCCAGTGGAGAACAGCCTTGCAGAGCTGCTCTTCTCAGCTCCCTACGAGGTCAAGGCCAAGCCTGACAGTAGAGAGAAAGCAAAGGAGGCCAGGAACACTGGCGCCTCAATTCCTGCCCTGCCCTGGATGACCCTCGGGGGTCCCTCCCAACTCTACACTTCTACACCCTCTGAGCCCAAGAGCAGCCCTCACATTCAGCACTTCCTGCCTCAGCGGAGCCGGCTCCACGCAGCTGATGAGTCGCAAGAGGAGGTCCATCATGGCAGACGTGTCGATATGCTTCAGTACCAAGTCGAGGAATTTGGCTTTCTTCCGCAAAAATGAAATTACCTAAAGAAAAAAATAGACAGATCAGAAAGATACAGTGGTGCCTCGCAAGACGAAATTAATTCATTCCGCGAGTTTTTTTGTCTTGCGGTTTTTTTCGTCTTGCGAAGCACGGTGTCGGAAAAGTTTTGGAAAAGCTTCAAAAATCACCAAAGTCTTCAAAAACCTCAAAAAAGGCTACCACACCAGGTGCTATGAGTTGCTCCTCGAAGTCAAGTCGCAACTGTATTAATGGTTTTAAGAAAAAGGAAACAAACTTGCAAGACGTTTCCGTCTTGCGAAGCAAGCCCATAGGGGAAATCGTCTTGCGAAGCAACTCAAAAACCAAAAACCCTTTCGTTTTGCGAGTTTTCCGTCTTGCGAGGCATTCGTCTTGCGAGGTACCACTGTAGCTAGCTAGAGACAGCCTTGTGAATTAACCCTCAGCTGCCACCCAAAAAACAGTCAAGACCCAAAGGAGGCAGGCTGAGCCTAAGAGGGGAGACTTCGCCTGACCTGCTCTGTCTTCCTGGCGATGAGGTTGCCGATGGTCTTGCTGAAGAAACTGGCCAGCAAAGGGTTCAAGGGTGGCTCATGGTCGAGGAAGTCATAGAGGATGTTCAGCAAAGCCTCGTCCCCTCCGAGCCTGTCGTTGATCTGCGGCACATCAGACGTCAGCAGTTCACAGGCTGTGTTGGGGTACCTGCAGGGACAGAGCCAAAGCCAAGAGCTTGGGAAGCTGCTGCCGCTGGTGCCAAGAGCCCAAAGGCAGCCATGCAGAGACCCACCAGGGATGCCAGCAGGCTTCAGACACACCCCAACCACCTCTGCCCTGAAATGTGAAAGGCAGCCATCTCAAACTAGGGGCAGCTGGACATGCAGCCCCTATAGAGCTTCGACCAGAGCCGAAGGTCTCACATGGGCCTCCAGGATGGTTTGGGCAAAAGAGCTCACAGGAAAAAGACTCTCCTTCGCCCGACGGGAGTTGATGGAGGAAGCGGTTTGTCTGTCAGCATAAATCCCGGTTCACAAAATGGAACTTGCCTCTTGGAAGTTCTCGGGACGGGTGATGTGAATGGCAATTCCTCTGGGATAAGCAGGGCTATGCTTGGGGTGGCAAGACTGCCAGGGCAACATCCCTGCCTCGGATCCCTCAGAGCTCCCCCCATCAGCCTCCATGGCTCCAAAGCCTCTCTGCCAAGGCGCCATCCAAAGAGAACAGCTGGCGCTGGCTGGATGCATCAGGATCCCAGCTTCCCTGGCAGAGCGGAGCATCCTTCTGGCCCAGGGACTCTGCTACTTTCAGGCTCTGAGCCCCTTTGCTGTCTGCACAGGGCCTCTTCAGAGACAGCCCCAACATCGCTGGATGCCCTCACCCTCTAGATACACACACAGATCTGTCTCTTCATGTGCTGCTGGCTTGTTTTGTTGCCTCCATTATTTTTATGTGCATGTCATTTTGTGAAAACAACTGGCTTTGGGGTTTTATTATTGTTTTGTTTCATTGCAAACTACCTGGGAAGGGACTACTGAAAAGCGCTCTATAAAGCTTGCATGCAAAGGAACGAAAGGCTCCCCCCGCTCTGCCACAGGGCCCTATCAGGAAGGCCACGCCCCCCCTCGCTGCCAGCTGGCAGGACTTTCAGGGCCGGGTACCTACTTGAAGCGGACCTTCTCGTCCATGTCCAGTGGGGGCTCATGGGTGATGAGGCTGACCAGCTCCTCCATGCAGTGCTGCTGACACAGGAAGTCCACCAGCTTGTGGTTCTGCGCTTTGCACTCCTGGAGGATGTCATCTTCGTCCATCAGCTCGAGCAGAGTCACATCCTCCTTGTCCAGCAGCTTGTCAACATGCGACGTGGTGTTCAGGTCAAATTTCCAGAACATGGTGAGAGTGAGCACCGACCTGCAAGGAGCCGGAGAGAGCAGCAGCACTGTCAGCATAAGGCTACGCCAGAAGAGCTCCCTATGTCCCCTTTTCCCTGCAAGGCTCTGTGAAGGCCTGGGTCAGGGCCCGAGAATCCCACAGGAACAGATGCACTCTGGGGAAACTGGGGAACAGACGAGCCCGCCCCTTGGAGAAACTCCATCTTCTGCTAACTGGGCAGGAGTCCAGGCTATGGGGAAATGGGTTATAAACAGCCTGTTCCTACGGAGCTCCCTTGTTGATTTTATTTATGTATTAAAAATACAGTGGTACTTTGGTTCTCAAACTTAATCCGTTCTGAAAGTCTGTTCCAAAACCAAAGCTTTCCAAAAGCAAGGCGCGCTTTCCCATAGAAAGTAATGCAAAATAGATTAATCCATTCCAGACTCTTAAAAACAACACCTAATACTGCAATTTAACATGAATTTTACTATCTAATGAGACCACTGGTCCATAAAATGAAAGCAATAAATGATGTACTGCAGTCACAGAATCAATCAATCAGTAGCTGAACTGGGTTCCACACAGTCCCAAAAACAAAACAAAAAGAGCCACAAAAACAAAAACGCAAAATAAATAGACAGAGCCCAGTGTAACACTCAAAACGGAAGTGTAGCACTCAGATCAGAAGCGTAACACTCAAAATGGAGCACGGATGGCTTCCGGAAAAAGTTTGCAAACCGGAACACTTACTTCTGCATTTGCAGTGTTTGAGTACCAAGGCGTTTGAGAACCAAGGTACCACTGTATTTATATGTTGCTTGTATCACAGAAATAAATCACAGCGGTTTACAACAATACAGAAAAACAAATCATACAGCAAAATCCTAACAAATTAAAAGCAAGTTAAAAGCTAAAGCCTTGAACACAAACATCAGGAGACCCTTGTGGGGGGTTGCGGTCAGCAGGTGCCAAGTCCCGACGTTCTCTTTTTTTTTTTTTTTTTTAAGAATATTTATTCAAATTTTAAGATTACAAAAAAAGAAAAAATAAAGCAAGAAAAACCAATCACATACATCTTACAAAAGAAACACACCATACAAGAAAAAAAGAAAAAATACACAAGACAAAAAGTCACAATAAAAAATAACAAAAGAAAAATTCAAATTAAACAAACCGTTTTCCCATTTACTTATTTCCGAGACTTCCTCTCACTTCTCTGCTTTGTATTCTAATTCAAATTGTATCTCCAGCAAATCCTTCTAGCCTTCTTTTCATTTACTTATTTTAACATTTTAACATTCAAAAATATTTAATTCTCCTCTATCCTTTAATTTACACTTCATATTTACTTAATTCCATTATACTCTGTCTGCCAATACGGTCTAATATTTCTTCTCCAACCTTTCCTAACATTCTTTTATGTTACAGTGATTCTGAAGATATGTTTTAAACTTTTTCCAGTCTTCTTCCATCAACCCTTCTTCTTGATCTCAAGTCCCGACGTTCTCCTGCCCCTGCTAAAGCTGAGCTCTCCTCAGGTTAGAGGTTCCTCTTTCGTTTCCCACACAGTCCTAGCAAGACCAAGCGCTCCCTCCCTCCACCGACATGCAGGTCACTGGTGTGGCAGACGGCCTTTTTCAAGGACTGTGCAAAACCCAACAGCCCCCGGAGGAGTCAGGCTGCCAGCCATCCAGTCAGGCTGCACTTCCGTGCTGCAACACTCTTCAGCTGCGCTTTGACCCCTGGGCCCCGGGAGCTGACCGGGCTGCCCCTCACCCCCTCTTGCAGCCACTATTAACATGGCTGCAGGTAGATTTTCACTCCAATTTCAACGGATGATTCAGAAGAAGGGAGCACATCCAGTCTTCTGGCAACCATCAAGAAAATGCTGGCTCCTGCAATATTTCCCAAGTGAAATGAAGTCCAAACAGTTTGCACCCCCCCCCCCAGCATAATTCAGGCAGGACACTCCTTGGTGTAGGCTGGCTCCCTCAGCTTAGGATACTCTGAAAAGCACCACGTTAGTGAGGGACACAACAGAACTGGCCCCCTGCCATCTCACGGGGTGGCTGCATAAACCTTTTCCAAGGGGTGTGTGCAAGGTGGCCAAGCGAGAAAGGGCTTTTCGGCAGGGATTCCTCGTCCTGAAACACTTTCCTGAGGGCGAGAGGCCTGGCTCCTAGTCCAACGGCTTTTTGGCCCCCAGCTAGGACTCTTTTAGACTCTTTCAGGCTGCGTTTGGCAGACACTCACCAGGTGAGTCTCAACTGCTTGTTGTTCAGTAGAGATAATCTTACAGCAGGAAATGTATCCTTGAGGGATCTTTAGTTGCAGGTGGCTTTTAACATTTCTTCCCCACATAAATGACCTTGGGGCCTGCGGGTGGAAGGGGACACGTTTCTTGTTGTAAAACAATCCTAGGCAGCAGGGCAGCGGTGGACCAGATGCCGTTCAGCTCAAGTCAAGCTGACTCGAGATCTATCACCTTTGAGCAGAAGAAAGGTTCTTCAGGTTTTTCACCAGATATTTTGTTCTCTTTGCAAACTAGGATATGTAACCTGTACAAACATAACCAATTACTATAATTCAACCCCCCTTTTTCTAAAAAGGGTGCTCCTGCAACATTGCCTATGAGCTGGAAATGGAGCCCCTGGACCTGCAGGGTTTGGTTCTGGTCCCCCCCAATCTGGTGACCCTCTTCCTGTGTTTACAGAGGCTACACAGTCTTTATTTTCAGTTACATTTCAGTGTATTTATTGGCTGCTTGGGGTTAACAGGAAAATGGAGCAGGCATTTTAAATCCGCAATACCCCAAGCAGGGTGGCAACATGAGAAGGGGCCTTTTCTGTGGTGGCTCCCCCTTTGTGGGATGCTCTTCCCAGAGAGGCTCACCTGGCACCATCCTTACAAATCAGGCAACAGGCAAAAACATTCCTCTTTTCCCTAGGCTTGGACTGATTAAACAATCTGTGGCCTTTGGGGGGGGTGTATTTTTTGTGTTACTATGGTATTTATTTTTGTGTTTTGCATCTCTCCAAGGACAGCCTGAGCCCACCACTTGGGAGTCCCCTGAAGGCAGCAGCCCTCGTCTTCATGAATCTAAATCCCTTCTCCATCTCCTCTGTGGTTAAGGAAAAAGTCTTCTAAATTTGATTAAGGGAGCATCACTGGAATATAGAGGTGGGATAAATTAAAGAGAGTGCTGCTCCCAGGCAGTTCACTTATTGCAACAGTAAGATTTGACGCAAAAGTGAATAATGGAGTTCAAGAGATGGATGATTATGGAGAAGACAATATGTTTAAGGACTAAACGAGGGAAGATGTTTAACTTCTGCTCAATGTCAGGAGAAAATGGGAGAGTTTAAGACACTCTCTCTTTTGAATTATTTTCGAATTAAACTCTCTTTCTCTTCGTGAGGAAAGCAACCACCATACCTGAAGGAGTGTCTCCACCCGCATTGTTCAGCCCGGACACTAAGGCTGGGTAATGTTGTCGTGTATCCCAGCCAAACATTGCAGTTTGGCGATATACCATGATGTTGAAAAAAGCTGCACTGGCCCCAGCCAGCGAGATGCCAGGAGAAACTGCTGCAGCTCTCATGGTGGAAGCTGAGGTGCTTTCACCCCAGCGCCTTGCAGGCTGTGGCCAATACAGGTGGCCTCAGCCAGCTGCTCAGCCGGGGGTGGGGTGGACGGAAAGGCTCCTGTCCCCAGTGAAGCCAGCCCCGATTCCCCTTCCACTCACAGTGGAGCAGCAAGGGCTCCTTGGCCAAGCTCTCTCTGCCTTCACTGGCATGGGAGGGGGAGCACTTTAAGAGAGCCCCCATCCTGCCGCTGGGTCAGAGGCTCCATAAAACTGCTTGGCTGAGGTGAGGGAAGCAGCGCGCTCCTCAGCCAAGCAGTTTGAAGAAGCAGAGGAAAGAACAAGCTGTATTGGAACTTCACTAATTCAGCTTTATTCTCTCTCTGCCAGGGCAGAGAGCGATGGCGGTTTCACCAGCAGTATATCCCCCTCCGCCGAGAGCTTTCTGGCCATCCTGCAGCCCTACAGCACCCCCCACTGCAAAACACACAGGGGCAGCAGCCTCAGCCCCACTGCTCTTTGCAATGGGGCTGCAAAAGAAATGTCAGCAAGCAACCAAGGGCTGCAAAGGAGCTCTGCTGTCAACCTCCCCTTCCTGTCCTACTGAACTATGGAGCACAAGGCCCGCCCTGACCTAACCTCTGGCCCCACGTGTGTGTGGCAAGAGACCCTCTGCTTCCTTTTTTTTTTTTTAATGATATTTATTGAGAATTTTTAAAGTTACAAAGAAAAAAAAAGAAGGGGAAAAATAAGAAAAAAAAGAAAGAAAGAAAAAGAAAAGAGTAGATAAAAGTAACAATTAAACAATACAAATCAATAAAAACCAAAATCAAAAAGAAAAAACAAAACACACAATGCAACACAATCAAACAACAAAAATATACAACAAATTTAAAAGCAAATCCAATATTCCCAAATCCTTAACTTTCATTAACTTATTTCATCGACCTCCTCACACCTCCCTTTTTTGTATTCTAGTTGTTAATTATCTCAGCAAATCCTTTCCGTCTTTCACAATATTCTGTCATTAAATTACCTTAATCTATTTTAACCTTATCTTACCATAAAAAACCTTAAAACTTAAATCTTATTTATACCGAATTCTTCTAACCATAACACATTCTTACATAATTCTTTTTAACATTTCTGCTAAAGCCAATTAATTTCATTCCAACATTTTTCTGATACTCATTAATTTTGCGATACTTTTCTAAATAAATTTTTAAAACTTTCTTCCAATGTGAGGGCGATCTGGCTGTGACATCTGTCACCCCATTGATCGCCAGGGTTGATTCGGCTGATCTGGCTGGCTAGGCGGGTGTCCCCTTCCTCCCTCACCGCTCCATGTGCGTCCCTCCCGAAGCTGCGCGTGGAAGAGGACGACCATCCCAGATAGAAGGAGTGTACCGTTCTTCGGTCAAGGGTATACGATAGCTGCGCTCCCCTGCTAGAACCTCCAAGCAAGCTCAAGGACCCTCTGCTTTCTATGGCATAAGGAGCCCAATGGCATGCAGAATGGGGCCAGCTGAAATGAAAGGGCTTTGGCAGGATGAACCCTGCATGGGGTTGAGCTGCGAGTCTCAGCAGAGTCATTGGGTCTTACCCAAGAGCAGGTCCCCCACCCCTGCAATGCTGGAAAAAGGGGGGGACTGCATCCTGCCTGCACCCCCACCCTCCCAAGTCAGACAGATGTGCCTGCCAGGTTTGGCCTGCACTTGCCCTGCCCACATCCCCCCAAAGCCTTTCCTCTTGGCTTCTAGCTCATGCTCAGCCAGCCGCCAGCAACGGCCTAGGGCTCCCTTTGAGCCTGTGCAAGGATCACATTTCCTGGGGCCGCCTGACTTTGTCCCTGTTAAGCTACATCCAACTGGAAGGCAGTCTGAGTTCTCCCAGAGGTCTGCCTTCCCATGCACATGCAAATCCTTTGCTCCATCACCTCCCACGTCACAAAAAGCCTCTTGGCGTGACACTGAGTGCTGTGCGCATGTACAGGTAAGAACCTGAGAAGAGCTGGACTACATGGAATTGGCGGAAATGACTGGCAGAATCCGAGACCAGGGAGAAGAGTCGGTGGAAGAAGATTGGAAGAAATTTAAAGACTATTTACAGAAATACTGCAAAATTAACGAATGTTAGAATGATGTTGGATTGAAGTTAAGTGGTTTCTAGCTGTAATGGTATAAAAGAATATGAAAAAAATTGGATTCTTAACAGGTAAAAACTTAATGCTATAATATATTAAGATTAAAGATCAGGATAAAATAAGGAGGGAAAGGAATTGCTGAACTAATAAATTGAACTGGAATACAAAAAAGGGAGGTATGAGGAGGTCCAGGAAACAAGTAAATGAAAGATAAGTGGCGAAAAGATGGAATTGTTTTTAACTATTTTTTATTTTGTATTTTCTTTTTTCTTTTTCATTTTGTAATATTGTGAAAACGTTAATAAATATTTATTTTTTAAAAAAAGAGCCCTGTGGCTGGATCAAGCCCGAAGGGGCCCATCTAGTCCAGCACCCTGTGCTCCCTGGGTCCAAGCAGATGCCTGCATGAAACATCCCCTGACAAAAAAGGGAAAAAGCCGCAAGGAAGCTGCTTCGTCCCAACGACTGTGACGCTTCTGAGTTCCCACCAGGGACTCCGGCCAGGACCCCCAGACAACCATGAGAGATGGGCACAGGGAGGGCACCCCTCACCATTCCCTGCCCTGCCATGCTCTGAGGAAGCTGCCTTACATGGAGCTAGGCCACAGGGATCCATCACCTGCACTGACTGGCAGTGCCAGGGATGTTGCCAGGAACTGAATTTGGGCGCTGAGCCTTTTGCCAAAACACGGGTGCTCCAACACTAGCAGGTTTGCAACTCCACATAAAGGAAGGTAAAAGCTGTCTGGAGCTGTGGCAGCTTCCTCTGAGGAACTCAGATCCGAACAGACAGAAGTGCATGTGAAAGCACCAGGAGAACGGCGCTCAGGGAGACAGACAAGCCATCAAAGCAGCTTTTAACTTAGGCTCAAGACTTTAATTCTTCCCGAATGTTACATCAAACGATCACAATTTTCTCCAGGCAGTTTCCATCCATACCTCCAGCACCAAGCTTCCTTTCAGTGCCAAGGCTACACGTGGATGCCAACCAGCATCCACTTTTTTGTGCCTGAGGCCTGCTGCTTAGCTGAAGAAACAGCAGTGGCTCCCTGGTCAGAGCTTTGAGTCAGCTTTGACTTCTGTGCTGCTTCCCCTGCAGACTCTGAGGCTGAGGACTGAGGAAGACTAGTTGCTGTTTTATGGGATCTTTTATATCTGAAGAGAGCTGCAACTCTTTCAGGACAAAACAGACTGAATCACAGAATTATAGAGTTGGAAAGGACCCCAAGGGCCATCTAGTCCAACCTCCTACAATGCAGGAATCTCAGCTAAAGCTCCCATGACAGGTGGCCGTCCAGCCTCTGCTTAAAAACCTCCAAGGAAGGAGAGTCCACCACCTTCCAGGGGAGACCGTTCCACTGCCAAACGGCTCTAACTGTCAGAAAGTTCTTCCTGATGTTTAGTCAGAATCGCCTTTCATGTAACTTGAATCCATCAGAGCAGGAGAAAACAAGCTTGCTCCATCTTCCACGTGACAGCCCTTTAGATGTCTGAATATGGCTATCGTCTTCCCTCTCAGCTTTCCAGGATAAACATACCCAAACAGAACAGGGTTGTCTGATTTCTACACAGGCACACTAATAAGATCTTATTTGGATCTGACCATATATTGAGCTAGACTTTTCAGAAGGGAAAAGCAACTTGCCAGCAGCCTACCAGAGTTGGCGGCATCAGGGAGTTTTGTTTCTGAGAGTGCTAGTGGCTCCAGGCAGAAGTGCAGCTGACCAGAAGATCTGGCAAGGCCTTGAAACTGTGACTGTCACAGCTGCTTGCCAAAACCCCTCTCTGCAGAAAGAAGCCATGTTCAAAAGCACACACACCCCTTTCTCCTCAAGTCCTGTTTGGGAGCTTTCCTGGGAACCTTCCTAGTCAATGCCAGAAGCAGACCAAGAGGGACTTCTGGCCTCATCCCAAAGGCACTTCTCGTGCACCCCACGCCAGGCTCCTCCTTCACACACTTCTGAGGGTCCTCTGTACCAAATATGGACATCCTCGCCTGCTCCTTGGCAGTGCCCACAAGCCAAATGATAAAGAAAAGCCAGCAACAGCTCCTACCTCTTGTGCAAATCTTGTTTCAAAATCGAGACCTTCGCCACAGACAGAGGTACATCTGGCTTCTTGGTTCAAAAGAGGACTCCACTTCGAGAACACCTTCCATTGATCTCAGTTTACCTTTAGTTGCTCTTTTTGCCTGAGGAATAAAAGAAGGAAATGAAAACGTCATTAATACTGAAAAGCACAAACAAAGCAGAAGGCATCCGGGTGTAAGAAACCGCACCAGATATCGAGAGGGCAGGGGTGGGTGGCTAAATGGACAAGGGTGCCCTTTCCCACATGCCCAGCCTGATCCTGCACTGTACGTTTTTACTCAGAGCCAAGTCTCAGCAAAGGATTGAGGGAGCCTTTCCTTACAGCCCCCTTCAGTTTGCAGACTCAGCTGTGAAAAGAGAAGAACACACATTTGTTTTCCTGACGCCGCTCAAAAGAAAAGATCTAGGTTGTCAAGGAAACCCAAAGGCCACTTCCCCTCATTCCAAAAATCCTCACACCACCAGAATACAAGCACAGTGCATTCAGCAAGGGCTGCTGCTCCATGAAAGAGGCAAAAGGGAATCCAGGAAATGTCCCCAAAATCCCTCTTTGGGATTACTGCGTGAGGCCAAGCCTGGCTACAACCGAATCCATCTCTCCCTTCCGCTATTTCGGAGCAGACCTCGACCGGGTTTTCCTTTGAGCAGTCCAGACAGCTGGGGAAGGGAAACCTGGAATTAAGGCCCTGCTTCTTCAGTGGGGGAAAGAGCAGCAAACACAGTGTAACAGATGCAATAAGAAATGGCCCCAAAGGCCAGATTCTGAGTCTGAGTGATACACCAGCCCACCAGGGACGGGGGTCCGACAAAAAGGTGCGAACAGGAACCCTTTCCCACGCTTGGAAGGACTCTGAACCTGAAGCGAAGAATGCCTGAAGCTGGAGTCAGAGAAAAGGCACCACCTCACAAATCAAACATGCTGAACCCCCAGGGGCCCATCCGAAGCCTGGCTTACCCACCTGTACCCCATAACCACATCAAACTCAAACCAGTCGGGGGCCTTTAATGGAGGCCCTTCAGGAGAGGTGATTCTCCACAAGGCCACTGACTTCTTTTCAGCGCTGGGTGCTATTTCCAGGCAATGAAGACAAAGCAAAGGGGGCCGGAGCCAACATCTGGTGACCTGGGGGCACAGACCTGGAGATGCTGAACAGGGAACAGTTTCAACACACTGCCAAAACACCACACTGTGGAACTACCAACACAATATGCCGTGGCCTGTAACCTTCGCTTCCTCTTCTTCCTTCCCAAAGAACAAGAATTTCAACCCTTCACATACTCTGGCGTGCACACACACACACACACGTGTCACTTCCAATGGCACACCACAAACCGCCAAAGGCCAGTGGGGCAAAGGGCTGGCCAGCCTCCTTGTCCCTTCCTGACCTGAGCCCAGGGAGAGAGCTGGGCTCTGCCTGCCCCCAGCCAGCTCAGCCAAAGGCCCATTCCCAAGAGGCAGCCGGCCGTGGACGTCCAGCCAAGTCTCCACACACAAGCCAAGGAAAGCTTGTCATGACCTGGCAGGGAAATGGGGCCAATCCAGCAGCCATTGCGGTGTGGGGAGTCCCCCCTCCCACAACTTCCCAACCGTGGCAACAATGTCTTTCCTGGCTTCTCGTCCTGCCGGCTGCTCAGAAGAACATATTGATCGGAGCCCAGCTGGATCCAGAATGGAAGGCTGCCAGCCTCAGGATCCCTCTAACTCCCAGGATGCTGGGCTGCTTGCTTGCGAGGAGACAAGGAGCCTGCATCTTCAGGCAGGCAGATTTGAATTTTCCTTCATGCACCCTCTTGCTTTCCCCTTTTGCTCTCTCAAGCCTTATTCTCAACAAACTACAGTGGTACCTCGAGTTACAAACGCCCCAGGTTACAAACACCCCAGGTTACAAACTCTGTTAACCTGGAAGAGTTACCTCGAGTTGAGAACTTTGCCCCAGGATGAGAACGGAAATCGTGTTCCAGCGGCGCAGCGGCAGTAAGAGGCCCCATTAGCGAAAGCACGCCTCTAGTTAAGAACAGTTTCAGGTTAAGAACGGACCTCCGGAACGAATTAAGTTCGTAACTAGAGGTACCACTGTACAGGGTTAAGAATTTAATTCGTTCCGGAGGTCCGTTCTTAACCTGAAACTGTTCTTAACCTGAGGTACTACTTTTGCTAATGGGGTCTCCCACCAACCGCCGCACAATTTCTATTCTCATCCTGAAGCAAAGTTCTTAACCCAAGGTACTATTTCTGGGTTAGCGGAGTCTGTAACCTGAAGCGTCTGTAACCAGAGGTACCACTGTACCAGCCTAAGGACTGGTCAAGGTCCTCAAGGTCAGAAGGAAAGCGAGGGCTGGGGTCAGGAGCCTCTTGCTCGGAAATGGGGGTCACTTCTGCCCCCAGGGAGGGAGGGGTGGGACTTCCTCTCAAGGGAAACTTGGACATGACCCAGAACAGCATCTCAATAGCTCACCTCACAGCACTGAAATGCAGGAATATGACCTCCCCCTGTCAGCTGGACGGCAGCCCCACCAACAGCTTCCAAGTCCTTGGTCACAGCCGTAGGCTGTGAGCAGCACTAGTGAGTAGAAGAAATGTGCAAACTTCACAAAAATAAACTAGGGATTAGGAGCCCTGTATAGCATCTGCATTACCTGATGCTATTATGCACCAAAACAATCAGATGCCATTAAAACTGGGGGGGGGGGGGGAGAGGCTGTGACCACACACTTAAGACGCAAAAACATGACACTAGTGTTCGAAATTAACTGGGCGCCAGTCAGTTTTTGAGACTCTGAAGCACCACCTAGAGACCAAGTTGAGATTTGCAGTCGTGTGGAGATGAGTTAGCTACTGATGGAGATGAGTTAGCTACCTGGAGATGAGTTAGCTACTGATAGGACTGACTGTTCCCTTTCAGGAAGGCCTCTGATGCGCAGAGGGGGAAAACATTTTTCCATTTTTGTACGATTTCCATAAGTAAGCAAACAGCTCTTTCCCACGGGAAGGGGAGGGGAGCTGGAGCTGGTTTTCACCCCTCCCCTTTGTTTGCAAGCAAACAAACCAGCTGCAAAGTTAATGGATTAATGGATTGCTTCTCTCTTGGGGGGAGCAGGGGGGCTGGCTAATTACTTAAAAGGCTTATAATGGTGATCTTGCTTCTCTAGCAGTAAAGCAGTGCCTCTTTTCTTGCTTTGCCTTTCATTTCGTCTCAAAATAATATTTTTGCTGGCTGCTTTGGTAGAATAAAGGTTTGTCTCCTTTATTTGGATTCTGCTACATCATTTTTTTCTAGGAATGCAGATTGAGCATGGGGGTGGGAGAGCAGACTGGAAAGTATGACAAAAAAAAGGTGTTTTTTGCATAGTGGGGGGTTCCCTTCCTGTTTAGCTACCCATTCTGAAGTTTGATTTTGTGTATGGAGGGAGGAGTGTAAGTAGAATAAATATTCTTATCTCTTGCAATAGATAAGAAAACCTAGGGCTGCCACACATCCAAGCAATAATGCCTTCAAAAATGGCATCTGGGCAGAATTTCATAAAAGCGGCTAAAATGTCTGGGGAAACTCAGTGTACAGCAGCCCATATCAGTAGGGTTTTTTGTTTTTTTTTGCAACCCCCCCCCCCCAAAAAAACTCAACAACTTTTGTGTCCTGATCTTCACTTTTTGAAATATGGCAACCCTAAGAAAGCCATTGTGGTCTCATTCTTGGTGACAGTGAGTGAGATTTTCTGGGTGTTGCTTGCTTTTTGAACCCAAGTCTGCAGCATGAGACAAAGTGTTTTCTAGCTGTTCCTGGAGATGAGTTAGCAAAGTTTGCTGATGACACCAAGTTGTTCAGGGTGGTTTTTAACTAAAACAGGCTGTGAAGCACTCCAAAAGGATCTCTCCAAACTGGGCGAATGAGCCTTAAAATGATAAATCGGATGCAGCGTTAACAAGCGTAAGGGGATGCATGCATGCAGGGGCAAAATATCCTAGAATCATAGAATCATAGAGCTGGAAGAGACCACAAGGGCCATCGAGTCCAACCCCCTGCCAAGCAGGAAACACCATCAGAGCACTCCTGACATATGGTTGTCAAGCCTCTGCTTAAAGACCTCCAAAGAAGGAGACTCCACCACATTCCTTGGCAGCAAATTCCACTGTCAAACAGCTCTTACTGTCAGGAAGTTCTTCCTAATGTTTAGGTGGAATCTTCTTTCTTGTAGTTTGGATCCATTGCTCCGTGTCCGCTTCTCTGGAGCAGCAGAAAACAACCTTTCTCCCTCCTCTATGTGACAGCCTTTTATATATTTGAACATGGCTATCATATCACACCTTAACCTTCTCTTCTCCAAGCTAAACATGCCCAGCTCCCTTAGCCGTTCCTCATAAGGCATCGTTTCCAGGCCTTTGACCATTTTGGTTGCCCTCCTCTGGACACGTTCCAGTTTGTCAGTGTCCTTCTTGAACTGTGGTGCCCAGAACTGGACACAGTACTCCAGGTGAGGTCTGACCAGAGCAGAATACAGTGGCACTATTACTTCTCTTGATCTAGATGCTATACTCCTATTGATGCAGCCCAGAATTGAATTGGCTTTTTTAGCTGCCGCGTCACACTGTTGGCTCATGTCAACTTTGTGGTCAACCAAGACTCCTAGATCCTTTTCACATGTACTGCTCTCAAACCAGGTGTCACCCATCTTGTATTTGTGCCTCTCATTTTTTTTGCCCAAGTGCAATACTTTACATTTCTCCCTGTTAAAATTCATCTTGTTTGTTTTGGCCCAGTTCTCTAATCTGTCAAGGTCGTTTTGAAGTGTGATCCTGTCCTCTGGGGTGTTAGCCACCCCTCCCAGTTTGGTGTCATCTGCAAATTTGATCAGGATGCCCTTGAGTCCATCATCCAAGTCGTTGATAAAGATGTTGAATAAGACCGGGCCCAAGACAGAACCCTGTGGCACCCCACTAGTCACTCTTCTCCAGGATGAAGAGGAACCATTGATGAGCACCCTTTGGGTTCGGTCAGTCAGCCAGTTATAAATCCACTGAGTGGTAGCATAGTCAAGACCGCATTTTACCAGCTTCTTTACAAGAATATCATGGGGCACCTTGTCAAATGCCTTGCTGAAATCAAGGTAGGCTACATCCACTGCGTTCCCTTCATCTACCAGGCTTGCAATTCTGTCAAAAAACGAGATCAGGTTAGTCTGACATGACTTATTTTTCAGAAATCCATGCTGACCATTGGTGATCACAGCACTCCTTTCTAGGTGCTCACAGACTGTTTGCTTAATGATCTGCTCCAGAATCTTCCCTGGTATTGATGTCAGACTGACTGGGCGGTAATTATTTGGGTCCTCTCTTTTCCCCTTTTTGAAAATAGGGACAACATTTGCCCTCCTCCAGTCTGCCGGGACTTCGCCTGTTCTCCAGGAATTCTCAAAGATGACTCGCGCCTAATGATCCTTCCACTTCTACCCCACTAACCAGGTCATCAACATTGGTTAGGACCAGATCTAAAATGGCTGTTCCTCTTGTTGCTTCTCCCACTTTCTGGACAATGAAGTTGTCTGCAAGGCCAGTGAGGAATCTGTTTGACCTTATGCTCTTGGCTGAGTTTGACATCCAACAAATATCCGGGTAATTGAAGTCCCCCATTACTACTATCTCCCTTCCTTTTGCATGCTTGGCCATCTGTTCCAGGAAGGCATCATCTATGTCCTCTGTTTGGCTTGGGGATCTATAGTAAACTCCCACAATGAGGTCACTGTTATTCTTCTCTCCTTTAATTTTGACCCAAATGCTCTCACTTTGGCTTTGAGGTTCTAAATCTTGGATCTCTTCACAGGTATACACATCCCTGACATATAACGCCACTCCTCCTCCTTTCTTGTCTGGTCTGTTTCTCCGAAATAGATTGTATCCCCCCATTATTACATTCCAATCATGGGACTTATCCCACCAGGTTTCAGTGATGCCTATTATGTCATATTTAGTTTGCTGTACCAAGAGCTCAAGCTCATCTTGTTTATTTCCCATGCTTTGCGCATTAGTGTACAGACATTGAAGTCCATTAATCATTCCCCGTGTCTCTTATTTAAGGATTTTTTCCTCCCACCACTAGGTCTGCGTGCTGTTTGCTCCATTTGGTCTATGACATTTGGATGATCATCTTCATCAATTGATAGACTCCTACCTTCAGGAGCACTGTCTCCCTCCCCCACATTAGTCAGTTTAAAGCCCTCCTGATGAGATTTCTGAGATTTCTGGCAAAAACATTTCTCCCAACCGTTGTGAGGTGCAGCCCATCGCTTGCCAGAAGTCCATCTTCAAGAAACTGCAGTCCGTGATCTAAGAATCCAAACCGTTCCTGTTTACACCATTTGCGAAGCCAGCTGTTCACTTCCAGTATTTGTCCCTCTCTCCCTGGGCCACGTCGTTCAACTGGGAGGACAGATGAGATGACAATTTGTGCATTTAATTGCTTCAATTTCCTGCCCAGAGCCTCGTAGTCTCTTTTGATCTTCTGGAGGCTATTGCTTGCAGTGTCATTGGTTCCCACATGAACCAAGAGGAAGGGGTATTTGTCAGTGGGTTTTATGATTCCTTGCAGTCGTTCAATTACATCTTGGATCTTAGCCCCGGGGAGACAGCACACTTCCCGAGACATCTTGTCAGGCCCACAGATCACTGCTTCTGTTCCCCTCAGTAGGGAATCCCCTATCACCACTACACGCCTCCTCTTAGGTTTGGTCGGGGTTCTTCCGTGAGCTGTCCGTTCCAAGGTCGCCTGCACATTCCCTGAGGACTGACTTTGCTGCTCGTCTTCATATACCTGATTGACTGTAGTGAGGGAGAGATCCTCAAATGGAGTCTGCTCTTCGTCTTCCATGCTAGGGGAGAGGACCTCAAAGCGATTGTGTATTTCTAAACAATCAGAGCAAACCCTGGGCCTCCTACTTCTTTGAGTCACGTTTCTCCATATATCTGGCTCCTGTGTTGGTGAACTAGCCTCCTTCTTCTCAGGGGAGTCCCCTGTCTCCTCCTTGGTGGAGACGGTGTGCTCTGTTGCTTCCAAGAAGAGCTCCAGCTCTCTAATTCTTTGGAGCGTAGCTACACGTTCCTCCAGTTGCTGGACTTTGTCTTTTAAGAGGGCAATCAACATGCAATTGCTGCAGGTAAAGCTGCCTGCAACCTTTGGCAAGATGGCAAACATTGCGCAGGAACCGCAGGCGACTGCAGCTGTTCCCTCCCCCTCCATCTTGAGAACGTGTCGTTGGGGGTGGCTACAGCAGTCCTCCATCATAAAAAGCGTGAAGACAGGACAAATAACTCCCCCCACAAAAAAAACCTAGGTCTCCCCCAACAAATGTTTGAGACTAGCTCCCCGAAATCTAAAAGATGGATCAAACTGCCCTGCAAGCTCTGATAAGCTCCTCCCACAGCTAATCACCTGCCTCAACAGAAACCCTGCCCCCTCTGACCTTTGCACAGGGAGAGCAGCTAATCAGCCACAAAGAAACACACACACACACGAAAACCCTTTTTGCTCCTTTTTCAACTGCTGCCCTGCAAGCTCTGATAAGCTCCTCCCACAGCTAATCCTAGCATTACATAGATGCTACTGAGGTCTGAGCTGGTGGTGGCTGACCAAGAAGGGCCTTGGGCTTCACTCCCCCCCCCCCGTGGGCCCAGGCACTGGCAGAAGGGAATCCTCAGAGGCTCCTTTTCAGTATTAGAAACTGGGACAGAAAAGTGCCATTTGGCGATCAGTTATACATCTGCGCTTCTAACACTGGCCAAACCCTGTGCGAGAGAGAGACTTCCGGGTCAGCGCCATTGGTGAATGGCGGAGTTCCTCCAACAGGAGGAACGGGCTCTGTGAAAACTGGGTCTTCCCACCGCGGCGAAGGTGGGGACCCGCTAGAAATCCCAGGCGGAGGAAGCCTGGGAACGTGGGGTTCGGCAGGGCACCAGAAGCGCCCCCCTACTCGCGGGGAATCCCATCTAGGGGCTCCGGAGCGAAGTGGGGTGAGAAGCGCTGGTGCTACGAACTGACTGCTACTTTCACGGAGTGAAGCCGCACAGCCATTGCCAGAGAGCGCTGACTTTTCCTGTGGACAATTGGACTTAAAACAAGTACCCGTGAGTAGAAACGGAAAATTGGATCAAGAAATTGTTTTAATTTGGTATCGAAGCGGGAAGGTGTAAACAGGAAGTCCGCCTTCCGTTTCTTTGTATATAGACTAAAGCCAGGATTTTGCAAGCTAAAGCCGGGAAGCTGTCAAAAAAGGATTAAATTTCCTTCATTTAGAACCACTGAAACCCCCCTTGGAAGCAGGAGAAAAGGGGGGGGGGACTCTGTTTAACCTAGCAGGAGAGGGAGTGAAGAAGGATAAGTTTCCATCGTCTCTAACCTGGGAACGGGGTGTCAGAGACAGAAACTGTTGCTGAGGTTCATTAACGGTGAACGTAACACTTTGACAGATAGCTAATGAAAAGAAACAAGTTGATTCTAATGTTGCCTTTTGCATCTTAAAGAAACAAAATATCAGAAAAACATCTGAAATATCTGAAAAATGAAAGTAACTTTCCTTTGTCTTTTAAAAAAAAATGGCTACAAGTAGATTGTCTCCTTTAGAGGGAGCTTGCTAAATTGTTGCAGCATATTTGAGACCCAACATCTGTGAGATTAAGACTGTGGGAACAGACTTTTCCGACCTTGAACAAAGATGAGCTGGGAGAAAGACTGGGTGCTTGCTCTATGCAAGACAAATGCTTTGCTGCAACAGATGCATGAAAAGATGGACTTGATGAATGAGAAAATGGATTTGACTGTTGTGGTTAATAACATTGATACAGAAATCATCCAAGAACCAACCTATCAATCTGTACCGACTGGGCAAGTGCAGTTGACAATGGAGGAGGATGTGGCTGCACCCCAAATAGTACAAATGGAGAGACCCGAGGCCCTACAGGAGCATAAGCCACTGTTATTGAAGATTGACGCTGGAGTGGGCCAAGGGGAGTCTGGAGATGAGGAGACTTCTAGCTTTGGAGAGATTCTGAAATTTGATTTTAAATTTATTTTGGATTACATCGAGGACTGTGGGGAGTGGGACTGTGGGGAATGGGTGAGCTGGATGAAGGGTGATGGAGACAATTTTGGGTTGGAATCCCCAGAGACCTACTCCTCAATGAGAAAGGAAAGAAACTAAGACAGAGACCAACAAGAGACAAGGAAAAGGGCAAGCACAAACAAGATGAAGAAGAATTGCAGAAGGGACATGGAAGAGATTTAAGGGCCTCGGACATAAGGCTTCCAGGTTGATGGACTAGACAGAATGGACAATAAGGACAATAAGGACTGACATGACCCGAGACCAGGAAGAAGAGACACTGGATGATGATTGGAAGAGAATTTATAATGGAAACTTTTTTATTTTAGAATTAGCTAATGAATATTAGGGAAAATGTGGGAATGAAACTATACGACTCTAGCAGAAATGATATTAGGAGTTATGTATATTTGAAATTTAAGATTTAAGTTTTAAGGCACTTAGGGGTAAGATAAGGTTAAATAAATTAAGGTAATCTGAATAATAGAATATGGGGAAAGATGGTAAGGATTTGTTGAGTTAATTATTAGGTTAAATTGTTAAGATAAATTTTATAACAAAAATAGAGAAAGATGGAAAGAATTTGCTGAAATAATTACTAAACTAGAATACAAAAACGGCATTGTCGGCCAATTGGTGCCAAAGAAGGACAGAATTTTTTTAATGTATGCTACAACAGCAGCAAGAATACTCATTGCAAAGTATTGGAAGAATGGCAGATGAAGGTGATGGACTATATGGAACTGGCAGAAATGACTGGCAGAATCCGAGACCAGGGAGAAGAGTCGGTGGAAGAAGATTGGAAGAAATTCAAAGACTATCTACAGAAATATTGTAAAATTAATGAATGTTAGAATGATGTTGGATAGAAATTAAGTGGTTTCCAGCTGTAATGCTATAAGGGAATATGAAAAATGGGTCATTAATAGGTAAAAATCTAACGTTACTATTTTAAGACCAAAGTTTAGGATAAACAAAGAGGGTAAGGATTTGCTGAACCAACAAATTGAACTGGAATACAAAAAAGGGAGGTATGAGGAGGTCCGGGAAACAAGCTTAGGAAAAATAAGTAATGGAAAAACTGAGTGGTTTTTAATCATTTTTATTTTGTATTTTCTTTTTCTTTTTCATTTTTATATTGTAATATTTTGAAAATCTCAATAAATATCTTATAAAAAAAATAGAATACAAAAACGGAGGTGTGAGGTCAATGCAAATGGAAATTATGGATATGCAATTTGGGATTTGTGGGTTTTTTCTCTTTTTTCTTCTTTTTTACTTTTTTATTGCTGTATTGTCATATTGGTTTTCACATTTTGTGCTGTTCCCTTTTTTTATTGTCTTCTTTTTCTTTTTTTTGTATTGTAGTGTTGTTTTCTATTTTTTTATTTTTCTTGTAATTCTGAAATTATCAATAAATATTATTTAAAAAAAAACCAAACAAACCCTGTGCGAGAGTCAGCAGTAGATGAATGGAACGGAAGTTACAACAGAGAAAGTTAGGAAAGAGGAAGAACAGATGGGAGGCAAGGGAGCCCTTGCAGATGTAGAGGGGAAGGAGGGCTGGCTGGAGAGGGGGAAGAGATGGAAGGAAAAGAAACTTCAACACTTAAACAGGAAATGGGAGGAAAGCGAAACATCTCGTTCAATATTCCCATTAGAGTTGGGTTGCTGTGGGCAGACACTGGTTGGACACTCAGCACCAGTTCTGGTGGGGGACAGGACCACCACCTTTTGTGCTCCGACAATCCCTAGGCAACTGCAAATTGGATCCCATTAAAACCATCCTGGCTAGTGGCTGTCACTACATATTGCAAGATGGAGACAGACCGTCCATCCCTTTTCTCTACCCCATGCGCTGATTTATGCATGAGTATTCAGAGGCATTGGATGCCACTAGCAGTGGAGAAGACAGCCAGCGTGGCTAGGAGCCATGGGGAGCCTTGTTCTCCTTCCAGAATCCTCTCTTAAAGCCATCCAAGTTGCTGCTCATCATGGCATCTTCTGGGAGCAAATTCCCCAGTTTCACTATGCATTGCGTGAAGAACTTTATTTTGCCTGTCCTGAATCTTCCCATTCAGCTTTGTGGGAGGCCCCAGTTTATCCACATGCATAATTTTACACACCTCTATCATCAGTAATTTATTAATTTCCTTCTGCACCATCGTCTCAAGCCAACGTACAATAAAAACAGCAAAATACAGTTAGTAACAGATACTAGTAGCAGCAGCAGATACATTTGAAGCATGAATAAAGCACTACAGAATAGCCACTCCTGGTAAAGGCCCATTCAGCCAGCGGGGAAAGCATACCAGGACAGAAATGTCTTCATTTCAATTGTTTCCAGAAAATGCAGACAGCGGGCACCTGTCAGATCTCAGCAAGAATGCTATTCCACAGAACAGGGGCTCTGCTCCGAGTTATTACAGAGAGGACTTTTGAGATTTTTGGAACTTGCAGGAGAATCTTTCCTACAGGCCACAGTGACCTACTGGGTGCATAAGACAAAGGGTGGTTTCTCAGGCAACCTGGTCCTGAGCTGCACAGGGTCTTCTATGTTAGCCCAACACCTTGATTTTGGCCCAGTGCCAAGCCAGGTGTTCTTTGCTGACAGTCGTTTTCCCTCTCAGGAAAGCCTGCTACATTCTGAACCAGCTTCGGCCTGCAAACCAACCCCAAGGGCAGCCCCACAGAGCGCATTGCGGTAATCAAACCATGAGGTTGCCAATGTACCAACAAATGTGGTTAAGCTACCCTGGTCCAAGAACGTCCACAGCTGTCATACCAACCAAGGTCAGAAAAACGCCCTCCTAGCTGCCAGAACATGTGCACCTCCAGCAAGAGAGCGGGATCCATGAACAGTCCTACTGCGCACTTGCTGCTTCTGGGACAGCGTGACCCCATCCAGGACAAGCAACTGCAGACTTCCCAAACGCGGGAATGATTCACCCAGAGCTCCCCTATGACAGGCTTCAGGCACAGCTTATTAGCCCTCATCCAGCCCACCTACCCAGCCATTCCCAATTCAGATGTTACAGAGAAAGAGAGTTGGGTACCATCACAAACTCACAACACCTTGCTCCAAAACTCCTAATGACCACTCTCAATTCCTTCATACAGATGTTAAACAGCACTGGAGACCGTCTAGGGCCATGCGGTATCCCACAGCTCAAAAGCGAAAGGGCTAAGGAGCACTCAGTCCATGCAACCTGATGGCCAATGGTATCAAAAGAACAACAGGATCACACTCCCCTCCCCAGTACCTCTCCTGAGAGGGCAGCCAAGGTGGATTCAGTTCCAAAGCCCTCTAGGTCGCTGGCCATCATTGCCTCCTGTGGGAGTGAGTTCCAGAGTTTTAACTAGATGCTGCCTGATTAAGCATTTTATCTTTTGATTATCTATTTACTTATTAAATTTTTATACCACCTTTCATGTGAATAGTACAGGGTGGTTCGCAACATAAAAATACAAACCGAGAACACAAAACACATTACAAAACAAAAACAGACTAATAACCACCCCCCTCACAAACCAATTTAAAAGGACATAGAATGTTAATCAACCAAAGGCCTGGTTGAAGAGAAACATTTTTACCTGGCACCTAAAGATATTGTAACGAAGGCACCAAGTGAGCCTCTCTGAGGGGAGCATGTCCAGACTCTTCCAAATATTTAGCTTTATTGGATGTCCAGGATTATAGAAATCAAAGAGTTGGTAGGAACCAAGAGGATCATCTAGTCTAACCCTCTGCAGTGCAGGAATCTTTTGCCTGATGTGGGGCTCAAACCCATGACCCTGCGGTTCAGAGTCTCATACTCTGAGCTATCGCTCCATTCTAGTGTTGAGAGGACAAAACTCTCCTCTATCCACTTTCTCCACATCATGCATGGGTTCATGATCTTCCACAGCCTCTTACATCTGTAGGGCTAGTCCAAGGTTTACCAGGACTACCTCTGCCGAAGGTGAGCCTTCTCACAGATGCCTACATCCCAAGTTGTCCATACAACGCAGCCCCCTCGGCAGCCAAAGCAGGTGCTGTGTCCCTGAGGTGCCAGGCAGCCCTCACAGCAGCAGAATCCGGCACTGGCCACATCAAACCAAGCACCCCGACCACCTCCCATGGGTGCCCTATGCACAGAGCCCAAGGCTGACCTGGGAGGTGAGCAGAACCCAGGGGGCATCTAGGGGAGAATGACCAGTTCAGTCACATTGGGCGTGGAGTTTCTGGGGTGCTGGATTTTGGGACCGCTGGACTGGAGACTGGCAGAGCAGGCAGAACCATGGCTCTACTGCCCCAGTTCAGGATCAGCTCCGGCTGGCAAACTGGCCATAGCTGGGTGGGAAGAGAGATGCTCCTAGCCACAGAAGCCGCCTGGACCTTGAAGGGCAAAGGTGGGTTGAGGAACAACACCCCCCCCCCCCCCGCCGCCATGCAGTTGCCCCTTTGAAGGCAAGCAGGGCTTCATCCGGATCAGGCCAGGGACCATGTTTCTGGGCAGGGGAAGCCTCTTCCGGGCATCCTGCTCCTGCCCCCCCAGCTGCCTCCAAGCCCTGATCCTGCACCGACACACCTCCACCTGCTTTCTATAAGAAGCGGGGACGCAGTCTTCTCCCTTTTTTTAGTTTCTTTATTACAGAACAATTTACATAGAACACAAACACGACGAAAAACAACATAAACAGACCACAGACCCTGACTAACACCACCTCATTTGACATTACATACCATTAACTTCCGATTCACCTGACTGTGCTTTTTATACCTTACTAGTCTATACGCACTTCATTTTTATTATTCTTTTCAGTTAGATATCCGGAAAAAAATTACTTTATAATTTCCTTCAACTTCAAGATTCAATCCGAGTCTGTCAGGAGATTTGTGTTCATGTTGTTGTTTGATCTTTTAAGCATTTCTCTGGACAGCGTCCTCTCTTTCCTAGATTTCTGGCCAGAATTTCCTCCTCTTCTTCTCCCCGGGGCCGCAGCCTGGCTCGCCGGGGGAAGGCGACGGGGCCCGGGAGGGGGGAGCCCCTCAGGGCAGCTGGCAGCCCGGCCCTTCCCCAGGAGAAGCAGCCCGGGGCCTGGACACCCCCCACCCCCAGCCCCCCGCCGCCGGCTCCGCGGGGCTCGGGAGGCGAGCTCTTCCCCGGGACGCGCACCGGAGAGCCGCTCGGTGGCGCCTCCCGGCCCAGGCGCAGTCTACCTGAGGGGGAGGAGGAGGAGGAGGCCCCCTTGCCGGGCGGGGAGGCGGGGGCGGAGGAGGCCGCTCTCCCTGGAGGCCTTACCTGGGGCGGGCGGGGGCGGAGGGTGTCCCGGGCGCCTCCTGGGCCGGCCGGCCTCCCTCGCTCTCCCTCGGCCGGGACTGGCTTCTCCGCGGCCTCCCCTCAGCTCAAAATGGCGGCGCCGAGAGAGCGCGCGGGAGGGGGCGGGGCCAGGCGCGCCTGCGCACAACCGCCCAGGCCGGCCCGGGAGGCGGAGGAGCCGGCCGGCCTCGCGGGAGCCAAGGGGACCCGCCGCCGCCTCCCCCTCCTCCGGGGCACGGGGGCTTTCTGCCGCCGCCGCCGCCGCGCCCCCCCCCCGTCCCTGCTCTCTCTCTCTCCGGCCTGCAGGGGGCGCGGGAGGGCTCGGGGCGACTCTCTGGGCCCGCCGCGCTCGGTGGCGGAAGGGGCGGGGCCTCCTCGCAGTCCCGCTTCCGGCGCCGCGGCCATGGAGGCTCCGGGCGGGCTGGAGGCGCTGCGCTGTCGCCGCCGCCGCCTCTGCCTCTCCTCTCCGGGCGCCGGGAGTCCCTCCGCGGGCGGGGGCGGCGGCTCTGCGCTGCCCTGGGGGCGCCTGTCGGCCTGGCTGGAGTGCGTGTGCGCCGTCACCTTCGACCTGGAGCTGGGCCAGGCCGTGGAGGTGGGTGAGGCGCCCCCCGGAGCGCAGGGAGTTCCGCAGGTCGGGCAGCGAGGAGGCGCCTTCCCTTCCCGCGGGAAGCGGAGCAGATTCTCCGCCGGCTCCTTCGGGGCCACTAAGTAGCTCGGCTGAGGCCCCGCTGCTTCTTGGGTCGGGGCTCCCCCGTTTGTGGCGACACGGAGCGTCCCCTTTGCCCACTTCTTCTGCTGGGTGGGTGGGTCACTCTGAGGGAACATAATAAAAATAAAAAGATAATTATTTATTCGCCCCCCACCTGGCTGGGTTTCCCCAGCCACTCTGGGCAGCTTCCGACAAAAGGTTAAAAATACATTAAAACATCAGTCTTTAAAAAGCTTCCGTGTACAGGGCTGCCTTCAGGTGTCTTCTAAACATCAGATAGTTGCTTATCTCTTTGACATCTGATGGGAGGTCAGGCACCACCGCCGAGAAGGCCCTCTGCCTGGCTCCCTGTAACCTCACTTCTCAGGAGGAAGACCTCCGTGTACAGACAGGGATGGGGGCGGAGATGCTGCTTCAGGTATACTGGGCCAAGGCAGTTTGGAGTTTTAAAGGTCAGCACCAACACTTGAATGGTGCTTGGAAACGTACTGGGAGCCAATGTAGGTCCTTCAGGACTGGTGTTAAATGGTCTCGGCAGCCGCCCCCAGTCACCAGTCTGGCTGCCGCATTCTGGATTAGTTGCAGTTTCCTGATCACCTTCAAAGGTAGCCCCACGTAGAGCGCATTGCAGTAGTCCAAGCGGGAGATGACTAGAGCGTGCACCACTCTGGCAAGACAATCTGCGGACAGGTAGACAGCTGCCCTGGACACAGAATTGACCTGCGCCTCCATGGACAGCTCCACCAAGTAGCTGAGCTGAGGCCCTGTTGCTTCTTGGGTCAGGGCTCCCCTGATTTGGGCCACGCCGAGCCGTGTGCCTCCTTTGCCCCCTTCTTCACCCTGAGGGAAGAGGCTCCTTTTGGCATCTCCCCCAGCCCAGGCTGCATCCAGGGGCCCTGCAGCTCAGAGCAGGTGCAGACATGAACCTCTGGCGCCTCAAGTGTTTCTGTGGCACAAGCCAGAGGTCTCCAGCCCCCCTCCAAATGCTGCAAGGAAACTGAGGCAGCTCTTGCTGGGAGGGGCTGGGCTCTGCCACCTGCCGGGTCCAGCCACTGAGAGTTTCTCCTTTTTTTTGCAGCTGGTGTATCCCCCTGACTACACCTTGACGGAAAAAGAGGTGAGAGGGCCCCGGCCCCACTGCTGCTGCCCTGGCCCCAAAGCCTGTGGGGTGGGGAGTGGGGGGAGGAGCTGCTCTTCACACCCTCTTCGCTTCCTGTGTTCCAGAAAACAAGCATCTGCTACCTATCCTTCCCCGACTCTTACTCAGGTAAGTGGGTTTGGCACAGGGTCAGGACAGAGTCAAGTAGGGAGGCAATACAGCCATTGAACCGCCGGCTGATTTGATCTGCTTTGGTATTTGTATTGTGTTTTTACAACAACGTCAGGTTCTAGGTGCTTGAGGCAGTGGCTCAACAGAGAACAACTTTTCTATGGAGTTTCTAAAATTCCCCAAACGGATTCCTGGAAAAAGGCAGAGTCTTAAGTGGTAGCATTCAATCTGTCTCTCTGCAGTCACTTCAGAATTGTTAGGGAAGGAGTTGCTGGTGTAAAGGGTAGAGGTCCTGTCCCCAATCAGGATTAGTGCCGTGTATCCAACCGTGTATCCAACTGCCCACAGCAACCCAACTCTCAGGTGGGGCAAGGGAGTCCTCTGTCTCTGGAGATTCACGCCAGTGTCCTTTTCCAGCTTGCGTGGGGGCCTGCAGTCACCCTGGACGATGGCTTCAGGCATGTGGATTTTTGAGGAGGGCAGAATCCTCTTGAATCCATTGTCTCAGCCGCTCTGTTTCTCCCGCCCTGTCTCTCTCCATCCCAGGCAGCCTGGGAGACACCCAGTTCAGCTTTCGCTTCCGTCAGTCTGGGGGGCAGCGAAATGCAGTGGATGGGGATGACTTTGACTATAACAGGGAAGCTGCTGTATCGTTACAGGTCAGTTGTGATACTTTCAGGGTTAAAAGCAAAAGGGCTGAGATGCTTGGCTTTAGTCTCCAGGAGACGTAGATTTTTAGCATTTCTGAGATGGAAACTATTATCGTTATTACTTGTCGTTTAGTACAAAAAATTAACTTTAAACAACTTTTTTTAAAATGTTAAATTTGAAATGCATCTATTCTGAACGACATCTCTGGGGATGAACTTGTGGGGGGCCAGACTATATTTGGGGGGGGGGAATGAATGAATTCCTATGCCCCACAAATAACCCAGAGATGCATTTTAAATAAAAGCACACATTCTACTCATGTAAAAACACGCTGATTTCCAGATTGAGAAGGCGATTGGGCCGCATCCGGCCCCCTGGCCTTAGGTTGCTTACCCCTGCTCTAGAGGGTTGTAGCCGTGAGGACGTCCCTGCAGGCCAGGCGCTGGGGCTGAACGTGATTGTGGGGGGTTGTTCACAGACACTTCTGCTTCCCCAACCCAGAGAGACCCTGCACACTACTTTGGCTACGTGTTCTTCCGACAAGTCAAGGACAGCTCTGTGAAGAGAGGCTACTTCCAGAAGGTGAGCCAAGCCTGGTTGCTCAGGAGCCTCTGACCTGATGAGCCGTTTCCTTTGCACAAAGCTGGAGTCGCTCCTTGCCAGTGAGGCTCTGGCAGAAGAGTAGGGAGGAGCGGAGGGGGCCCAAGGAGGGGCAGCTATGCCAAGGGCCTCAAAAGCGGGGGGGGGGGCTGCTTGTTCTCCTGGCTCCTCCAGCCTCTTCTCTTCTGGGTCTGCCGGGTGCTGCCCAAAATGGCACGAGCCGTAAGTTTGTGCTGTAGGAAAGTGTGGTGGAGCTGCTTCCTCCTGGGCAGATGGCAGGTCCCTTGGGGGTGTCACAGAAGCAGCTTTGGAATTAGGGTGCTGGGCAAGAAGAGAACCAAGCAGATTTGACCCACTGGCCTGAAACGATGGGCAGAGCACAAGAGGGGGGCTGTGGGGAGCGACACAAGATGGAAAAGGAAGAGGAGGAGATGGGCAGGATCTCTTGCAGCCCTTCCTGCGTCTTTCCGAGAGTCATGGCTGCCCGCCAGTGTAGGAGCTGGGTGTGGAGAGGGCAGCTGAATGGGGCAAAGCTGTGGGCAGCCAGAGGAAGCGCCATCCCTCTTGGGCTGCCCATAAGAAGCGAGTCTAGAGGGAGAGACGAAGGAGATGTCTGCTGTTTCTGAAAACTCTTCTCTCTGTGGGTGAGCAAAGAGCTTGTTTGGACCCTGGCTGGGTGAGAACCCAGAGGCTGAGAGGGAGGACTTGTTATTGATGTATAGATGTCAGGAATGTTGTATTATCGTAACAGTTTAATACTTAACTATGTTCTTGTAATATTTTGCGTAAGTTGTCTGCTGTTGCTTCAGTTTTCTGTACACTGCTTAGAGGTATTTTTACTCTATTAAATGGTATCGAAATGCAGCCATCCATCCATCTCTCTCTCTCTCTCTCTCCCTCTCTCCCTCTCTCCCTCTCTTTCTCCCTCTCCTCCAGTCTCTTGTCCTGGTGTCTCGCCTCCCCTACGTCAACCTCTTCCAGGCCTTGCTGCAGCTCATAGCCCCAGAGTACTTTGACAAGCTGGACCCGTGCCTGGAGGCAGGTGAGAAGGGACTGGTTACCCCTGGGGCCAGGCCTGACGATGGCAGGCAACATCATTGCCCAACCTGGCGCCCTCCAGGTGTTTTGAACTACAACTCCCAGCAGCCCCAGCTGGCCCAGGGGACAGGAAGCTGATTGGAGTCATGGTCCGAAAGGCCTGGAGGGCGCCAGGTTGGCCAAGGCTCCCAGGAACCTGTGCAGAGGTGGCCCTTTTGCCTGTCCTGCATCTCCTGCTGGCCAGTTTTGCGGGGTGACCTGCTGCTGACCCCACCCCAAGAGGAAGCCCTTCTGTTTTCTCTCCAAGACGCCCCATTGCCTGAGCCTCTCATCTCCCAGGTACGCGGGGAGAGATGGCTGCCGCCGTGTTGGCCTTTCCCCTCCTCCCCAGGATGGGGGGCAAATCAGCTGAGACGATGGAGGGAGGCGGGGGCCACTGCATTTGGGGTGGGGGAGTCCAGGGCTGCCTCCTAAACCAGCCTTGCCTCTTCCAGTGTGCAGCGAGATTGACCAGTGGCCGCCGCCTGTGCCGGGCCAGACCCTCAATCTCCCAGTGATGGGCGTTGTCATTCAGGTAATAATAATAATAATAATAATAATAATAATAATAATAATTTATTTATATCCCGCCCTCCCCAGCCGAAGCCGGGCTCAGAGCGGCTAACAACAATAAAAGTAACACAGCATTCTAAAATCAATTCATTTTAAAATCAATTCAGAATCAAATTAATGGCAACCATTGGGCTAGAGCTCTGTGAGGATTACCAAAGGAGGGGGGTCAGGCTGTGCCCTGGCCAAAGGCCTGGTGGAACAGCTCCGTCTTGCAGGCCCTGCGGAAAGATGCCAAGTCCCGCAGGGCCCTAGTCTCTTGTGACAGAGCGTTCCACCAGATCGGGGCCATGGCTGAAAAGGCCCTGGCCTTAGTTGAGACCAATCTAACCACCTTGCGACTTGGGACCTCCAAAGTGTTGTCATTTGTGGACCTTAAGGTCCTCCGCGGGGCATACCTGGAGAGGTGGTCCCGTAAGTACAAGGGTCCTAGGCCGCATAGGGCTTTAAAGGTTAAAACCAGGTACCTGTCGGGGATGGGGTGCAGCAGGGGAGGGGGCTCTGGGGGAGGGGCGCTCACTCTGCCTGTCCCTCTTCATGGCGCAGGTGAGGATTCCCTCTCGTTTGGACAAGCCTGGCTCCAGCCCTGCCAAGCCCCAGAATCAGGAGGTGAGAGCTGCTGGGACTAGGAGGCGGCCGGGGGGGGGGGGGAGGAGGGGGCGGATCCTGCCATGGCCTATGCTTTTCCCTGCGGCACAGTAAGCAGCATTCGATGGTCTCCCTGTGGACACTCCTTCCTTGGAGGTTTCTAAGCAGAGGTGGGGGGGGGCACCTGTCAGAGGTGCTTTAGCAACAGTTCCTGCATTGCAGGGGGGCGGGGACTAGACGTGACGTGTGAGAAGAATGGCTGGGTGGCAAGATGCCGTTCTTCAGCTCAGCGGGGCAGAGATGGCCCTTGTGGTTCGGCCTGCGGCTGCCTCCACCAGGACAGGGGCTTGTTTCTGCATATAACTGGGTCCTGAGCTGCTGTCAGCTGGTCTCTGCCTGGAGTTGCCAGACTGAATCCCTCCAGGGACCTCTAAATGCCGCTCTATCTGACTAAGAAGACACCTGAAGGCAGCCCTGTTTAGGGAAGTTTTTTATGTTTGAAGTTTTATTCTGCTTTTAGTTTTCTGTTGGGAGCCGCCCAGAGGGGTTGGGGAAAGCCAGCCAGATGGGTGGGGTATAAAGAATAAAATTATTGTTATTATTGTTATTGTGACCCCTCATGTGCTTCCCTCTGGGTGAACCACATTGCACGGGGGGGGGGGGGGGTTTTTATGATGCCAACCGTGTCTCCCTTGGGATTTGGACTGAGACTTAAAGCTCCATTTGGGTCATCCACTGACTCCCTTCCTCTCCCCCCCCCCCAGAACCTCTTGCCAGCCCCCCTAGTCCTCCCCAGCATCCACGAACTGGACCTCTTCAGGTGAGAGCACTCTCTTCTTCTGCCCCCTGCTAGAAGGGGCAAGTCTGGGGAGCTGCAGAGGGCACAAGGGAGGGGAGGGGGGGTTCCTGAGTAGTATCTGGTGGGGCAAAGGGGGGGCTCTCAGGGGAGCCTGCCTACCCTTTGGCCCAGAGCAGGCACCCCCAAACTCGGCCCTCCAGAGGTTTGGGGGCTACAGTTCCCATCATCCCTGACCACTGGTCCTGGTAGCTAGGGATGATGGGAGTTGTAGTCCCAAAACAGCTGGAGGGCCGAGTTTGGGGTGCCTGGCCAGGAGCCTCCCCAGGGAGGGGATTTTGCTTCAGCAAAAGGTAGTTTGGATGGCTTTAAATGGGGGTGGACAAATTCATGGAAGAGAGGAGGGCAATGGGTGGCTCCCAGCCTGCTCAGATGGCGGCAGCCGTGGAAACCTCAGGCAGGGAGACCAGCTCCTGAGTTCCGATCCTGAGTGTGGGTTTCCCCCTCTGGTTGGCCCCTGTGAAAAGAGGGCACTGGGGCTCCCTTGGGCCTAATCCAGCCGGTTCTTCTGGGGTTTTGAGGGGTTTTTCCTCACCCTGGGGGGCTCCTTTCATCCCCCTTGGGGAATCTGGTGGCAGGAGCCCCAGAGACTCATGGGGACAGTTTTCTCTGGGGGCAAAGCAGCTCTTGTCTCTGGGGGGCCTGAGGAGGCTTCGATGCACCACCTCGTCCCGCTTTCCGAGGCCTGGCGATAGGGGCGAGGGCGCCCCTGCCCCACAGTCAGCCTGCCCTGGCCTGGCCCCACCTGCCCCCTCCCGCTCTCTCCGCAGGTGCTTCCAGCCGGTGCTGATCCACCTTCAGGCGCTGTGGGAGCTGCTCCTCCTGGGGGAGCCCCTCGTGGTCATGGCGCCTTCGCCTGCCGCCTCCTCAGAGATGGTCCTCGCCCTGACCAGGTGGGGGGCCGCTGGGCCCAGTTAGCCTGTTGGGGCGGGGGTGGGGGCGAATCTCCAGAGTTGCCCCTGGTTAAAAGACCCTCAGAGCCCCTTGCCAAAGGGGAGGACAAAGGGGACCCCCTATCAGGGCAAGGGGGGTTCTGCCAGCACCTATAGCAGTCTTCCTGCCCCCCCTGGCCGGTTTGGGGGTGCCTGTGGGAGCCTCCTGACGGGGGCTGCCCCCTCCCTCTCCACCAGCTGCCTGGCCCCCCTGAAGTTCTGCTGCGACTTCCGCCCCTACTTCACCATCCACGACAGCGAGTTCAAGGAGTACACGACGCGGACGCAGGCCCCGTGAGTGTCCTCGGGGGGAGATGCCGGGGGGGGACAGACCGGGGGTTCCTAGCTGAGGATTGACCCCCCCCTTCTCCCCCCCCCAGGCCAAGTGTTGTCCTGGGCGTCACCAATCCCTTCTTCATCAAGACTCTGCAGCACTGGCCTCACATCCTGCGTCTGGGGGACCTCAAGATGGCCGGTAAGGAGGGGTTCTGGGCCCGCCTGGCTGCGAGGATCCTGGCCCTTGGGAACTGGGGGGGGGGGGTTGGAGGGGGGAGCAGTCCAGGGCTCAGCCAGGGGCACAGGAGCCCATGCCCGGAAGGCCAGCCAGGCTCAGGGACATGTTGGCTTGCAGCCCCCCACCCTTGGGCCTTGTGATTTTACTTTTTTAAAAAAATATATATTAAAGATTTAAACAAAACGTATTATCCAAAAGCATGTCATCCTTAATTTTTTCCCCATTTTCCTCCCCCCCCCCAAAACCCCACCACCACCCCGACTTCCCTCAGTTCCAGTCTTTGGTTTCTTTGTGAATGCTGTTCTCTGCATGTTACAAAGTTGTATAGATCCTTAAAATGTTTAGCTGATTATTGTCAATAAAAAAAGTTTCTGAATGTTTATTCAAAACCTGCCAAGGAGTCCAGTTCGCTTTGTTGCGTCTTCAAATACTTTGTAAAGGGTTCCCATTCATCTTTTAAGTCACAGTTATCCTTGTCCCATAGCTTGTGTGTCAGTTTTGCCAGTTCTGCATAGTCCATCAATTTTTCTTGCCGTGATTCTTTAGTTGGAATTTCTTCGGCCTTCCATCCTTGTGCTATTCGGACGGCCTTGTGTTTTTCCTTAGGGGATTTGCCCAAGCAGGTCAAGGTGAAGAAGCTGGCCAAGCTGAAGACCTTGGACGCCAAGCCGGGTAAGGAGCAAGGCTCTGGCTGTGCCCCCGGGGGCCGCAAAGGTGGGCCTCAGTGGGCCTTTAGGAGCCCCTCGGTGGCTCCGCTGCTGGTGCCGTGTTCAAAAGCCGCTCCTGGATGAGACAGCAGAGCAGAGAAGCTGGCAGGGGCTCCCCCAGCACTTGCTGGGTGGGCGGCCAGCAGGTGCCTCTCTCTCACCTGGGAAACACAGGGGGCTCCATGGCATTCCCTGCGAAGGACCCCCCCCCCGCCACATGGCCTCCTGGCCTCACTTCCTTGTGGTGGTCTCTGGCTGCAGGACTTTACACCTCCTACAAGACCTTCTTGCACAAGGACAAGACCCTGATCAAGCAGCTCTTGAAGGTGAGTGGCGGGCGCTGCGGGGGGGGAGGGGCTGGTGGCTTGGAGCCCAGTTCCCCCTTGGGGGTCAGAGCCTTCCAGGAGAGGGGCAGGGAGAGGCCGGGGCCCCCACAAGCGCCATGACCTTCCCTCCCGCCTCGCAGGGCATCCACAAGAAGCAGCCTTCCGACGCCCAGAGTGCCCTACTGCGCCGCCACCTCCTGGAGCTCACGCAGAGTTTCATTATCCCCCTGGTGAGTAGCGGCAGCGGGAGGGGGGGCAGGTGCCCCCTCCATCCAGCCTCGGCCTGCCCAGGGAAATGAGGAGGACGAGGAGCACAGGGGGAAGGCAGCCTTCCACTGACGTGGGCCATGGAGGCGCGTCCCCCTCCCCGTTGCCCCCCCTGACTGGCAGCCAGGGCTCTCTCTCCCCGCCCTACGTGGGGCCTGGAGGCCTTGTGCACGCCCAGCAGGTGCTCTGCCGGGGGGCCTCTCTCCCTTTGGAGGTTGCGGTCCTGCTGCCCCCTGGGGAGGAGGCTGGCTGTTTCAAGCCATCCCCCCCCCCCCGAGCTGCATGATTGTCCGGGCGGGGGGGAGGCCTCTTCTTGGCAGAGCTGAAAGGGGGTCCTCTGATTTCTTTCTCCCTCCTGGCCTTCCCTAGGAGCACTACATGGCGAGTCTCATGCCGCTACAGAGGGCCATCACCCCCTGGAAGGTACGTGGTCTCCCCCCCAGCTCAGTTCTGAGCTCTCAGGGCAGCCCTCTGGTGGCAGCGCCAGGGGGTCTTTGCCCGCTGGGTCACCCACAGGCTCCTCTGGCCTGGCTGCTGTAGGGGCCAGTCACGCAGGGCGCATATGGGGGGCAGCTGGCCAAGCGCATGCTCTGCGGAGCACAGTGGTCTTTGTGGCTGCAGCCCCCTGGCCGGAAGGGATGTCGCTGGGCTGTGGGCATACCCGGAGGGAGTGCCCAGTTTGCCATGGGTTCATTCATTCTCTCTCTCTCTCTCTCTCTCTCACGTGCTCAGAACCCCCCTCAGATCCGCCCTTTCCAGCAGGAGGACTTCCTCAAGACCCTGGAGCATGCTGGGCCTCAGCTCACCTGCGTGCTGAAGGGGGACTGGGTGGGCCTGTACAGGTAGGCCTTGGAGGGCTAAAACAGGATGGAGGTGCTCTTCCCTGTGTGTGGAAAGCTAGGGTCTCAAGGAGCAGAGCAGGCAGGAGCCATCAGGAACAAGATTTTCAACATCAGGGAGTTTGTCCAATGGGGGAACCTCCAAACCCAGTACAATCGTATTTCGAAATAGTACACAGTCCAAAAAGAAGGCTGCTTTTTTCCAGAAAGTGTAGGTTACCTGTTCACCCCTGAATCTGGTGAGAGGCTATTCCCTGGAGACCTCCCTTTCTGCAAGCAGGGAAGGGGACATTGCTGCTCCCCTCGCTCGTCTCACGACAGCCCTTGGGGGCAGCCATAGAGGAAGAGGGCCAGTCTTGGGGTGGGAAGTGGCTGCTGCCTTCATTGGCAGGCAGGAGGTCCTTGCCAGCCCTGCCTGGACCCCCTGGAGATGGAGCCTGGGACCTTCTGCACGCAAGGGAGATGCTGTGCCCCAGAGCTCCAGCCTTCCCTGGTCGTGCGCCAGAAGAGGGCAGCCGAGGGTTGGAGCGCGCAGGCCCCTTTCAGGAGGGGGAGAGAGAGAGAGGGAAGGAGCTGGCTCTCTCTACATCACTCCGTTTTGGCACACGTCACCCAGAAAATGGAGCTCCCTCTTGCTGTCATCCGTGCTCCTCGGTCCTGAGCTCCAGACCAGCTTGGCAGACTCGGCTCAGGCTGCAGTCATTGGCCTGATTGCTAGGGAGACACCCAATGGCTCCCCTGGCTCAGCTCCTTGCAGACCCCCCCCCATGGGCTGCTTCCCTCCACTGTGTCTCAGCCGCAGATCTCAGCCTCCCTGCCAGGGACCAGATCCTGCCCATCGCAAACGGGCCTCATCCATCCCTCACTCTCTGGCCCCTGAGGACTGGAAACCAACCAAGGCCCAGCAGGCCTTGCAGGACCCAGCCTCCTCCTGTCGCTTAAAGACTAGGCAGAGCCTCTGCCTGAAACCCCAGTCCCGTCCCGTCCCCCGTGGCCCCCTTGCAACACCCACCCAGCCCCCTTCTCCCCCCTCCCCACAGGCACTTCTTCCTTTTTAAAAATATTTTTATTAGGAATTTAAACAAATCATATAATCTTAAAACATATCATCCTTAATCCCCCCCCCATTTCCTCCCCCCCCCCATTAAACAACCCACCCTTCCCACCCCCTGGCTTCCCTCAGTTCCAATCTCTGGTTTCTCTATAAATGCTATTCTCTGCATGTTACAAAATTGTGTAGATCCTTAATTTATCTGACTGGTTATTATTAGTAAAAAGTTTGTGAGTGTTTATTCAAAGCCTGCCAAGGAGTCCAGTTCACTTTGTTGCATCTTTAAATACTTTGTAAAAGGTTCCCATTCGTCTTTGAAGTCACAGATATCCTTGTCCTGTAATTTGTGTGTCAATTTTGCCAATTCTGCATAGTCCATCAGTTTCTCTTGCCATAGTTCTTTAGTCGGGGTTTCCTCACTCTTCCTTCGTTGTGCTATTAAGACTCTTGCCGCCGTTGTCACGTACGTGAAGATATTTTTCAACTTCCTTGGCAAGTCTTTTCCTACAATCCCTAGCAAAAATGCTTCAGGTTTTTAAACAAATGTTAGATGGAACATTATCTTCAATTCATTGTCACAGGCGCTTCTTCCGATCCCCGAACTTTGATGGCTGGTACCGCCAGAGGCACCGGGAGATGATGCAGAAGTTGGAGGCCCTGCACTTGGAAGCCATCTCGGAGGCGGTGCGTGCAGAATGGGGGGTGGTGAAGGGAGGCTCCTGCATCAAGGGGCGGCTGCCCACACGTCCCCCTTGCGCTTGGGGCTGCTACACTTGGGGCAATCTCAGCCCTCGGGGTTTGCTGCTTTTGCTGCGGCCAGCAAAGTCTTGTGAGGCCCGTGCTTTCCTGGGTGATTCAGCCTCCGACAAGCAGCAGTGGTCCGTCCCCCCCGTCCCCCCGACTGCTGCTTTACCTGGCCAGGTTTCCTGGGGGGAGATCAGAGCTGGGCTTGCGTCACCCTCTTCAGGCAGCAGCAAGGCTGGAAAGGAGCTGGGCATTTCCGTCTATAAGACAAGGCTTTTGTATTAAAAAAATAATGTTTAAAATTGTGGGTCATCTTAGACACGGATAGTGCATAGGGGGGACGTGGGACAGGTTGCTTCCGTGAGCCGGAGATTTTCAGCGGCTGTTGGGCATGTTATTGCTGGCTGTGGCAAGGGCTGGTGTTGATTGGCTGTCACGGCAGCAATTTGGTGGGCAATTGGCGGCCTCTGTCAGCAAGGGGACAGGCACTAGGTGGCTTTAGCCATGCGTGCAAGTTTTCGCGTAGGTCATGTGGGTGAGCGATTTTCAGCTATTCCTCCTTTAGAAAAAGCTCAACACTCAACAACTCTGGGCAATCTCCCCCCCCCATGATAAAAATGATGAAGAATACGGTATTTCTTCGCAGTCCGCTTGAGGGCTTTGCAGAGTCAAGGCACCTGCTCAGCATTTTGCAAAGAGCCAAGCAGGACACACTTGGGCTCCAGCTGAGTCGGGCTCAGGTTTGCCCAGACAGCCCCCCCCCCCCCCGTGCTTTGCAAGATTCCTAGCAGGTGCGCCAGAAAGTGGCCCCCGGATCAGGGCCATTGCCATTGCCCAGCCCTGCTCTGGGGAGGAGGAGGAGGAAGCAAGGAAGCGTCTTCCCAGCTGAGTCGGCTTCTTTTCCCACAGAACATCCGGGCCTGGGTGAAGGACAAGTCTGAGGTTGAGGTGGTCGACCTGGTCCTGAAGCTCCAGGAGAAGCTGGTAAGCAGGATGCTCCCAAGTGAGTTGCACCTGATGGGTGCAAGGTGCTCGGATCGGGGTTCTCTCCTCGAGGGAGCAGAGCGGAGCCTGGCTGGCTGGCTGGCCCCTCCAGACTCTGGCCAGGCCTGTTTCAGCCTTGGGAATCCCCTAAGAAAATCTCAGCGGACAAGAGTCAGGGCTAAACTCCTACAGATCCCTCCGCTGAACTTTTGCATGTGGGCAATAACTGGAATCCTGAAGGAGGAGGAGACTCTCTTGGGTCGTTGGGCGATGTGTTGGTCCCCGTCTGTGGGGACAGGCAGGCAAGTGGTGCCTGGTGTGCATCCCTGCTGCGAAAGGGGGAGAGGAGCAGCTTCTCTCAAGGTGGGCACTTGGTATGTCAGAAAGAAATGGCGATACAGACGTTTAAAAGGATGTGCTGTCCAGTTCACGGGGTGGCTTCAGTCAGTCACTTTTAGTGACCTGATTCTGCCTCTCCCAGTGGACTGGTCTTCAGAATATAAGAGCCTGAGACTGGATCAGGCCACAGGGGCCTATCTCGGCCAGTATCCTGTCCTTACAGTGGGCATCCAGCTGCCCCCCCCCAAGGGCAAGTCCACAAGAAGGATCTTGGCCCAGGAGCAGCCTTCTCCCCTCCTGCACTTTCCAGTAAATGGTGCGCAGTGGAGCGTTCCCAAAGCAAAGGAAGGATTAGACTCTGATTAATAGAATACACACAGAGGCTTGACCAGCAAGACTCTGGGAGGGGTGCGTGTAATAATCTGTGCCTCCACCCCTTGGCCCAGGTCGTTTTATTCATAAAATAACTATTTACACAGCGTTCGTAAGAACCAATCAGATATCCTCTGAGCGTTTCAAAAAACCCCACGTGGGACAAAGTTACACTACAAAAGCTAATTTAAGCATGCATACTTCTAGGGTAAATAAAACAACTAAAAAGGAAGAATGCATTCAACAACCCCGGAGGTCATAAACAAGCAATAAATACAGAGGAAGGATGGCAAGGAGATAGGGATTTTTATCACCTTCCTGTGAAACTATTTCCAGGCCCTAAGATTAACCAAACCAAGGAAGGGTACATCAAAAAAACTACCTATTATCTTTCTGTACTGAGGATGCCTGATGAAGCAACTGGCCTGTGTTTCAGAATGCTTATACGTGCCTGTCAGGCGTAGAGAAATGGGCAGTAGAGGAAATGGCCGGAAATGCTGAGGCTTGTAGGATTTGATCAGAAATTATTGTCAATGAATCGAACACAGTCAATGCCATGCTTTCATAGCTGATGCATATTTTATAATTCCTCATAGTAATCCCATCTGATCCCCACACTCTGGACATGTGCAGAAGCATTTCTTCCTCTGACTGTGGAGGCCAGAGCTGAGCTCTCAGGGCTCGTCCCCACCCAGAGCTGCCTCCTCCTCCTCCTCCTCCACGAATGGGTCTAATCCTCTTTTGAAGCCCTCTAGGCTGGTGGCCACGGCCACCTCCTGGGGCAGGGAGTTCCAGAGTCCATCTCTGTCTGCTTAACTCTTGCGCCTTGCCTCCCCCGCCAGGTGCGCGCCAGGTGCCACCGCCTCCCCGTGAAGGAGGAGGTTCTGCATCGGGTGGGCCTCTACATCGCCACCATCATTGGGTCGCTCCCTGAGGACCTCCAGGCCGTCCTGGGCCCCCAGTAGAGGCCGCCTGGGCCAGAGGAACCCGACGGCGGGGAGGCAGCTGCCCCCCATCTTGGCAGGCTGGGCCTGGAGTGGGGCGCCCCGTGGGCTCTTGGAGGGGGCCGCCCTTCCTCCCCACAGAAGCTCTTCTGCCTGCAGGACCCTCTCCTTGGCCCAAGGATGGTCTCCTGCCCGTTGCTGCGCCCACATCTCCCCTGTGCCAGAGAAGGGAGAAATGTCTCCCGCCAGGCAGACGGTGGCCCTGACGTGAGGGCAAGTGGCAGCCCCTCCACCCTGCCCCCCAAAACCCCTTCTCCCTCCACGTGTGTCTGGATGTGCCTGCTGTGCAGTGGCGGTAAATGAATAAGTGTTGGTTGTCAGGATCCTTTGCTGCTGAGCTTTGCCTCGGCCATCTTTATTTATTGCCTTTTTACACCCCCCTTGTCTAAGCCAAAGGTTCCCAATGTGGGGGGTAGTGCCCCCCTTTGGGGGGCAGTGAGATTCCCTGGCGGGGCGCTGGAGGAACAAAGGACCACCAGTCTTTGAAACGCTGGCGTCGCTGGATCCAGTTCACCCGCTTTGTTGAATTAAACTCAGTCGTTTTAACAGGCTTTGGAATAAATGTGCAATTAATTGTTCTTGTTTTTGATTTCATTTGTTCTTGGGTTGGTGGTGCAAACTGCTCTTCTGAATAAAGCTTTTTATAGGGAACCGGGGGGCTGGAAAATGCTGGGAATGGGCTGCGCTGAAGGACAGAAGTGAAGAATGGGCACACAATCTCACCAGTGCTGCTAGACGAGGGTTCCCTCTTCACCTTGCCCCTTGCACCCACAAGTGGGCTGCCGTGGGGGCCCCTCCTCTCTGCCAGGCTTTCCAGCATCTGCATGAGGCCGCTGGGTGAGATCACCAGGATGCGGATGATGCCCCATTGAGCTCTCCTAAATTGGAAGCGGGGAAGGCAGGAACGCCCTGTGTTAGTGTCTGCAGGATGGATGGTGGTCAACGGATGGAGGTGCTGCTTCAAGGGGGCAGGCGGGTGGGGCGGGTAGAGGGGAGACCCTTCAGCCATTCTCAACCTCTGGGTCCCCAGATGTTGTTGGACTACAACTCCCGTCATCCCTGAGCTCTAGCCTTGCTAGCTAGGGGTGATGGGAGTTGTAGTTCAACAACATCTGGGGACCCACAGGTTGAGAAAGGCTGCTCCAGGTAAGCAGGGCAGAGGCCATGGAGGACTTTGGATTCTGCTCAGAAATGTACTGGAAACCAGTGGAGATCCTTGAGGTGTTCTATGGACCTGGTAATTCTGCACAAGCTTCCCTTCCAAAGCACAAACTTCCCCGGTAAAACTGCCTAAATATGGAGCGCGCACCTGCCATCCATAGGGATGCGAGTGCCCGCCTGAGCTGCCTGTAGGTCTTCCTGACGGAGCGAGCAGCGCTTGCTGGCTGTTTCCGTTTTGGCCATTGAGGGCGCTGCGGAGCCACGAATTTGACAGCTTCGGGTTTATTAAAATAATAATAAATTTATTACTTGTACCCTGCCCATCTGGGTCTAAACGGCGAGTGGGGGCGCTTTTGACAGGCTAAAGGGGAACTCAGGGCGCAGGCCCTGATGTGAACAACTGTGGGGTCTGGGGAGGCTTTGGTGAGAAATGTAGTGCTTTTAAGCAGAATTGCCATGTTCCCCAAAATGAAAATCAGGACAGAGTTTTGAGGGTTTTCCTTTTTTTTTAGCCCTAGTTTAAGGCAACATTTCTAGGCACTTCTGTACATGCATCGTGATGCTCTAGGTCTCAGGAAAGTGGGGCAGCACCGTCTCCTCCCGGAGCAACAACTAAGGGGCTCTTGTCCTGCTTTTGGCAGAGCCTTCCCCCCTGCGAGCTCCTCCTCCACCTGTTTTTTTCTGGCCCGGGGAGAAAGCTCAGCCCCCATCCAAGAGGGTACCCCCTAGAGAGCATCTCTCGCGGGGCTCATTGCGCGGCTCCTCCTCGGCTCCCGCTTTCGGGAGGGGGGGGGAGCCTGCTGCGCTCGGCTTTTGATGTTGTTGTTTAGTCGTTTAGTCGTGTCCGCCTCTTCGTGACCCCCTGGACCAGAGCACGCCAGGCCCTCCTGCCTTCCACTGCCTCCCGCAGTTTGGTCAGACTCATGCTGGTAGCTTCGAGAACACTGTCCCACCATCTCGTCCTCTGTCGTCCCCTTCTCCTTGTGCCCTCAATCTTTCCCAACATCAGGATCTTTTCCAGGGAGTCTTCTCTTCTCATGAGGTGGCCAAAGTCTTGGAGCCTCAGCTTCAGGATCTGTCCTTCCAGTGAGCGCTCAGGGCTGATTTCCTTCAGAATGGAGAGGTTTGATCTTTTTCCAGTCCATGGGACTCTCAAGAGTCTCCTCCAGCACCAGAATTCAAAAGCATCAATTCTTCAGCGATCAGCCTTCTTGATGGTCCAGCTCTCACTTCCATACATCACTAGTGGGAAAACCATAGCTTTAACTATACGGACCTTTGTAGGCAAGGTGATGTTTCTGCTTTTTAAGATGCTGTCTAGCATCTTGAAAAGCGCTCGATTTAGCAAGGGTTAAAAGGCAACAGCTGGATTCCTAGAGAAGACAGGAAGCAAAGCCAGGGGGGGGGGGCCTGGTCCTCCGGACCCCTCCCTCCTTCTCAAGCCCCTGAAGGGGGGGTTGCTGTTTTGTCTCTGCGCTGCAGATGCTGCGCCGGTGGCTCCTGCTGGGATCCGGTGAGTCTCCTCTCTCTTGACCCAGAGGGCCCTTGGGGAGAAGGGGGTCCCGGGGCTGCAGGGAGGGGCTTGCGGGGAGTTCAGCTCATGCGGGGGACCCCAAGTTTGGGAGCGGAGGGTCCTGCCAGGGAGGGGCAAGTTCGCAGGAGGGCTCCAACTCTGCGTTGCCTTTGCATCGATGCGCTGCTGCTGGACCCGGGGTTTTTTTGGGGGGGGTGTCTCTGGGTCAGAGAAAAACGGCCACACGAAGAAATCTGTTCTGGACAAAGGTGGGGCTTACCCACCCAACACATCAGAAGCCTTGGCCTCCTGAATTTGCACGCTGTGCTTTAAGGACTTGACCAGTGCCGGATTTGCGTATAAGCTAAACAAGCTCTAGCTTAGGGCCCCACTCTCCTGGGGCCCCCAAAAAAATTTAAAGGAAAAAACCTGGATGTACATTTCCAAAATATAAGATGAAAAACTAATAATAATAATAATAATAATAATAATAATAATAATAATAATTTATTTATATCCCGCCCTCCCCAGCCGAAGCTGGGCTCAGAGCGGCTAACAGTAAAATAGTACAGCATTCTAAAATCAATTCATTATAAAATCAGTTCAAATCAAATTGATAGCAACCATTGGGCTAGAGTTCTGTGAAGAATTACCAAAGGAGGGTGTCAGGCTGTGCCTTGGCCAAAGGCCAGGCAGAACAGCTCCGTCTTGCAGGCCCTGCGGAAAGATGTCAAGTCCCGCAGATCCCTGGTCTCCTGGGACAGAGCGTTCCACTAGATCGGAGCCACAGCCGAAAAAGCCCTGGCTCTGGTTGAGGCCAGTCTAACCTTTCTGTGGCCCGGGACCTCCAAGGTGTTTTTATTTGAAGACCGTAAGGTCCTCCTTGGGACAAACCAGGAGAGGCGGTCCTGTAGATCTGAGGGTCCGAGGCCGTATAGTGCTTTCAGTTGATCCAACTGAATTTCAGTTGATCCAACGGGGAGCCATACCAAGAGAGGCCCAATGTCATGATTCTCGTGCAGAGAATGACTTGTGCAAGAATGCAAGCTGGAAGACCGCATCCTGGTTTTGCACTGGGACACATTGGATTTGGTGGCGCCATTCACATAACAAAAACTCCCACAAAGATATAGACATTTTCAGAGTAGGGGATCCATGGCTTGGCTTTTGAAAAAGAGGAGTGCACAGTACGCAGCTAATTGGGATCCACTGTGATCGGCAGTTGGAACTGCACCCTGGTGTGCAGCTGGTGACATTGTAACAAGGAGCATCCCATTGACAAAATGTAGCAGCATCTGCTGGCTGCCTCCCTTTCTGGCTGTGGCACAATTTAGGTAAAGGGACCCCTGACCATTAGGTCCAGTCGTGGCCGACTCTGGGGTTGCAGCGCTCATCTCGCTTTATTGGCTGAGGGAGCCGGTGTACAGCTTCCGGGTCATGTGGCCAGCATGACTAAGCCGTTTCTGGCGAACCAGAGCAGCGCACGGAAACACCGTTTACCTTCCCGCCAGAGCGGTACCTATTTATCTACTTGCACTTTGAGGTGCTTTTGAACTGCTAGGTTGGCAGGAGCAGGGACCGAGCAACGGGAGCTCACCCCGTCGCGGGGATTCAAACCACCGACCTTCTGATCGGCAAGTCCTAGGCTCTGTGGTTTAACCCACAGCGCCACCCGCGTCCCATAATAATAATATTTTATTTTTATTATGTAATATGTTTATTTTACTTCTATACCACCCTATACCCCATGGTCTCAGGGTGGTTCACATAAAATATCAAATACATTAAAAAGCCAAGGCTTGACGGCTGGGGGATTTCCACATTTAAATGGCCGCAGAGCGAGAGGTTGCTTCTGGCAAGTGATAAGGGAAATCGGGGCACAAGCCTCTATTGAATGGGTAGCCATGGGGCTGGCAAGCAGATCGCCCAGGGAGGTGGGGGGAGCATGGGGGGCTCAGAGGCGACATTCAGATACATTTGTTTACGTGCAGCATGGAAGTGTATAGTGGGCAGTCAAGGAGGGATCCATGTAATGGCCAGTTTTCTGGCAACTGGCGCTGTCCAGCCCTGGACGCCAGCAAGACACCTCCTCACTTCCTTAGGGAACCGGTTTCCTCTCCTGACAGTGTGTCAGTTTTATAGCAGAACAATGTGTTTGCTTTGTAGGATTTCCTAGCACCTCTTAATCCGGACAGAGAGAATTTGGCAGAAGATCAAGGGGTTCCTTCTGATCTCTTGGAAGCTTCCTGAGAGCACAGATGGATGAGCAAGACTCAGCTGGCCCTGAAGCAGGAAGAAGCCGTGCCATCAGAACTGGGAGAAGTGGGGGATTCTGGGGAAAAACTGCGCAGAAGATCCTGGGTGAGGAGGACACCCTCTGCTCAGAGGTGCAGAGCCAGCAGTTCAGGCAGTTCTGCTTCCAGGAGGCCAAAGGACCTCGAGAGGTTTGCAGCCGACTCCACCACTTTTACCATCAGTGGCTGAAGCCAGAAAGGCACATGAAGGCTGAGATGCTGGACCTGGTGATCTTGGAGCAGTTCCTGGCTGTCCTTCCACTGGAGATGGAGAACTGGGTGAGGGAATGCGGAGCAGAGACCAGTTCCCAGGCAGTGGCTCTGGCCGAAGGTTTCCTCCTGAGTCAGGCAGTGGAGAAAAAGAAGGTGAAAGGGACTTTTGTATCCCCAAATCCTCTACGAATTACCCATTCTGAAAGTTTTTATCTCTAACATTCCTTCTCCAATGTTTCCCTTTTTCTCTTTTAGGGAAAGGATCTCTTTGTAGAAATGGGCCTGGATTCCTCTGAGGCAGAGAAGACTCTGTTGGACACCAGAAATTGGCTGCTGGGTAAGGAGGTTCTTCTCTGTTTGGTCACATTCTGTGGGTTATGAAACGGATCCATGGGTTCTTTCCATCTTTTGCGTTACCCCAAGGAGGGAAGATCCATTGGTCCTTTAATCTTTGGGGGGAAGACACTTGGGGCCAAGGAGAAGAGATGTAGATTTATGCAACTAAAATATGAAATGGGTACAAAGGTCATAATAATTCATTCAGCAGGTGAGACTTTTTCTAAGGCCCATCTGTAATTGGATATGCAGTGCTCATCCTCAGAGAAAAGCATCTACTCCTGGCTTCCCACTTACCTTTGTCTCTCACAGGTGACCAGATGATGGCAGCAAGACCTCCTCATCCCTCTATTCATGGCGAAGGAGAAGCAATGACTGCGGAACCAGATCAGGTAGGGGGAAAGAGCTTTGTGGGGAAGAGGGCTGAGGAGTGGGGTGTCAGCTTCGCCTTTGAGCCGGTGCCAACGACTGGGCTCAACCTCTTCAGCACCAACTGGGCCAGGCAAGCTGGGAAAGCACTTCCAGAGACCTTCCACTGCAGGGAAGCAGGTCTAAGCGCAATGGACTCACAACTTTGAGCTATGAGAACCAAACTCAGTGCCAAAGTCAGCAGAGCACAGCAGAGTATGAACTACACGAACGACGGCTCTGAAGCAGAACTTCTTTATTCTTTTACAGCTACTGCAAACTAAAAATAAACTAGAAACGAAAGACTTCACAGAGACTACTGGACTGCATGAGTGTTATAGTTGCTTAAGCAGTCATCTTTACACAGATAACACTCAGACTCCCACAGAGTCAGGCTGGAGCAGATGAAGGGAAGAGCAGATTCCGCCCCCTCCTTTCTGAAAACATTGGCAGTAGATTCTTGCAATGGGAGGGGTGAAATATCCACAGGGGCAGCCAGGGTCCCTCCAGACCCAAACAAATCTCTTTCCTCCTCTTAACAAATCTGCCATGAACAATGGCCATTTGAAAAATGCCATTTGAGAAGGTTAATGTGCAGAGAGTAAAGAACAGCCTCTTTGCTTCAATGTCACTGAAATGATTTCATTCCCTCCTTGAAGCTGGCTTTAGGGCATCAGAAAGGTTTTCCCCAGAAGAGCCCTTTGGGAGAGGAAAGCGGGAATCCTTTCATCTGGCGAACGGGAATGCTTGCTCAGCCAGAAGGATATAAAGCTCAAAATGTGGAGTTCCACCCATTTACACTAAGTTTAATATTCATCATTAAAACACACAATAAACGAATTCCATTAAGACATTGAAAGAAGAACCCATAATTAAAATGAACAGCAAAACAATCCCATGAAAACAACACAATAATGTGCAGGAGATACCGTATTTTTCACTCTATAACACGCACCTGACCATAACACGCACAAGGGGGGGGGGAATTCTGAATGAAACAGTGGATGTATCATTTTTGTGCTTCATGCTGTGGCCACAGACATGTGATCTGATGGTGAATTTGGGGTGACCCAATGCAAAAATCCTGAGAATCCCTGTGGATTCATGCTTTGTAACCACGTTTTTGCACCATTGTGGCCCCAGGCAACAGTGGGTGCGTGATTTTTTTGGTGCAGGCTGTAGCCATGGACATGCTATGTGATCTGATGGTGAATTTGGGGTGACCCAATGCAAAGATCCTGAGGATCCATGTGGATCCATGCTTTGTAACTACATTTTAAGTGGGGAGGGAAGGGAAAACACAGAAGGGACAAGGAGCATGAGAGGGGTGTGCAGAGAAGCAGCTGGCTAAGAATGCAGGAGAGGGGTTTAACGGGAGGGAGGAAAGAAAGAAAGGCAAAAGTTCCCCCCACCCACCCAAGCCAGCCCTCTCTCTCTCTCTCTCTCTCCCTCTCTCCCATCTGCATGTTTTCTGGCTGCCTGCGAGGAGCAGGGAGAGGAATTAGAAGGAAGGATGCTCTGCTTTCCCCTCTGTTTGCCTGGAGGGGAGGGGATTTGCCTGCTCTTTGTTCCGTTTGAGCAAACACAGCAACGAAACACAAGCGGGTGGGCAGTAAGACCCTGAGGCAGAACGCAGGAAAGCAGCAACTTCCTCTTTCCAGGTTTCCCTTCTCCGACACGCGATTTGATTTTTGCCTGATTTTTGTTCCTGCGCTCGCCCTAGTCGGCTCCAGGGACCACACATTCGCTCAATAACACGCACAGACATTTCCCCTTCCTTTTTAGGAGAAAAAATCTGCGTGTTATAGAGAGAAAAATACGGTAATATTATGCTGTCTAAGAGAAGCATCTTTTTCTTTTTCTTTCAGGGTCCTCTGTGCTTTGAAGATGTCACAGTTCATTTCACAGAGGAGGAATGGGCGTTGCTGGATCCTGACCAGAGAGCTCTACACCAAGAAGTCATGGAGGAGAATCGTGACATCGTGGCCTCTCTTGGTACGGCTCCCGGTTGGATCATTATATCTGTTTTGAAATTCAGCCCATATCTCTACGTGACCAAGCTCCAGATATTGATGGAGCTCGAAAGCAGCACCTACAGATTCTGGAATTCCAGCACCTCCAAAGGTCACCTTGAATGGAGGGCTATAGACTATTATCTGCAAATATTCTTCCTCCAATTATGTGTTTTTAAACAATGATCTGGCTCATCTGAACTTTCCAGGCCTTTTGAAATGATGGATTTAGTTTGGGGATGGAAGTTGTAGTAGCTTCTGTCAGGTTTTTTTTATGGAGCAGATTCCATGATTGGGCAAAAGAAATCCATTCCAGGAGAGAGCCAGGTTTTTTGAATCTCCAGTTCCCATCAATATGTCAGTTTATGTCAGTCAACAAAGGCAGTGAACCCTGTAGTAAGACCTCACATCTAACTTCCACCAGTTCTTCCATTAATTAGTATGGTTCAATAATGGAGGTCTCCATGTGTTCCTGAAGCTCTTATTTATTTCTCTCTTTGTCGCAGGCAGTGATAAATTGGAAATTAAGAACAGAGGAGACCATGACAAGATCCATACATTGGAGAAGCCATATCAGTATTTGGAGTGTGGAAAGAGCTTCCGTAAGAGCAGCCCTCTCACTTCCCAGCCAAGAATTCACAGCAGGGAGAAACTATATCAGTGCTTGGAGTGTGGAAAGACCTTCCGTCGGAACTCACATCTCACAACCCATCAAAGCATTCACACAGGGAAGAAACCCCATCAGTGCATGGAATGTGGGAAAAGCTTCAGTCAAAGGTCCCATTACACATGCCATCAAAGAATTCATACAGGGGAGAAACCTTACCAGTGTTTGGAATGTGGGAAAAGCTTCGGTCGGAAGTACAGTCTCACTTCCCATGAAAGAATTCATAGAGGGGAGAAACCACATCAGTGTCTGGAATGTGGAAAGAGTTTAACCAGGAAGAAATATCTCACAGCCCATCAAAGAATTCATACAGGGGAGAAATCCTATCAGTGCATGGAATGTGGAAAGAGCTTCAGCAAGAGAGCCCATTTCACGTCCCATCAGAGAATTCATACAGGGGAGAAGCCCTACCAGTGCTTACAATGCGGGAAAAGCTTCATTCGGAAGGGCTTTCTCACTTCCCATCAAAGAATTCATACCGAGAAGAAACTACATCAGTGCCTGGAATGTGGGAAGATTTTCACCGTGAAGAAAAGTCTCGCTTCCCATCAGAGAATTCATACAGGAGAGAAACCCTACCAGTGCTTGGAATGTGGGATGAGCTTCACGTGGAAGGACAGATTCACTGCCCATCAAAGCATTCATACAGGGGAGAAACCATATCTGTGTGCAGAATGCGGAAAGAGCTTCTGTCACAGGGCCCATTTCACTTCCCATCAGAGAATCCACACTGGGGAGAAACCCTATCAGTGCTTGGAATGCGGAAAGAGCTTCAGTCGGAAAGACAGTCTCACTTCCCACCAAAGAATTCATACAGGAGAGAAACCACATCAGTGCTTCGTATGTGGAAAGAGCTTCAGTCAGAGGTCCAATCTCACTTCCCACCAAAGAACTCACAGTGGGGAGAAACCGTATCAGTGTTTGGAATGTGGGAAGTGCTTCCGGAAGAGGGCCAATCTAATTTCCCATCAAAAAAACCTCACAGCGGCGAAAATTGGAAGGGACCCTCATAATCATGTGGTACAACCTCTGCTTAAAAGCCTCCCAGGAAGGGAAGGCCACCATCTTCCAAAGGAATCTGTTCCACTGTGGAAGAGCTCTTGCCATCTGAGGAGTCAGCTACAATAGTAAAGAAACAGCGATTTCAATGCGCTATATACATGCAACACCAGGTGGTGCCAGAGAGCAGGAAACTTTAAAATGCAATTTTCCATAGAGATTTCTTTCTTTTGTTATAACTACCTTCATAGTGTTTTCCCCCCTGTGTTTAGATCCACCCTCACAGTTCTTCCTGATGTTTTGTTGGAATCTCCTTTCATGTAACTTGACGCCATGGGTTCAGGTCCTAGTTTCCGGAGCAGGGGGAAACAAGCTTGCTCCATCTTCCACATGACGTCCCTTTAGATATTTGAAGATGGCCATAATATCACTTCTCAGTCTTCTCTTTTCCAGCCTAACATGCCCAACACTCTTCCCAGTTCCTCATAAGGCTAGATTCCCAGACCCTTGATCATCTTGGTTGCCCTTCTGGGCACATGTTCCAGCTTATAAACATACTTCTTAAATTGCGGGACACATTACTCCAGGTGTGGTCTGACCAAGGCAGAACAGAGCAGCGCTATGACTTCCCTTAATGGGGACATTAAACTTCTGCTGATGCAACTTAGAATAGCATTGCCTCTCTAACGGGACTCTCGGAAAGTGTGTGTGCACCTGTTACATTTGGGTGTGATGTTCTTGTCTTTTTATCTAAAGTTCTGTTCACATGTATCAAAGTAATTTATGTAATAATGGTAAGTTCAGCCTAACAGGAGATTTAAGGTAATGTTAGCCAGGGAGGAGGAGTTTGGAATGTTTCTGATTGGCTGAGAGTTTGAAAGGGGGGTTTAATAACTAAGTAGTGATAAAAAATAAATAAAATATTGAAAAACACAACAAAACTAAACAATTTCCACAAGAAGATCTACAGTGGTACCTCGGGTTAAGTACTTAATTCATTCGGGAGGTCTGTTCTTAACCTGAAACAGTTCTTAACCTGAGGCACCACTTTAGCTAATGGGGCCTCCTGCTGCCGCTGCGCCGCTGGAGCATGATTTCTGTTCTCATCCTGAAGCAAAGTTCTTAACCCGAGGTACTATTTCTAGGTTAGCAGAGTCTGTAACCTGAAGCATCTGTAACCCAAGGTACCACTGTAATGTAAATATACAGAAAACCAGCAGGACCTCCCCCCAACCCACTAAGCCCAGCAGAGCTGCCATTAAGAATGGGCAGTCAGGCTTCTCCCAGCAAACAGCCAGAGGCCCAGAGTTTGGAGCCCTCAATATCCTGGTTGTGTCTGAGACTCTTTGTTTTGTAAGGAGGGCTTTAAATGAGTCCGGTCTTGGCTATGCACACATACGCACACATGCAACCCAATTCAAAATCAGGGACAGGTGAGCTGGAGATGCATTTTAAAAATTCTTATTATCCTTTAGTGCCACAAGCACCATGACCCTCCCTCCCGCCTCGCAGGGCATCCACAAGAAGCAGCCCTCTGATGCCCAGAGCGCCCTGCTGCGCCGCCACCTCCTGGAGCTCATGCAGTTTCATTATCCCTCTGGTGAGTAGCGGCAGCTGGAGGGGGGGGGCAGGTGCCCCCTCCATCCAGCCTTGGCCTGCCCAGGGAAATGAGGAGGATGAGGAGCACAGGGGGGAGGCGGCCTTCGACTGACGTGGGCCATGGAGGCGCCTCCCCCTCCCCGTTGCTCCCCCTGACTGGCAGCCAGGGCTCGCTCTCCCTGCCCTAAGCTGACTGAGAGGAAGGAAAGGGATGCTCTTGGAGACAGGAAGGGAAACTGGCTTAGTTTACTCAGAGCAGACCCACTGAAATGAGGGAGATGGATGCATAAAGTGCCCAGTTATTTTATTACACTAACAAAATTATATCTATATATATATATATATATATATCAGAAGACATCTGAAGGCAGCCCTGTTTAGGGAAGCTTTTAATGTTTGATGGATTACCGTGTTTTAATATTTTGTTAGGGACGCGGGTGGCGCTGTGGGTTAAACCACAGAGCCTAGGACTTGCCAATCGGAAGGTCAGCGGTTCGAATCCCCGCGACTGGGTGAGCTCCCATTGCTCAGTCCCTGCTCCTGCCAACCTAGCAGTTTGAAAGCACCTCAAAGTGCAAGTAGATAAATAGGTACCGCTCTGGTGGGAAGGTAAACGGCGTTTCCATGCGCTGCTCTGGTTCGCCAGAAGCGGCTTAGTCATGCTGGCCACATGACCCGGAAGCTGTACGCCGGCTCCCTCGGCCAGTAAAGTGAGATGAGCGCCGCAACCCCAGAGTCGGTCACGACTGGACCTAATGGTCAGGGGTCCCTTTACCTTTAATATTTTGTTGGAAGCCGCACAGAGTGGGCGTATATACGCCCAGATGGGGTATAAATAATATATTATTATTATTATTACAAACACCTGGATAATAATAATAATAATAATAATAATAATAATAATAATAATTTATTACTTATATCCCACCCCTCTGACTGGCTTGCTCCAGCCACCCTGGGCGGCTTCCAGCATAATAAAAGCACAGCAAAAATGTCAAACGCTAAAAACTTCCCGCAAGGCCAAAGCTTCATAGGCCAAATCCCGCACAATATTATTAAACGTCCGCCAAACACATTTCTGCCTGAAGGTCTCCCATCTTCTGTCGCATAAGAGAACATCAGAGAAGCTCCTCCTGGCAGATCCATAGACTTTGACTCTTCGGAGGAGGAAGGGCAAAACAGCTCATATTAAACCTCCAAATAAAGTATTATGCTTTTACACAGGAAAGAGGAAGATCTTGTACAAACAATGTGAGTGGTATTAGAGAGTTTGTGGCGATGGGTCGTCTTGCAGAAGAACGATCCGTGGTGGCAAAGGGCTTCAACCGCCTGGCAGGATGCGCTGCTTTCCCCCTAGACTCTTCTGAGCCTGCTGGGCTAATAACTGCAGCCAGGGCAGGGGGTGGGCAGCGGAGCCAGCAGGAAGGCTAAGGAAAACTCAGTGCAAACACAGAATCATTGGAAGGGACCCAAGGGGTCGTCTAGTCCAACTGCCTGCAATGCAGGAATCTGATGCTCACCGTAAAAGAGTCATGCTTTACTGACTGAGCTATGCCAGCTCAGGCGAAAGTCAGTTTTAAACTTGTACGGATTCCTCCACCAAAGTTTTGCATGTGGAGAAAAACCAGAGTCACAGGCAGGCAGGTGGCATCTGATGAGCATCCCTGGAGAGAGAGAGAGAGAAGGAAGCTTCTCTCAAGATGGCCTGCCCAGCTGCACTTTTTGCATTAGAAGGAAATGATGCCACAGATTTCTAAAAGGACTGGCTGCACAGCTCACAGGGGCGGTTTCAATAAGTCAATCAAAAGCATTTTCAGTGTATTAAACCAGGGGTTTCCAGCCAGTGTCCCTCCTTAGAGGCTAAAAAAGCAGCTATAAAAACCTTTTTATAGATGTTTAGGGTCTATTAATCAATTTAACTCTCAGACTTTGATAAATGAATGGAATAAAGAACTAATGGCCCCACCCCAATTAAACAATGGGGAAATGTTCCAGCCTCCATTTCTAATGTGTCATTAAACAATGTCTCATACAACAAAATATTTTATTTAGATTTTATCCACTATGATAGCATAAACATGGTCTAATGATGGCAACATGCTGTTGCAATTAGGAGAATGCCTTGTTGAAACATATGTTTAGACAGTGTTTGGCATTAGCAATTTTTTTATTAGTTTTTTTTGGGGGGGGAGAGAATACTATGACGTATAAATTTATTGTGCGGAAACCCAGCCAGTTGGGTGGGTATAAATAAATAAATAAATAAATAATTACAGTGGTACCTCTGGTTGTGAGTGGGATCTGTTCCAGAGGCCCGTTTGCAACTCGAGCAGAATGCAACCTGCAGCAGCACGTCTGTGCACGTGCAGGTTGCGATTCTCCGCTTCTGCGCATGACGTCATTTTGCTCGTCTGCACATGCGCAAGCAGCGAAACCTGGAAGTAACCCTTTCTGGTACTTATGGGTCGCTGCGGGATGCAACCTGAAAAAACATATCATGAAGCAAACGTAACACGAGGTATGGCTGTATAATTATTATATAGCATCATCTGAAACTATGTACCTAATCCATTGGGCATGACAAATGGTCAACATAAATGGATTCTCTGGGCCCTTACATTTGCAAAAAGAGTAATACTAAGAACCTAAGACGAGCCTGCAGGATCAGGCCAATGGCTCATCTAGTCATAGAATCATAGAATCATAGAGTTGAAAGAGACCACAAGGGCCATCGAGTCCAACCCCCTGCCAAGCAGGAAACACCATCAGGGCACTCCTGACATATGGTTGTCAAGCCTCTGCTTAAAGACCTCCAAAGAAGGAGACTCCACCACACTCCTTGGCAGCAAATTCCACTGTCGAACAGCTCTTACTGTCAGGAAGTTCTTCCTAATGTTTAGGTGGAATCTTCTTTCTTGTGGTTTGGATCCATTGCTCCGTGTCCGCTTCTCTGGAGCAGCAGAAAACAACCTTTCTCCCTCCTCTATGTGACATCCTTTGATATATTTGAACATGGCTATCATATCACCCCTTAACCTCCTCTTCTCCAGGCTAAACATGCCCAGCTCTCTTAGCCGTTCCTCATAAGGCATCGTTTCCAGGCCTTTGATCATTTTGGTTGCCCTCCTCTGGACACGTTCCAGTTTGTCAGTGTCCTTCTTGAACTGTGGTGCCCAGAACTGGACACAGTACTCCAGGTGAGGTCTGACCAGAGCAGAATACAGTGGCACTATTACTTCCCTTGATCTAGATGCTATACTCCTATTGATGCAGCCCAGAATTGCATTGGCTTTTAGCTGCCACGTCACACTGTTGGCTCATGTCAAGTTTGTGGTCAACCAAGACTCCTAGATCCTTTTCACATGTACTGCTCTCAAGCCAGGTGTCCTCCATCTTGTATTTGTGCCTCTCATTTTTTCTGCCCAAGTGCAATACTTTACATTTCTCCCTGTTAAAATTCATCTTGTTTGTTTTGGCCCAGTTCTCTAATCTGTCAAGGTCGTTTTGAAGTGTGATCCTGTCCTCTGGGGTGTTAGCCACCCCTCCCAGTTTGGTGTCATCTGCAAATTTGATCAGGATGCCCTTGAGTCCAGCCTCCTGTCTTCACAGTGGCCAACCAGATGCCCCAATGGGAAGCATGTGAACAGGATCCGAGCACAAGAGTCTTTTCCCCTCCTCTGGATTCCAGAAACTGGTCTTCAGAAGTATTTACTGCCTCCGACGGTGGAGGCAGAGCATAGTCATTGTGGCTTGTAGCCATCCATAGCTCTCTCCTCTTCCATGAATTTGTCTCTTTTTAAAAGCCAAGTTGGTGGTGTAACAGGGAGTCCTTGGAGCACCCCACAATTGCCTAACCTTTACCCCCATAGGTTCTGGTTGGGGGTCACAAGCAAGAGACTTCATCCAGGAGACAGAAGCAAAACAGAGGCCTGTGGGTCTGATCTTTATTGTTGCAACAATACTTCCAACTGCTACAAAGACAAAGCAGCCAGAAGCCCCAAACAAAGGTTACATTAGTATTTCAAAGTTTCCCATAATACATCTCAGGATCCATCATCAAGACATCATAGAGATGTCACAGAAAGGGTGTGGTCTCAGGTAGAACCTCCAACCCAAGCATGCTCCTGTCAATCAAATACAGTCTTTCACATCTGAAGAAGTGTGCGTGCACACGAAAGCTCATACCAGTAACAACTACGGCAGACCAACACGGCTACCTACCTGTAAAGTAGTCTCTAAATTTCTTCCGTCTTCTTCACCAATTTTCTCTGATTTTACTGTCATTCTTCGCCACCATGTCTTCACTTGTATTCCCAAAGGAAAGTATTTAATATCACCGGTCATGAGCCAGTGTGGTGTAGTGGTTAAGAGCAGTGGACTCATAATCTGGGGAACCAGGTTCGCTTCCCCGCTCCTCCACATGCAGCTGCTGGGTGACCTTGGGCCAGTCACACTTCTCTGAAGTCTCTCAGCCCCACTCACCTCACAGAGTGTTTGTTGGGGGGGAGGAAGGGAAAGGAGATTGTGAGCTGCTTTGAGATTGTTGCAGGAATCAGTGGCGTAGCGTGGGTTGTCAGCACCCGGGGCAAGGCAAGTAATTTGCGCCCCCTAACCCGTGGATTTGCGCCTGCTAACCCTAACCCCCAGATGTTGCGCCCGGTGTGGCCGGCCCCCCCTGCACCCCCCACGCTACGCCACTGGCAGGAATTTATGTATAAGTTGGGGGGGGTTGCCCCTCCAGCAGATATCATGCACATGCAGCCCACTACCAAAATCAGCACAATCGCTTTTGTGACTTTTGTGATTTGTCCCCACAAAACACTTCATCACAGTTTCTTCCTATCTATTCAAAGGGACTCTGCTGCACAATACCAAACGTAAGAATTCACGGATAAATGTCTCTAGGTACTGGCTCACTGGGGAAACTTCAGAAATTGATATAGACATGTGAGCTCAGCTACTCAGCAGCCCCTCTGCCTGAGGGATAATCCCTGGCATCCTGATACCTGAGTGCCAGACAGGTAGCCATTCCAGAAATAACAAACCCAGATGAAGACAAAAGGGTGTGATGAACTTGGCTGGGAAACAGGGAAATGTAAATATCTCTTTTGTTCCACTTGATGGGTGTTTGGTGGAGGGCAAGGGGAACCATGGGGCAGGGTCCAGGATGCTCAGATTCCTGCCACCAGACCTCCCCTTTCATGATGTAACCATGATGTATTAGTGATGTAGTTTGGGGGGTGTAACATGGGGATTAGCAGCTAATAAAAGTTTGGGGGCTCTTTTGTTTGGGGCTTCCATCTTGTTCCACCTGGTGGCAGGTGGGAGTCCTGTCGTGACAGTCTTCAATCAAGACCAAGCCTACTGGCTGCTGTTTTGCTCTGGTATTCCTGGCTGGTGTCCTTATTTTTTGTCCAAGGGAGCCCTCAGATTTCTCCGTTAACATCAGGATGCATCATCAAGGCATCATAGATATGTCACAGAGGGTGTGGTCTCAGGTAGATCCTGGGACCCAAGCATGCCCCTGTCAATCAAATACAGTCTTTCACATGTCCTCCCAAAGGAAAGTATTGAATATCACCGGTCATGACTCCTGACTCCTTGGGTGTATCTTGCCCGGCAGACGTGACTGTACATCTCGGGGATGATGGCGGGCTCACTGACCCCTCCCCGAATACCTCACTTCCCTGGGCCCTAAATGCCATTGGAACTGAGAAGACTGATGCCAGGAGTGATTTCTTATGAATTTCTAAAGTTTCCCCATTAAGCCAGAGCATAGATACGTTTATCAGCGAATTGCTACATTTGGTATTGACACTGTCTCTGTTTTCCTTTGTTGGAGAGAGACCTGGGGCTCAGCGGGGCGGGTTAGGATCCCGAGCTGAGCCTCCCTTGCAGATACAATGCCTTTGTTTCTTTCTCTTGACACGAGGGATTTGGTTTCACGGGTAAAAGGCAGGGACTGTGCGCGAGTGAATGGTTCGGAGTTGCGCAGCGGAGACTCTTTGTCTTTGCCTCGTGGTGTGGAGAGGCAAGGCTCGTGGGGGGGGGGGAGGTCTCCCACCCCCCTTCCCAATTCCCGGTAACAGTGGCAGCACCGCCGCCTGCAGGAGGGAGGTCCATAGTTTCACGGTGCGCTGGGGTTTGTTCCCGGCTTTGGCAGAGGTTGGGGGCTTCAGCTGGGGATTCGCGAGCTGGGATTCGCGCACTGGGGGGGGGGGGGGCGCTCTTCCAACTCTTCCATTCCCGGATCCTCCGAGGGGTTTTCCTGCTTCTTGTACAGCCTTTCCTCCTGCAAGTTGCTCCTCCTGTTTCTGGGCCAGGGAGGGAGAAGCTCAGCCCCAGCGCCCCCCCCCCCAAATAAGCCTCCTGCGCTCGAGAGGGAGAAAGGAGGGAGCTGGATGCGCTCGGCTTGCCAAGGGTTAAAAGGAACCGAGCTGGATTCCTATAGGGGACAGGAAGTCCAGGCGGAGGGGGGGTCAGGTCCTCCAGAGCAAAAGCCCCTCCCCGCCTCCCCAGTCTTTTCCTGCGAGGAAGGGGCGCTTTTGTCTCTCTCTGCGAATGCTGCCTCCGTGAAGCCGGCTGGGATCCCGGTGAGTCCCCCCCCCCCGGCTGCCCTGGGGAGAAGGGGAGTCCCTGGGCTGCAGGGAGAGGGTGGGGGGCTGCTCAGCTCATGGGGGGACACCCCAAGTCAGGACACGGAGGGTCTTGCCGGGAGGGGCGACTTCGCAGGAGGACGGCAGCTCTGCGCTTCCTTTGCGTGGATGTGCTGCGGGATCCTTTGGGGAGGGTCTTGGCGTCAAGGATAAAGACATGCGCGGGGGAGGGGGTCCTATTCAGATTTTTGGATCTCAGTCGCGTTTATTGATAGAGGTTGTAGCCGGAGGGAAACAGTCGGACATGAAATACACGCGAAAACCTTAAATTTGAGCGATGCAATAATAAAATAAAGACTTTGGGCAGATTGAAGGAAGATAAAAGAAAGTCCTTCCTTCCTGCGATGTGGACTAAATAAAACCTTTGGAACTCGTTCCCGTAAGAGACAGAAATGGGCACCAAGTGAGGGCGAGGCCAGTTGGTGGAGCGGGAGGAGAGGGCGAGGGGGGCTCCCGTGCTCTGTCTCCCCCTCGGAGGCTGCAAGGCTTCAGAGTCCCACTTGCTGCAGGTGGAGAGAGGGGCTCTTGCGCCCCAGTCCTGCTGGTGGGCTTCCCATGAGGGGCCCCTGGTTGGCCCCTGTGGGAAGAGGAGGCTGGACTCTAGAGGGGCCCCTTTGGCCTGATCCTGCAGGGCTCCTCTTCTCTTCTGGTGCTGAGCTCCTCCAGATGCAAGTGGGCCCTCCATTCTCCTTCCGTCAGAGGCAAAGCTTTCCCCACCCCCACCCACCCATGAAGCAGACAGAGCTGCTATCCAGACTCCTGGTTGACACTGGCGTGTCTGTTCAGACCCGCAACCCCTCCGATGTTCAGAGGATATTTTGAGACTGAACAGAAAGCCCTGCGGAGAACCTTAGCTGCACCACCAGGGCACTGGGCTGATTCATCTCCCAGGAAGATCAACAGTTCCCTGAACATTTTGCATGGCTACTTTCCCTCTAGGAGGGCTAGAGACTTGCTTCTCCTTGTCCTTCTTCTCTTCCTTTTTAAATAAACCTCATACAAATTTAAAAAATTGAACATTAAAGGCTTACCTCCCCCTGGGGCTGTATAATTAATCCATATGATGATTCAACAAGCTGGTCAGATTTAGCAAAGTTACTTTCACTTCTCAATGGCTGCTTGCAAATTTTGAATTGTGTCACTCCACTCCACCATAAATCTTAGGGAAACATCCAAAGTTATTTGGTGTCTCTAGGCAGAATAATAACTTTTGCTGGGTTTCAGGGGTGGCGGCCAAAGGCAGGGGACTATCTCGGGTGTCGACGGTTGCCGTCCAGCCATTTTGGCTGGCTTCAGCGGGATTTCAAAGGGCTTTTGAAGAGCCTCAAAGGAAGGGAGGATCAATAAACCTCATAGTCTGGGTGGAGGTGCAGTCCAGAGCTGGCTCTCCCAAGACTCATATATGCTTCTTAGCAGAACCCTTTTCTTCTCCTGACAATGTGTCAGTTTTGTAACACAACCATGTTTTTGTATTGTAGAAATTGCTATTACCTCTAATTTGGACAGACAGAAGGTGGATTCCTTCATCTCTCTTGGAGGCTTCCTGAAAGCACAGATGGATGAGCAAGACTCAGCTGGCCCTGAAACCGGAAGAGGCCATGCCATCAAAACTGAGAGCAGTGGGGGATTCTGGGAAAACTATGTGCAGAAGATTATGGGTGGGGAGGACACCCTCCACTCAGATGTGCAGAACCAGCAGTTCATGCAATTCTGCTTCCAGGAGGCCAAAGGACCTCGAGAGGTTTGCAGCCGACTCCACCACCTTTACCATCAATGGCTGAAGCCAGAAAGGCACACGAAAGCTGAGATGCTGGACCTGGTGATCTTGGAGCAGTTCCTGGCTGTCTTTCCACTGGAGATGGAGAACTGGGTGAGGGAATGCGGAGCAGAGACCAGTTCCCAGGCAGTGGCTCTGGCCGAAGGTTTCCTCCTGAGTCAGGCGGAAGAGAGAAAGCAGGCAGAGCAGCAGGTGAGAGAGACTTTTCTGTGGTTCAGAACATGAGGGTGGTTGTTGTTTGTCGTTTAGTCGTGTCCGCCTCTTCGTGACCCCCTGGACCAGAGCACGCCAGGCCCTCCTGTCTTCCACTGCCTCCCGCAGTTTGGTCAGACTCATGCTGGTAGCTTCGAGAACACTGTCCCACCATCTCGTCCTCTCTCGTCCCCTTCTCCTTGTGCCCTCCATCTTTCCCAACATCAGGGTCTTTTCCAGGGAGAACATAAGGGAGAGTATCCCAAAATTCCCTATTAATGGCCCATTCCTTTTTGGAAAACATTCAAGGAGTGAGATTGGATGCCTCTGCCATTTCTTTTCTAATAGTTCTCCCCATTCTGTTTTGAATCTTTGTTGCTCTTTCAGGGAAAAGATCTGTTTGCAGAAATGGGCCCGGATTCCTCTGAGACTGAAAGGACTCCATTGGATACCAGAGAGAGGCCACTGGGTAAGGAGGAAAGCATCCCGTCCCGTCTCCCTTTGGTGACATTCTGTGGAGTTTGAAACAAATCCATGGGTTCTGTTCATCCTTTGGGAGAAGGCACATGGGAACAAGAACTCCAAGGAAGGGAGATGTACAGTATTTTTACTGAGCTAAAATATGAAATGAGTTGTTGGCATCAGTCCGTCTCAAGAGTCAATGGAGTGTGTCCCTGGTGATGAAGTCAGACTGCTGTGTTAGCGCCAACCTCCCTGGAGAGCAAGCCAGGGCAGTGTGTATGGAGGTCCTGGGCTGCCCAGATGACATGACCCCCCGCCAACCTTGCTTATGTGGCCACGGAAAGCAGAGCAAGACATTTGGAGCCTCCTTGGCTGCAAGAGTTGCTGGAAGGTCTACAAGGTGCCATTCAACCACCTTAGGGACCCCACTCTGGTTTACTGCAAGGCAGCAGGCGTAGATTTTTTTCTCAAGTTTTACTCCTGAAGCCTTTCTCACAAATGAGCATAGCTGCAAAGCAGTGGAGGTTTAGGATCAGAGTTCTCCATCTTCTAGATGGGTTACCTTCCCAGGTTGACAAGGCCCATCTGCTCCTTTGAAATGGGTACAAATGTCAAAATGCACTCAGCAGATGAGACTTTTTCGGAGGCCCATCTGTACAGTGGTACCTCGGGTTAAGAACTGAATTCGTTCTGGAGGTCCGTTCTTAACCTGAAACTGTTCTTAACGTGAGGTACCACTTTAGCTAATGGGGCCTCCCACTGCGCCACCGCAGCACGATTTCTGTTCTCATCCTGAAGCAAAGTTCTTAACCCAAAGTACTATTTCTGGGTTAACGGAGTCTGTAACCTGAAGCGTCTGTAACCTGAGGTGCCACTGTGGTTTGAGACATAGTGCTCAGCCTCAAAGGAAAACATGCCCTCATGGCCTCCCACCCAACTTTGTCTCTTGCAGGTGACAGATGGATGCCAGCAGGACCTCCTCATCCATCTTTTCATGGTGGCAGAAGGGAAGCAGTGGCTGTGGAACCAGATCAGGTTGGGGGAAAGAACATTGTGGGGGGGGGGGAGAGGTACGGGAGGGGGGGGCAGCCAGGTGCCTCTGGGCCTGAACAAATTCCTCTCCTCCTCTTGGCTTCCGTCAAAGCTTCTCTGAAGGCATCTTTGTCAAGGGCAGCTTGGACAGAAGCCAAGAGGCTGGAAATGCCATTTGAGAAGCTTAATGTGCTGAGAATAAGGAACAGCCACCTCACCTTAACTCGCCTTCTGAATGTCACTTGTATGATTTATAAGTCATTGCAGTTTTATTTCTAGAGTCACCACTGAATGCTAAAATAGGCTTCTGTGCAGTTTACACACCATACAAAACAGTGGCCAGGATTCAGCTAACCAGCCCCATCAGTTTCACAGGGAGGGTTTCCCTCCCCACCCCTCCCTGTACCTCTTGAAATTGGCTTTAGGGCATTGGGAGGGTCCCCCCTCCCCCTGAATGGCACACAAGGAAACGAGCAGAAATCCTTCTGTCTGGCAAATGGGAATGTTGCATGGCTGGGAGGCTCTGAAGAAAACAAGGTGGAGTTCCACCCATTTACACTAAGATTAATGTCCATTAAAATACACGATAAAAGAATTCCATTGAGACACAGGTAGGTAGCCATGTTGGTCTGCCGTAGTCGAAACAAAATAAAGAAATTCCTTCCAGTAGCACCTTAGAGACCAACTAAGTTTGTTATTGGTATGAGCTTTCGTGTGCATGAAAAAGAAGAAGTGTAAAGATGTGTGCATCTGAAGAAGTGTGCATGCACACGAAAGCTCATACCAATAACAAACTTAGTTGGTCTCTAAGGTGCTACGGGAAGGAATTTCTTTATTTTGTTTCCATTGAGACATTAAAAGATGCATCAATAACATTCACTGGCAAAACAATCCCATTAAAACAACACAGCAGAGAACAGATAGAGAACTACAGAGCAGGCTTCCAGTCCCACCTACCTTAAGGGCGACAGCCCCCATGACAGCGAGGGATCGTTGGTGAATGAAATGCAATGATGACAGAAGGCAAATCTTCCTTGCAAATTCCCCCCAGAGAAGGGAGGGAATGGGCTTCACTCGCAGTTTCTCTTGGTACCTGGCCCTCGCTCCAGCATGGAATATGGGAGGCAGGTAGGCGCTGAGTGCAAAAGCACTTTGCCTGGCGAAAACCCTCCCATGCTGCCATTAAGAAGAAGAGGTTGTCCATTTAATTGGATCTTTAACTGGCTTTAAAGTACCGGCACATGATGGAAAAGGGTTGCAACAACAACATACTTTCGAATATACCAGCTACATGGATCAAAGGTTTGAATTGAGATTTTCTTTGGCATGAGAGTCAGTTGGGGAGAGGGAAGCCCACAGTTTGTTCTAAGTTTCTTCTATATACCGATTTTTCGCCTCATAGGGCGCACCGGCCCATAGGGCGCACCTAGTTTTTTGGGGGGAAAATAAAGGAAAAAAAATTTATTCCCCCCCCCAGGTGCAGGGCTGGGGCAGGGGAAACCCAAGCTTCCCCCGACCCCAGCCCCCAGAACAGGCTGCTATCCGCAAGCCTAGGGAGACTGGCGCGACTTCGCGCCGGGCTCCCACGGCTTGCGGAGAGCTTCCTGAAGCCTGGAGAGCGAGAGGGGTTGATGCGCACCGACCCCTCTCGCTCTCCAGGCTTCAGCGAAAGCCTGCATTCGCCCCATAGGACGCACACACATTTCCCCTTCATTTTTGGAGGGGAAAAAGTGTGTCCTATAGGGTGAAAAATACGGTATTTAAGATTTGGCCACCCTCTCCGGAAAATAAGATAAAAAACTATTTACAAGTGAGAAAGGGATGTTGGACTAATATTGATATGAACAAGCAAAAATGGAAACTGTGTATGATCTGAAATGAAGAAAGGAGGAGGAGGGGAAGTTCAAGTATGATTGTGTTGGAAATACAGAGTAATTCCCCTCACCTCCGTTTAAAGACAACAGACAAGGGAAAATAGATTGAGATTTGTGTGTGCTACTGACGGAATGTAATTGAAGATAAAGTTTAATTGGGCCATAAGTCTCTTGCTGTAAGGAAAAGAATTTGGAGGCTGTGATAAGAGATTCTGGGAGTTGGAAAGGAGTATTAAATCTTTAGCGTGTTTGAAAACTGCTCACCATTTCCTAGGCTGAGGGGAAAATGGTGAAGATCTGTGACATCTTTTACTAGTGAGACAGAATGGTTTCTAACAGACTGTCACCTGTTCCAAGACATTAAAGCAAGGGGTGGAGAGATAAGACCCCTGAGAAACTTTGAGATTCAGTTCCACCCCAAGCCACGACAGGAGAAAACAACAGCTAGGAAGTGAAAGACAATATCATATATGGACAGAAGGAATCTCCATGGATATAACAGTTTTCACACGCAGGGCAGAATAAAGATAATAGTTTCAGTTCCTCACTTGAAGCTTTATAAATGTATCTATTGAGCACATCACAAATGGAAATAATTAATTATGTAGCTGTTGATTAAGGGATTATTACTACAATGTAATTGACATTAATTAAGATTATGGAACATAAAGATATAAGATTGGAAATGCACCCAAACCATCATACAGAGAGTCACTTTAACTAAAACGTATTAATTGGAAGTTGATTGGCACATTGATAATTGTATAATTTGGGAATTAATTGCTATTGTTATAATTTGGCTATTATTAGGGTTATATTGGAAAACTAATAAAAATTATTAAAAGAAAAAAGAAAAGAACAGAGCAATGTGTAGTAGATTAGCTTCATTCTGACTAAGAGGAGGACCTTTTTCTTTCTCTTTTAGGGTCTAGTGTGCTTTGAAGATGTCGCTGTTCATTTCACAGATGAGGAATGGGCGTTGCTGGATCCTGACCAGAGAGCTTTACATCAAGAAGTCATGGAGGAGATTTGTGGGATCATGGACTCTCTTCGTAAGGCTTCCTGTTGGATCTTAATATGTGTTTGGAAATTCCATACAAAGCTCTATGTGATCAACCTCCCAGATTTTGGTGGAATTCACTGTGCCATTTACAGCATCTGGGATTCTAACACACTGCGCAGCTCACCTTAAATGGAGGGCTAAAGACTGTTTTGTCTTTGAATATTCTTCCTCCAATGATTAGCCTGGTCTGAACTGCCCAGGCCTTTTGAACTCTTGGTTATAGAGAAGTGACAGAAGTCAAAGTAGTTTCTGTCAGGAGTTTCTGTTTCTGCTTTTGTTTTTGTTTCTCTTGGTTTTGGTTGACTGTCATTGGAGATGGAGCAGATTCCATAATGGGGGCAAACAAATTCCATCCTATGAAAGAGCTTGACTTTTCAAATTTCAGGTTTTCATAAATATGTCAGTTAATGCCAGTCAACAAATTAAGTCAAACCTATAGTAAGACTTCACATCCAACTCACTCCCTTCAGTTCTTCCTCTATCACAGGTGTATTAGTATTTTTCAAAAATCGGGGTCTCCATTTATTCCTCAGGTTCTAATACACTTCTCTCTTTGTTGCAGGTGGTGATGAACTGGAAATTAAGAACAAGGGAGGCAATGACAACATCCACACATTGGAGAAGCCATGTGAATATTCTGAGTTTGGAAAGCGGTTCAGTCTGAGTGTCCCTCTCGCTTCCCATCACAGAATCCACAGCAAAGAGAAACCATATCAGTGCTTGGAATGTGGAAAGAGCTTCAGTCTGAGCACCCATCTCACTTCTCATGAAAGAATTCACAGTGGGGAGAAACCATATCAGTGCTCAGAATGTGGAAACAGCTTTAATTCCAAGAGAAGTCTTACATCTCATCAAAGGATTCATACAGGAGATAAACCCTATCAGTGCTTGGAATGTGGAAAGAGCTTCAGCTGGAAGGAAAGTCTCACTGCACATGGAAGAATTCACACAGGGGAGGAACCATTTAAATGCATGGAATGTGGAAACAGTTTCAATTCCGAGAGGAGTCTCATTTCCCATCAAAGAATTCATACAGGTGAGAAACCCTATCAGTGCTTGGAATGTGGAAAGAGCTTCAGTCAGAGGGCCAATCTCACTTTCCATCAAAGAATTCATACAGGAGAGAAACCCTATCAGTGCATGGAATGTGGGAAGAGCTTCAGTCAAAGGGCCAATCTCACGGCCCATCAAAGAATTCATACAGGGGAGAAACCTTATCAGTGCATGGAATGCGGAAAAAGCTTCAGTCACAGGGCCCATCTCACTTCCCATCAAAGAATTCATACAGGGGAGAAACCCTATCAGTGTGTGGAATGCGGAAAGAGCTTCAGTCGGAAGGAAAGTCTCACCTCCCATCAAAGAATCCATACAGGAGAGAAACCCTATCATTGCATGGAATGTGGAAAGAGCTTTAATGCAAGCACAAATTTCCATCAACATCAGAGAATTCATCGTGGGGAGAAACCATTTCAATGCCTAGAGTGTGGAAAGAGCTTCAGTCAGAAGGAAAGGCTCATTTCCCATCAAAGAATTCATACAGGGGAGAAACCATTTCAGTGCATGGAATGTGGAAAGACCTTCACGTGGAAGGACAGTCTGACTTCTCATCAAAGAATTCATACAGGGGAGAAGCCACATCAGTGCTTGGAATGTGGAAAGAGTTTCAGTCGGAACTCAAATCTCGTTTCTCATCAAAGAACTCACAGCGGGGAGAAACCATTTCAGTGCATGGAATGTGGAAAGAGCTTTGCCTGGAAGGAAAGTCTCACTTCCCATCAAGCAATTCATACAGGAGAGAAACCCTATCAGTGCTTGGAATGTGGAAAGAGCTTCAGGAAGAGAGCCAATCTCACTTCGCATCAAAGAACTCACAGTGGGGAGAACCATAGAATTGTAGAGTTGGAAGGGACCCTGATTATCATCTAGTCCAACCTCTGCTTACAGACCTTCAAGGATAGAGAAACCACCATCTTCCAAGGGAGTCTGTTCCACTGTTGAAGAGCTCTTAACCACACCGGCTCTCTAACAAGACTCTCAGAAAATGAGCATCCATGTGTGTCTGCTTAAAGTTCGGGTGCAACATTCTGATGTTTGTATTTAAGGTTCCACACACATGTATCAAAATAATTGATGTAATAATGGTAACTACAGTGTAATAGTAGATTTAATGTTAGCTAGGGGTGGGGATAGCATGAATTTGGAATGCTGGGGGGAGTGGTGACTGGCTGAGAGTTTGAAAAGGGGGTTGAATAGAATAATTGAATCATAAATACAACGTAGCAAAAGTTGTGATAAATAGTAAATAAAAAAATGCACAACCAAACTGAACAATTTTCATATACATCACAGCAAAATATAAAATAAAGATACAATAAACCAACAGGAAGAACCCCGCCCCGCCCACTAAGCCCAAGAGTCTGTTCAGCATCCTCAGCTTCTGCAGCTGGAGTCAGTCCGGTCCCTCCCAGGCCAAATGGAAAAGGCCTGTAAGGAGGGAGCACATCTCCCAGGACTTGCAGCCAAGATGGTCTCTGGCCTCCTCAGCAGCCTCTTCAGCAGAGATGACTGGAAGGTGGAATGGAATGGGAGAGCGGGGGCAATTGTGGAGCAGGGCTGGCTAGATCAGTAGTAGAGAGGCAGCATTGTAATCCCCCTTGTTGCAGTTGTAGTAGAGTAGCAACAAAAAGAAGAAGAAATGGGAACATTTGAAACCATATGTTTATGTACACAAAGTTACCTTGAAACCCTTGTTTATTTTTTAATAAATCCATTGTATTCCACCACTCAGCTCATTATTCACTTCACATTTGGAGTGAAGTGTTCAGATTAGAGTTCTCTGGGGGAGTTTGGTGGAAGACCCAGCTCCTAGCTGTGCACCTTGAATGAAGTGGGAAGGTGGCGGAGGGATGGGTGGGCAGGGCCAGAGCCCCTCTCAGCAAAGGCGGTGGGGGCTCAACATGGGGAGATAAACTAGAGAACACTCAGAGTGTTCCAAGCACTGCAGAAGAACAAATGGCCATCCTTCATCACTTACCAGAATGGACCAGGCAGGGGCTAGTTTATGGCGATACCCCCTTTGGGACACCCCACAAACTGTTGTTGGGTCCTTTGGTTAGAGCAGGGGTGTCCAAACTTTTTTCAAAGAGGGCCAGATTTGATGAAGTGAACATGCGTGAGGGCCAGCCAAAGTTGTGGAGCTGCAGGGGCCGGATTAAACACTGGCAGTTCCCTTACTGAGAGAAGACAAGTTACAGGGAACCAGGCAGAGGGCCTTCTCGGTAGTGGCACCTGCCCCGTGGAGCGCCCTTCCACCAGATGTCAAAGAGAACAACAACTACCAGACTTTTAGAAGACATCTAAAGGCAGCCCTGTTTAGGGAAGCTTTTAATGTTGGATGCATTAAGGTATTTTAATATTTTGTTGGAAGCAGCCCAGAGTGGCTGGGGATGCCCAACCAGATGAGCGGGGTATAAATATTATTATACAGACTTTGGACATGCCTGGGTTCGAGCAAGGAAAATTGGGAAAGTAAACAGGGAAAAGAAGGAGCAAAGTGGGCTTTGAAGCTTTAGATCGTCTCTATTGATTGTGACCAAGGTTCAGTGTCCCTGCAAGCGAAGAAAGACGCAGCCTGGGAAAAGGTGTGCAACTGTCTTTTAAATAGTCACAATCTGGGACACCCCCTTTCCAAGCGGCAGTGGGGGGGGGAGGCTACAAGGGGGTCAGGCAGGTCAAGGTATGTCTCATTCCATGAGGATTAGAGAATTTACATATTCCAGACACAGTTGACACAAGGCCAATATTGACACTGGAAATGGGTTTTTCCTGGGGTTCATTGATAGGGGGTGATCCCCTCAGGCATCACACCTGGGCAAACAGGACAACCTTTGAAGACAATTGGCTGTCTAGACCCATCGATTGAAAGAAGATCATGGAAGATATTAGGTTTCCCAAAATGCATGGGAGAACACACAGCACACAAATTACAAAAGCAAGAACGGTACGTTTACGAACGCTTTTATACAAAGTTTCATTGCAAAACACTCGCTTTCCTTTGTGAAAGAGCTCAGATAGAATGTTTCCACTTTCCCAGGGAAAGGAGGAGGAGGACCGGGACAAGTTGCTCCTCCTGTTTCTGGGCCAGGGAGGGGGAAGCTCAGCCCCCGGCCAGGAGGGTCCCCCAAATAAAGCATCTCTGGGTGCTTTGCGCGCCATGCACGTGGCTCCTCCGGGGCTCCTGCTCTCCAGAGGGAGAGAAGAGGGAGAGCTGGGTGCGCACGGCTTGCCAAGGGTTAAACAGAAACGAGCTGGATTCCTAGAGAGGAAAGAAAGACGGGGAGGGCAGGTCCTCCAGAGCAAAAGCCCCTCCCCAGACTTTTCCTGCAAAAATGGGGGTGCTTTTGTCTCTCCCTGCAAATACTGCTCCGGTGGCGCCTGCTGGGATCCGGTGAGTCTCCTCTCTCTCTCTCCCAGAGGGTGCACGGGGTGTCCCAGGGCTACAGGGGAGCGTGCATGTGGGGAGCCTGCAAGGGGAGGACCCCCAAGTCAAGGAGCGGAGGGTCCTGCCAGGGAGGGGCGAGGTCGCAAGAGGAACTCTGCTCTTCCTTTGCATGGATGCGCAACTGGCTCCTTTGAGAGGCGAGAGCTATGGGTTGTTGCTGCTGCTGCTGAGTCCTTTAGTCGTGTCCGCCTCTTCGTGACCCCCTGGACCAGAGCACGCCAGGCACTCCTGTCTAGAGGATTATGGAAGAAGGTGATGTCCAAGTCCGCCTACTCTGTAAGAGTAAAATGTTGGTTTCTATTTCCTTCACTGAGCAGCAACTGCAGTCACAAGACAGGTGTTTACATTCCACAGTCTGTACTGTTGGAGTTTCTCACGGGAAAGGGAGACTGGATGTGACGTACACTGGTTTCCTGTTTTTCACTGTGTGATTCTCTCCAAGCTGTCGAGGAGAGAGGATGCATTTTTCTGCTCTTGCAGAGGCAAGATGTTTTTCTGTAATATACCAGCTTTGAACTGTAAATAAAAGCAATATAGAGTATGTAGCACGTATTCCTCATCCTTCCGCTGGCCACGAGACTCTGCTTAAATCAACACGTGGTTATGGGCTCCAGAAGTCGAATCGGAGTGCCGGCAAAGGATCGGAATGCAGAGGGACAGATCGGAACGGAATCTGCTCTGCGCATAGAAGTGATTGATGAGGTATGTGCTACTGCTCCGGGCAGCCTGCCAGCTTCAAGATAATGGCTTTATGGCTGGACTTTGAACTTTTAAAGCCGGTTTTGCAAATAGGCAAAAGGCTCCCAGGCACAAGTCACTATGCTGGGGAAATCGAAAGTAACTTTTAAGTGTGCCTTTGTAATGAAGCAGCTGCAGCAGTGACGCAGCAAGATTTAAAGCAGCACATATGACGCTGAAGGCTAATGCCAGAGTCATGATGGCCCTTCAGGATGCTTGTGGGATTCCTAAGCTCAACAAGAAGAATTACAGCGACTGGGTTCAGTATGCAGAGGCAATTCTGCGGAAAGAGGGTTTGTTTGAGGTGATTACAGCAACCCCCCCAGTTCCAGTTACAGATGCATGGGAAGCTAAGGATTCCAAAGCAAGGGAACTCTTACATTGATAGTATCCCCAGAAGAGCTCTGTCTATTGCGTGATAAGACCTCAGCCAGAGAAATTTGGGACGCTCTGAGAGAGGCTCACTTAAGGACAGAAGCTGGATCCACTATGTTTTATTTTAACAAGCTGCATAATATGGCTCTTGCTGAAGGTGGAGATGTGCGTTTACATCTGATAGAGATGCAAAATCTGAGACATGAGCTGCAACAGAGAGGACTCAACTTTCCAGAGGCTGTGTATTCTTTCATGATACTACAATCTTTGGGTTCAGGTTGGGAGTCTGTTGCAACCCAGATTGCTGTGCATCCAACTGCTCAGCTGACAGTGGACTTTGTTACTGCCGTGATTTTAAATGAAGCAGATCGCCGAGGTGCTAGCTGCATGGGCAAAGGGGAGTCTTCACAGACGTCATCCCATAGTGCAGTGGAACCACCAGATGGCGCCAAAGCTTTGCAGGCAGTGAAATGCTACTCGTGTGGACGTCTAGGCCATATGAAGAGGGAATGCAGACATCCCAGGGCCAAGACAGAGCAGCGCAGCGAAAGCTCATCGCGCGGAAAAGGCCGAGGCAAAGGCAAAGGTCCGGTGTCTAGGACAACGCAGCACAAGGCTATGGTTTCACGCTTCACTCCAAAGGTTGCAGAGGTCCAGAAGACGTCTAGATCTTTCTTCGTTGTTGATTCAGCGGCCACCCACCACATGTGCAACGATAAGAAACTGTTTGTGTCTTTTACACCGCAGGAAGGTGCGATTCACCAGGCGGATGACCACACTATTCCCAGTAAAGGCTACGGAACTGTTGTTCTTCACAGTTTGGACTTATCGATACAGAATGTGCTTTACGTGCCAGACGCCAAACATAATCTGCTCAGCGTTGGACAGCTGAATGAGCGGAACATTGACGTTTCCTTCAAGAACAAGAAGTGCATCATCACAAAGAAAAATGATTATGTATTGCATGCAGAATATGTTGATCATTTGTTTGTTTTGTATTATGATGATGTGGTGCAGGATGACACTTGTTGCATTGCAGGTTCTAACAAAAGTTTGCATGCAGAATGTATTCACGATTTTCATCGAAAATTTGCTCATTTGCATTTTGAGGCAGTATCTAAAATGCCTGCCTTGGTTGAAGGTATGACTATTAAACCCTGCAGGTACCACATGAAGTGCAAAGCATGCGCAGCAAACAAGGTGAAAATGGCTGCGAAAGGTAAGGTGTCTAGTAGGAAAGCTACAGAACCATACCAGGTTGTTCATGCTGATTTGGTTGGTCCACTAACGCCCTCTTTGGGTGGAAATAGATACTTCATGGTTCTCATTGATGCATTTTCTAGATATATTTTTGTGTACAATCTCAAGCAGAAATCGGAGGCTTTTCCTAGGTTCAAGGAATTCTGTGCTTGGTTGGAAAATGTGCATGGTAAGAAGATAAAGACTCTTTTCAGTGATCGCGGGGGGGAATTCACTTCTCAGCAGTTTGAAGCTTTTCTGACTGAGAAAGGAATTCAACACGATTTGTCTAGTCCTCGCTCGCCATGGCAGAATGGACTTGCGGAACGGGCAAATCAGACTTTGCTTCAAGGGTTAAAAACCTTGCTGCATGATGCCAATCTTCCAGAGAGTTATTGGGCCGAATCTCTCTCGTGTTTTGTTTACAGTTACAATCGCAGGTTATCTTCAGCGATTGGTTGTACCTCTATGAGAAGATGTTTGGCAAGAAGCCATACATCAAACACATGAAGATTTTGGTTCTGACATGTGGGTTCACTCACCACAAAACTCCAAGTTAGACAAGCGTGGATTGCATGGTATCTTTCTAGGTTATCAGAAAGGGTCTTACAGAATAATGATGACTGACTCTAAGACAATTAAGCTCACGAGAAGTGTTGAGTACAATGCAAAGTGGGGGAGAATGTGGAATTTTCCAATGTTATCCTGATGACGGTGATGAGACTGAGGATAGTCAAAGCAACCACAACAGCCCACACCCACTGATGAAGGTTCTGAGTCTGAATCTGAAACTGAATCGGGTGATTCAGAGGATTTCAAGAGTGCGAAAGCCTCTATGCGACCCTCTGAAAGCTCTGATCAAGAATTGGAGGAACCATTGTTCACAATAGGTCGTTTTTCTCCTAAGAAGGAAGAGGAGAGTGTTGAAGACTTAAGGATAATTCGTAGGTCACAGAGAGCCACAAAAGGCAAACCTTCAAAGAGATTTGCTGATGAGTTTGCTAAGATAGCAGTAACAGCTGTTAAAAGCTCCAAGAAGGTATTTGAACCTTCAAGTTTCCAAGAAATCCAGGGTTTGGATTCAAAGGAAGCTGAGCCATGGTTAAATGCCATGAAGGCTGAGCTTGATTCCTTAGAAAGGAACAAAACATGGGAGCTAGTTCCAGTAGTTCCAGGAATGAAACTGCTTGGAAGCAAATGGGTCTTCAAAGCGAAGACAGATCAAAATGGCAAGATAGTCAGACACAAAGCCAGATTGGTAGCCAGAGGTTTTGCACAGGTACCAGGTGAAGACTATCACGAGACCTATTCACCCACAGTGAGATATGAAAGCATTAGGCTTATGCTCAAGCTAGCTGCAGAGGAAAATCTACACATTAGTCACCATGATATTAATACAGCTTTTCTGTACGGATCTCTAGATGAATCACTTTATATGCTTCCACCTGATGGCGTACAGGTAAAACAGGGATTTGTTTGTGCTCTGAAGAAATCCCTTTATGGTCTCAAACAAAGTGCACGGTGTTGGCACACAAAACTCACTGAAGTATTGTTTTCTCTAGGTTTTCAGCAAGGGAAAGCTGATCCATGTGTATTTGTCAAAGAGGAGGGGCAAAAGAAACTGTACTGTTTGTTTTATGTTGATGATTTATTATTCTTTTGGAAAGATGTTGCAATGTACAATAGCGCCCTAGCTCAACTGAAAGAGCACTTTGACATGAAAGATCTTGGTGAGGTAAACAACTACCTATCTCTGGAAATAGAGAGAGATCAAGATGGTAACATTCTAGTACACCAGTCACGGAAAATTGCTGATGTGTTAAGCAAACTAAATCTGATGGATGCTAACCCTGTAGACACACCGATGACAACAGGTTATCAGGTAGATGACACTGAAGAAGCATTTTCTGACACTACACTGTACAGGAGTGTGCTAGGCAAGCTAAACTTCATTGCCAGATGTTCAAGACCAGACATTGCTGTTAGCTGTAATTTGCTAAGCAGACAAGTCAACAATCCTAGTGTCAAGGATTGGAAAGCTCTGAAACGCATAGCGCGGTATTTGAAAGGCACTATGCATTACAGACTGAGATTTAACAATCAGAAGTCTGGTGGTCTTGAGATATTTGCAGATGCAAGTTTTGGAAGTGACGCTACAGACAGGAAAAGTACGTCTGGAGTTTGCTACATGTACAATCAGGGTCTGTTTGATTGGTCATGCAAGAAGCAAACAACAGTTAGCTTAAGTACTTGTGAAGCTGAACTGAATGCACTGTCTTATTCACTTAAGGATTGTGAATGGTTAGTACAATTGTGCAAAGATATGAAAATTCCTGTCAAATGTCCAGTCCAGGTTTACCAGGACAACAAAGCATGTTTGGCTTTGCTGAAGTCTGAAGGTTGTAAGCAAAGCACAAAGCACTTGCAATTAAAGTTGCAACATGCTAGGGAATGTATTCAGAAGGGACTCGTAACGGTGTCCTATATGCCAGGTAATGAAATTCCTGCTGATGTATTGTCCAAGATTGTATCGAGGGATCAACACTGTACCTATGTGCAGAAGTTGGGTTTGTACTGATATTGTACAAACACGCTGCCCAGTGATGTTCACAGTAAGGGGAGGATGTTGGTTTCTATTTCCTTCACTGAGCAGCAACTGCAGTCACAAGACAGGTGTTTACATTCCACAGTCTGTACTGTTGGAGTTTCTCACGGGAAAGGGAGACTGGATGTGACGTACACTGGTTTCCTGTTTTTCACTGTGTGATTCTCTCCAAGCTGTCGAGGAGAGAGGATGCATTTTTCTGCTCTTGCAGAGGCAAGATGTTTTTCTGTAATATACCAGCTTTGAACTGTAAATAAAAGCAATATAGAGTATGTAGCACGTATTACTCATCCTTCCGCTGGCCACGACAGACTCTGCTTTAAATCAACATAAAATGCCTTTGGGAATGGGGAGAATCGGTAATGGCACTGAATTTATACGGTTTCCAAAGACTAGTCCTCTTCCAGCGCTGTCAAGTAATGGTATAATTGTAGAGCTATACTGGGAAAACCACAGCTTTAACTATACGGACCTTCTCGGCTAGCCAAGGGTTAAAAGGAGCAGAGCTGGCTTTCTAGAAGGGACAGGAGGTAAAGGGGGGGGGCAGGTCTTCCAGAGGAAAAGCACCTCCCTTCAAGAGTTAAAGGGAACTGAGCTGCGTTCCTGGAGAGGTCCGCCAATAAAAGGGGGGGGCTGTTGTCTTTCTCTGAAGATGCTGCCTCGGTGGCCCCTCCTGGGACCCGGTGAGTCCCCTCTCCCTTGACCCATAGGGCCCCATTGGGAGAAGGGGGGTCCCAGGGCTGCAGGGGGCGTGCATGGGGACGGGGGCTGCTCAGCTCCTGCAGGGGGGACGACGACCCCCAAATCAAGGAGCAGAGGGTCCTGCCGAAAGGGGCGAAGGCGCAGGAGAGAGGCAGCTCTGCGCTTCCTTTGCCCCTTTGGGGAGGGTCTTTGGATGGGGGGGGGGGGGAGGCATGCAAGCCCCAAACCCCAAATTCAGATTTACATTTATTAACTGAAGTTGTAGCCAGACGGCTACATGCGGACATTAGTAGAAGTAAAAAAGAGAGCTTCGCCTCAGTGATAAATGCTGGAAGATTAGGACAGAGAAAAGAAAATCGCTCCATCTCACCGTGTGGAGTTAAACCCACCGATTCGAGATGGCTTTGAAAGAGGGCGAGGCCAGTTGGTAGAGCGGGAGGAGAGGGCGAGTCTCCTCCCGCACCAGAATTCAAAAGCATCAGTTCTTCGGTGATCAGCCTTCTTTATGGTCCAGCTCTCACTTCCATACATCACTACTGGGAAAACCAGAGCTTGAACTATACGGACCTTTGTCGGCAAGGTGATGTCTCTGCTTTTTAAGATGCTGTCTAGGTTTGTCATTGCTTTTCTCCCAAGGAGCAGGCGTCTTTTAATTTCGTGGCTGCTGTCACCATCTGCAGTGATCATGGAGCCCAAGAAAGTAAAATCTCTCACTGCCTCCATTTCTTCCCCTTTGGTCCCTTTCTGTGGATATCAAAACAAATCCATGGGTTCTTTTCCTCTTTGGAGGGAGGACACTTGGAGCCAAGAGCCTCAAGGAGATGTGTATCTTTTACACATCTAAATTATGAAATGGACAAATGTCCAAATGCACTCAGTGTTGGATGTAACATAAGCAGTCAAATACAGCATTTCCAGTTTGCCTAGAGTGGACATGCAGGGGAATGTTGGTCCAGCCAGTTCAACTTCCTGTTCCATCTGATCTGGAGCATCCTTCCTTTGCATGTGACCAGGTAGGTGGGCGTGACCCTTCCAGACACAAAAGGTCCACCTCCTCTTTTGATGCCTTTTATTCTCTTGGACTGCACTGCTGGCTCTCAGCCACCAGGACATGGGCTCATTCTCATATGGGATGGACTCAAACCCTCTTCTGTAACTCTAAGCTAAAGCCTGCCTTCAGGGATCCAACTGTGAACTGAATGTGAGTAAACTTCTTGTTGCTTTTAAAAGAAGACTGTTGTGTCTTTATTCTTTTAGGAGATCTTTTAGGAGATTCTTTTAGGAGATCTTATCTTTTAGGAGATCTTTAGGGGTCTTACCAGGAATATTAGAACTTAAGAGATTCTAACAGATCTGCAACTAGCTTCCTGCTGTATAAAGAGGGGGTTGTACTCTGCTGTATGAATAAACTCAGTCGTGTGAGTTAGGAAGGATAATATTTACTCAATATATCCTATCCTGCTACCCACAACATTCCCACACTCAGAAGGTGAGACTTTTTGGAGAGCAGCTGCACTCCTGGCTTCCTACTTACCTTTGTCTCTTACAGGTGACCAGATGATGCCTGCAAGACCTCCTCTTTCATCTGTTCATGGTGGTGAAGGAGAAGCAGCGGCTGTGGAAGCAGCTCAGGTAGAGGGAGGGAGCCCTGTGGGGAAGGGGGCTGAGGGGTGGGGCAGTCAGAGTGCCTCTGGCCCCGAAGGAATCTATCTCCTCCTCTTGGCTGCCCTTAACAAGGGCTGGAAATGACATTTGAGAAGGTTCAATTGCTGAGAATGAGGACAGCCACCTTGCCTTAACTCGCCTTCTGAATGTCACTAGTCTGATTTATCAGTCATTATAATTTAATTCCAGATTGATTGATGGATGCTGAAACAGGCTTCTAAGCGGTTGACAAACCATACAGAACAGTGGCCAGGAGGACCTACCCAGACCCATCCATTTCACAATGGCACTTTCCCCTCTCCAAGTGCTTCTCTCCCCCCCCCCCGGGCCCCCTTGCACCCCTTGAAGTGGGCTTTAGGGCAACAGAAGGGTCCCCTCCTCCAGAACAGCACACAGGGAGAGGAGAGTGGGAATCCTTCCATCTGGAAAAAGGGTTATGTTGTGCAATGTGGAGTTCCACTCATTTACACTAAGATTAATGTCCATTATTAAAATACAGAGTAAAATACACACACACAAATATATTAAGATGTTAAAAGAAGCATGTCTGAGAGGAGAACTTTGTCTTTCTCTCTTAGGGTCCAGTGTGCTTTGAAGATGTCGCTGTTCATTTCACATATGATGAGTGGGCGTTGCTGGATCCTGACCAGAGAGCTCTGCATAAGGAAGTCATGGAGGAGAATCGCAGGATCGTGGCCTCTCTCAGTAAGGCTTGCTGCTGGATCATAATGTGTGTTTTGAGATTCCATAAATATCTCAGTGAAGAACCTCCTAGATTTTGATGGAGCTCAACAGAACCATTTAGAGCACCTGGGATTCTTATCTGGGATACAGCTTATCTTGAATGGAGGACTATTGACTGTTTTGTCTGTAAATATTCTTGCTCCATTTACGCCATTTTAAACAATGATCAGGCTGATCTGAACTACCCAGGCCTTTTAAAATGTAGGCTTCAGAGTTGTTGTGGAAGTAGCTTCTCTCAGGTCCTTTGTTATTGCTTCTGTTGGTGTTAAGTTGTCCAAAGAGACGACCAAGATGGAACAGATTCCATGATTGGGCCAAACAAAATCCAACTCTGTTGTAAGACCTCACATGTAAATAATAATACAGTGGTACCTCTGTTTGCGAACTTAATTTGTTGCAGAGGTCCATTCTTAACCCAAAACCATTCTTAACCTGAGGTGCGCTTTTGCTAATGGGGCCTCCCGCTGCGGTGCATGACTTCTGCTCACATCCTGGGGCAAAGTTCGCTACCTGGAACACATACCATATTTTTCGCACCATTGGACGCACATTTTCCCCTCCAAAAATGAAGGGGAAATGTGTGTGCGTCCTATGGGGCGAATGCAGGCTTTCGCTGAAGCCTGGAGAGCGAGAGGGGTCGGTGCGCACTGACCCCTCTTGCTCTCCAGGCTTCAGGAAGCTCTGCGCAACCCTCGGGAGACCGACTCCGAGGGTTGCGCAGAGCTGCCTGCAGTCCCGGGCTCAGCGCAGCTCTGCGCGGCCACCGGGAGCCGGGTGCGAAGTCCCGCCCCGCTCCCGATGGCCGCGCAGAGCTGCCTGCCGTCCCAGGATCAGTGCACTTCTCCCCATCGCCAGCCCCACAAGCTCGGGGGACAGCGGGGAGGCAGAGCGCACCTTCCCGCTGTTCCCCGACCTAGTTCTTCCAGCCCCGCACCTGGGGGGGAAATAAAAATATTTTTCTTTATTTCCCCCCCAAAAAACTAGGTGCGCCCTATGGGCCGGAGCGTCCTATGGAGCGCAAAATACGGTACTTCCAGGTTAGCAAACCTTGTTACCCAAAGTGTTCGTAAGGAGGACGATACGTAACCTGAGGTTCCACTGTAATAACACTTTGAATGGTGCTCAGAAATGGATCGTGAGCCAGTGAAGACTTTTTAGGATTGGTATTATACGTTCTTGGTGGCCGCTCCCAGACCCCACTCTAGCCGCCACATTCTGGATTAGTTGATGTTTCCGAGTTACCTTCAAAGGTAGCCCCACGCAGAGTGCATTGCAGTAGTAAAAGGTAAAGGTAAATGACCCCTGGACAGTTAAGTCCAGTCAAAGGTGACTATGGGGTGCGGCGCCATCTCGCTTCAGGCTGAGGGAGCTGGTGTTTATTCACCAAGCTGGAGATAAGCAAAACTTGCACCACTCTGGCAAGTCAGTCTGCAGTCAGGGAAGGTCTCAGCCGGCATACCAGATAGATCTGGCAGACAGCTGCCCTGGACACAGAATTGACCTGCGCCTCCATGGACAGCCGTGAGTCCAGAATGACCCCTAGGCTGTGCACCTGGCCCTTTAGGGACACAGCTACCCCATTCAGGAACAGGAAGCCCCCACTCCTGCCTGCCTCCTGTCCCCCAAAAAGAGTTCTCCAGGCTTGTCGGGATTTAACCTCCATCCACCATCCATCCTCCAACCACCTCCAGACAGCCACACAAGGCATTCACCACTCTCATTGGTTCTGATTTAAAGGAGAGGTAGAGCTGGGTATCATCCACATACTGATGAACACCCAGTCCAACCCTCCTGATGATCTCTCCCAGTGGCTTCATATAGATATTACAAAGCATAGGGGAGAGGACGGAGCCCTGAGGCACCCCACAAGTGAGCACCCAGGGGTCTGAAACTCATCCCCAAACACCACTTTCTGGACATGGCCCAGGAGGAGGAGGGGGAACCACTGCATAACAGTGCCCCCAGCTCCCAGCTCTTCTAGAGGATCCAGAAGGATGTCATGGTTGGTGATATCAAAGGCTGCTGAGAGATCCAGCAGAAGTGGAAACAGCTTTCACCTTTGTCCCTAGCCTGCTGGAGATCATCAACCAGTGCGACCAAGGCAGTTTCCGTCCCATGACGAGTCTAATTTCAGTCTCTTTTATGAGCCAGGATGGGCAAGGATCAAAGAGACAGGTGGTTAGTTTCACTTGCCCAAGCAGCCTGTCCACATCCTCGAAGGTAACAGATTGGAAGTGGTCCCATGCAACTTGACTAGACAGGACCCTAGCATTCTTCTTCTCCGGCCCTGGTGCCATGGTGGAGTCTACCTCTTTCCAAAACTAAGCAACTTTATCTGCAAAAACCTGCAAAATGATTGCAGGAGGTCTTGGGGTCCACACCAAGCTCCAATGGCAAAGGTGGTTCCATTATATCGTGAACCACCTGAAAGAATCTCCTGCTGCCGTTTTCTGCAGAGGCTATAGAGGCGGTGAATAAAGTCCTTGCCATCACTATCACCACTTGGTAGGCTCAGTGTTGAGCGCTAACCAGTGTCCAGCCCAATTCAGAATGAGTTTTCCACCACTAGCTCTCTAGCCATCTCAGCAATTGTTTCATTGCTGTGAGCTCCAGGGAAACTACGGGGCTGTCTGGGCTCCATGCAATAGAAGAGCAAGAACTCCCTTCAGTTCTTCCACTATCACAAGCATTCATTAGCATTGTTCAATAATTTGAGGGTTCATTTTTTCCTGAGGTTCTAATCCATTTCTCTCTGTACTGCAGGTGGTGATAAATTGGGAAGTAAGAACAAAGGAGACCAAGACAAAATCCACACAGTGGAGAAGCCATATAAATATCTGGAGTGTGGAGAGCGTTTCAGACAGAGATTGCATTCCACTTTCCATCAAATAAATCCCATGAGAAAGAAACCATATCAGTGTTCAGAATGTGGAAAGAACTTCAAGTGGAAAGATAGTCTCATTTCCCATCAAAGAATTCACAGTGGGGAGAAACTATATCAGTGCTTGGAATGTGGAAAGAACTTCATTCGCACCTCCCATCTCACTGCCCATCAAAGAACTCACAGTGGGGAGAAACCCTACCAGTGCCTGCAATGTGGAAAGAGTTTCAGCCAAAGGGCCAATCTAACTTGCCATGAAAGAATTCATACAGGGGATAAACCCTACCAGTGCTTGGAATGTGGAAGGAGCTTCAATCAGAGAGCCAATCTCACTTCCCATCAAAGAATGCATACTGGGAAGAAACCATATCAGTGCTTGGAATGTGGAAAGAGCTTCATTAAGAGGGCCAATCTCTATTCCCATCAAAGAACTCACAGAGATCAGAAACCATATCAATGTTTTGAATGTGGAAAGAGATTCCGTAAAAACATCCATCTCATGACCCATCAAAGACTTCATACAGGGGAGAAACCATATCAGTGTTCAGAGTGTAGAAGGAGTTTCAGAAAGAGCTCCAATCTCACGGCCCATCAAATAATCCATACAGGGGAGAAACCGCATCAGTGCATAGAATGTGGAAAGAGCTTCTGTAAGAGGTCCAATCTTATGGCCCATCAAAGAATCCACACTGGGGAGAAACCATATCAGTGTTTGAAATGTGGAAAGAGCTTCACTTGGAAGAAAAGTCTCACTTCCCATCAAGGAATTCACAGTGAGAAGAAAATATATCAGTGCTTGAAATGTGGAAAGAGCTTTAACAGAAGCCAAGCCTTCCATCAACACCAGAGAATTCACCATGGAGAGGAACACCATCAATGCCAAGAGTGTGGAAAGAGCTTCAGTCGGAAGGAAAGCTTCATGGCTCATAAAAGAATTCATTCGGTGGAGAAACCATATCAGTGCTTGGAATGTAGAAAGAGATTCAGTGAGAACGTCCATCTTACAGATCATCAGATGATTCATAAAGGGGAGAAACCATATCAGTGCTCAGAATGTAAAAGGAGCTTCAGAAAGAGCTGTAATCTCAAGGCCCATCAAAGAATTCATACAGGGGAGAAACCCTATCAGTGCTTGGAATGTGGGAAGAGCTTCACCCGGAAGGAAAGTCTCACTTCCCATCAAAGAACTCACAGCAGGGAGAAACCATACCAGTGCTTGGAATGTGGAAAGGGGTACAGTAAGAGGGCAAGTCTCACTTCCCATCAAAGAATCCACATTGGGGAGAAACCATACAAGTCCTTGGATTGTGGAAAGAGCTTCAGTCAAAACACCCATCTCATGGGCCATCAAACAAGTCACAGCAGGGAGGAACCATAGTAATAACTGTGTACAAATTTAATTTTAGGATGATTTAATGAGGAGGATGAGGATTACAATAGTAGTAGTAGTAGTAGTAGTTGCTGTTGTGATTTTATTTGTGATTTTAATTGTTGTTGTTGCAATTTTATTTACACCCTGCCCATCCTACTGGGTTCCCACAGCCGCTCTGGTCGGCTTCCAAAATATATAAAAAAGTAATAAAACATCAAACATTAAAAAGCTTCCATATACAGGTCTCCTTTCAGATGTATACTGAAAGTGATAGAGGTTTTTTATTTCCTTGACATCTGATGGGAGAGTGTTCAACAGGGTGGGTGCTAATATCAACAAAGCCCACAGCCTGGTTCCCTACAACATCACTTCTCGCAGGGAGGGAACCGCCAGAAGACCCTTGGAGCTGGACCTCAGTGTCTGGGCTGAACGATGTGGGTGGAGAAGCTTCTTCAGGTCTACTCAGTGAGGCCATTAAGGCTTGTGCTTGGAAATGTACTGGGAACCAGTGAAGATCCTTTAAGACCAGTACTATGTGGTCCCGGCGGCTGCTCCCAGTCCCCAGTCTAGCTGCCACATTCTGGATTAGTTGCAGTTTCCGGGTCACCTTCAAAGGGAGCCCCACGTAGAGTGCATTGCAGTAGTCCAAGCGAGAGATAACCAGAGCATGCACCACTCTGGCAAGACAGTCTGCGGGCAGGGAGGGTCTTATCCTGCGTACCAGATGGAGCTGGCAGACAGCTGCCCTGGACACAGAATAGGCCTGTGCCTCCATGGACAGCTGTGAATCTGTCCTTCAAAAACAGTGGTCTTTTACTTTGGCAACCTAGCAAAAAGGTTGGCCTTGTTTCTCAAGACCATGGAGTGCACACTCACTGCCCAATATTTCTTTTTTGACATTTGTTTCTGATTTGTTTATCATGCCAAAACTGGAGTGTCAGGCTGGTGGGAACTGAGTCACAGAGGTTTCCTGGCCACTGGCATTACCGTGGATTCGGCCGAGGCTGAATGCAGCTGCCTCCTGAAGACATCAAGTATGGTCATGGAATCATACAACTGTAGAGTTGAAGGGGACTCTGAGGCTGATCTAGTCCAACTGCCTGCAATGCAGGAGTCTCAACTAAAGGGTCCATGACAGAAGCAGGATAAGCTCCAACTCCTGGCAAGGGAAGAAGCAGTTAAAGGGGCTCAGACTTGATCCTGTCAAGAGGAATCTTCATGGCAATTGATGTAAATGCAATATTTAGAGTTATATTAACTTTTTCCATAAAGGAAAGGCTTTGGGACTATTTGCAGGCACAGTTCATGCATTCTGACCTGTGTCACATATCAAAGAAACCGCAGCTCTTTCTATATTCAGGTGCCCTTCACATTGAAAAACTGTCACAGAGGATGCAATGAAATGTGAGAGGTGTTTCTGGGCCCAATTAGTACTAGTGTTGAAAGCCCTGACTCAATTGGGATCATAGTAATTGGAAAAAATTGTTTGTTTGTTTCATAGAATGGTAGAGTTGGAAAGGACACTAGAGGTCCAAAACTCAACAATAAAAAACACAAAGCATAACAATTAAAAACAAACTCTCTTTTCCATTTCCAATTTTAAAATACTTATTTTCTGGACTTCCTCATACCTCCCTCTTTTGTATTCCAATCCACTTATTGTCCAGCAGTTTCTTTCCACTTTCTAATCCCAATCTTCAATTTAATAAAATGTTAAAATATATACCTTCAACTTTCTAAACCTAATCCTTGATCTTAATATCATATAACTGGAAAGATTTCCCCTTTTAATATCAAATTTCCATTTCTTTAAACCTCTTTAATCTTGATCTTTAATCTTAATCTATCATTAACTTTAACCTGTGCAGCTGGAAACCACTTACTTTCAGTCCAACATCCCTTTAACATTCCTTAATTTTGCAATGTTTCTGAAGATAGTCTTTAAATTTCTTCCAGTCTTCCTCCGGTCAGTGGGCTTTTTATAAGACTTGGCAACTTCTCTGTCACATCTGGAATCTTTGCACCTGGAAGACAGGACACCTCCAGGGACATCCTGTTAGCTCTGCACCCTGCTGAATGTGTCCCCCTCAGCAGAGAGTCACTTACCACCATCACGAGTCTCTTCCTCCTCTGCGGAGGGGCAAGAATTGTTCTCTACACAACCTCCCCCAACTCCCTTGGTGTGTTCTGAGGTCTGCAACTGCTGCATTTGCTTCTGTGGCCCACAATCAGCACAACTTGCACAATGATTTCTGTGGCTTTCGTATACATTGCTTAATTTCCTACATGAACACTGACATATAACTGAACATGGGGGGAGAAGGGGATTTCGTGTGCGTTTCTGTGTTAAAACCACGACTCCCCAAAAATCACAAGTCCCCACCACAGCCTCTTAACTAAGGCCAAGACAATGACCCATTGACACAGGCGCCATACACACACAACAGCAAAGAAGCTCAGAAAAGAAAACTGTAGCAATAGGTGGTTACCATGTATCGTACTGTTTCCTCCGACTATCCAGTATAGAATCAAATAATCTCCAAAATTCAACTGTTTGACCCATTTCCTTGGTTCCAATGTCTAATGACTCCTCTGGAAGAGGGGAATCCAGGGCTCCCCCTGCCTCCGTAATCCCTGAGACACACAGTCACGTACACAGCACCCCTACCTTGAGGGAAACAATGGACACCCCCGCTGATGGGTTTGCTGAGGTCAGGTGTTCCCCAAGCCCATCCTCAGGAAGGCTGGAGGGCAAAGTTATGCATGGATAGTTTTATTGTTCTTTGGGTGGCGGGTACTTAAGGTGGACAGCATAATGCTGGTGGTCAACAAAAGAGCTTGAAAGACTGTCTCAAGGGAAATTTTTAAAAATGTAGTATAAACACCAACAACTAGGAAACACTGGCCTGCGAGCGCCCCAGTTGGAGAACAGCCTTGACCAAAGGTGTCCTGGGCTTTGAAGACACTCGAACTCAGGACGCAAGGGAGAAACGCGCTAAGAGGAAGGCATATTTGGCAAATTCTCATTGTGGTCAACTCCCGCCCGGAAACCAATGTCCCCACTGTGGAAGGACGTGTGGGTCCAGAATTGGCCTCCATAGTCACTTACGGACTCATTGTTCAAACCGTGTTTATGGAAGACAATCTTACTCGGCTATGAGGGATCGCCAAAGAAGAAGAGCTCCAAATTGCTTGACTGGAACGTCCTTCTTTTACTGACAGCATACACCAGCGGGGAACTACACCCAGAGGAGTTGGACTACTCGTCTCTCACCCCGGAATTTTTCCCTTATCGTCTGTAATAGAAATGCGTGATGAGTTCTTGGCTTTTAACGACTGTTTCATTGAAAAGTTTGGATTGTGATTTTGGTCACAATCATGAGAATAGCCACTAACACCCGCCCGCCCCCCCGCTCTGTGCTGTTCGGTCCCTGCGCCCCCGGGACTCGCCATCTTTCACTCGGTCCAGCCCGTTGCTGAGCCAGCTCAACTGGGGACCCTTAGGACCCCCATCGCCTTCTCTGAGCCGGAGCTCCATTCCCACCCGAGGAGGTCCGACGGGGGCCTGTCCCTCCCGCTGACTTCTTCCCTTCTTCCTCTTCCTCTTCTTTTTGGGGAGACGCGGCGGAGGAACCTGTTTCGTGGCCGGGAAACAAAGCTGTTCTGCTTCTGGCCGAGGTAATGAACGACGCGCACCGCCAGCCAGGAGGATCCAACGATAAAAGGCGATTCCTGCCTCGCTGGGGGTTGGACTAGATGGCCGCGGAGGGTCCCTGCCAACTCTGCAATGCTGTGGCAACAGCTCTGGGTCTCCGCGCGGCGCACGCGGCGCCTGCGAGCTCCTGCTTTGAGAGGGAGGGGAGAGAGGTGTGCGCCCGGCTCGCCAAGAGTTAAATGCACGGAGCCACCTTCCCCAAGAGGACAGGGGAAAGGGGGGGGTCCTCCTTGGCAAAAGCCCCTCCCTCCCTGCCGGGGGCGACGATCGACCCTCTGCAATTGCTTCCTCGTGGCGCCTCCGGGGACCCGGTGAGTCTCCCGTCCCCCTCTCCCGACAGACCCCATTGGGAGAAGGGGGTCCCAGGGCTGCAGGGGGTGCATGGAGGGCTGCTCTGCTCATGTGGGGGGGACAACGACCCCCAAGTCAAGGAGTGGAGGGTCCTGCCAGGGAGAGGCGAGCTTGCAGGAGAGCGGCAGCTCTGCGCTTCCTTTGCTCTGATGAGCGGCGGGCTGCTTTAGGGGGAGGATCTTTGGGTCAAGGGAGGGAGGAATGCATGGGAATAAACCCATCTCAGATTCACATTTATTAACTGAGGTTGTTGTTGTTGTTGAGTCGTTTAGTCGTGTCCGCCTCTTCGTGACCCCCTGGACCAGAGCATGCCAGGCCCTCCTGTCTTCCACTGCCTCCCGCAGTTTGGTCAGACTCATGCTGGTAGCTTCGAGAACACTGTCCCACCATCTCGTCCTCTGTCGTCCCCTTCTCCTTGCGCCCTCCATCTTTCCCAACATCAGGGTCTTTTCCAGGGAGTCTTCTCTTCTCATGAGGTGGCCAAAGTACTGGAGCCTCAGCTTCAGGATCTGTCCTTCCAGTGAGCACTCAGGGCTGATTTCCTTCAGAATGGAGAGGTTTGATCTTCTTGCAGTCCATGGGACTCTCAAGAGTCTCCTCCAGCACCAAACTAAGGTTGTAGCAGCCCGGAAACATTCGGACATGAAATGTCCCCTAAAACCTAAACCTAAGCTATGCAAGAAAGGAAGACTGACTCTTGGAAGGTGGAGGGCAGAGAAGATAAAGCACTTCTTCATGCAGCGCAGAGTTAAACTTGTGGAACTCCCTCCCACAAGAGGAAGGGAGGCCACCAACTGAGATGGCTTGAAGAGAGGACCAGGGAAGTCCGCGGAGGAGAAGGAGGAGAGGGCGATGGGGGGCTCCTCGTCATGACGGCTGTTCTCTGCCTCTCCAGTAGGAGGCAGAGAAAAGAAAGCATTTCTTAATGCAGCGCCAGTTGAGCTCATGCAGGAAGCAAGAATGGCCCCTGTAGGACTAAAACTCCCATAGTTACATAAATCTTTATTCTTTATTTAAAGAAAACCTGTCTGAGACTCCAGCTTACTAAATATCCCCTCACAAAGGTCCCCTGGAGGACGCACTGGGCTAAAAGTTTAAGGGGAAAGGAAAAGAAACCTTCAAGTAAAGGGTTGTTCAGTGAGGTTGGGGCAGTTTATCTAAGTGAGGGTAGGTGGTGAGAGGAAAAAGGTGTTGGTGCGCCTGTCGCCTCAAGGTGCAGTTCTGTGGGGAGGAAATCCCCCCAGCTTAGGAACTGCTGAAAGGATGTTCTTTCTTGGACCAGCCCACACCCCAAACTCTGAGAGTGGTGCTGAAACGACCAAGAGGGACTTGTCTGCCATCTGGAACACCCAAGAGGATCTGTAGGGAAAGAGGCGGCTTTCCAGATCTTTGGGGGCTGAGGTGAAGCCCTCATGGGAGTATCATATCATCTGATGCAGAGCATGGAGTACAATGGCCACTCCTCTCTGTGGCTGGCAAAGTGGACAGAGCTGGGCGTGGGCACTGCTAGTCACTACCTGAACCCAAGCAAGCATGTTGGATCTAAGAGAACCCCAAGCATCCATGACTAGGGGAGGGGGGTTAAGCTATGTTACACTATCATCATCATCATCATCATCAGTTACCCAGACTTCACCCTAAGTTCCCTGGGCAGATGACAACATTAAAACAAAGTATTAAAAGCAGTTTAAAACAATATACCATAACAAAAATACTATCATATTTGCTTGTTTTCGAGCATTGTCTTTTGACCCCAACCAGGTGTACTTTGGTCTCACCCACTTGGCCCTCAGGGGGTTGGCCAGTCAAGTATCTGGCCCTCAGAACAGAGAAAAAGGGACCCCCCCACCCACCAGTAGAGCATCTGGAGAATGTTGGAGATTTCAATGGCTAGAGTCAGAAGCAGGGAATAAATGTGCCCTGAAGTGGGGGCAGACGGGAGAGCCACGCTTGAGGACCTCTTGGTTAGGACGCCCACTATAACCCAGTGCTCAAATAATGCTCAGTACAAATGACTCACTTGTCAATCACAGTTCTCACTTCATTCCTTGACCACAAACTCTGAAAGGCAGGAGCAACCAGGCTGATTCAGAAAGCCCAGCAGTTCCCTCCACATCTTGCAGTGTAACAATCCCTCTAGGAAGGACTGAGGCTTAGTTCTTTTCCTTAACAAAAATATAACATTTCCTTCTCCTGACGGTGTGTGTGTTTTGTGACACAACAATGTATTGGTTTTGTAGGATTTCCTAGCACCTCTTAATCCGGACAGAGAGAACTTGGCAGAAGATCAAGGGGTTCCTTCATCTCTCTTGGAGTCTTCCTGAGAGCACAGATGGAGGAGCAAGACTCATCTGGGCCTGAATCAGGAAGAGGCCATGCCATCAGAACTGGAAGCAGTGGGGGATTCTGGGGAAACTCTGTGCAGAAGATCCTGGGTGAGGAGGACACCCTCTGCTCAGATGTGCAGAGCCAGCAGTTCAGGCAGTTCTGCTTCCAAGAGGCCAATGGACCCCGAGAGGTTTGCAGTCAACTCTACCATCTTTGCCACCAGTGGCTGAAGCCAGAAAGGCACACGAAAGCTGAGATACTGGACCTGGTGATCTTGGAGCAGTTCCTGGCTGTCCTTCCACCGCAGGTGGAGAACTGGGTGAGGGAATGCAGAGTGGAGACCAGTTCCCAGGCGGTGGCCCTGGCCGAAGGTTTCCTCCTGAGTCAGGCGGAAGAGAGGAAGCAGGCAGAGCAGCAGGTGAGAGAGACTTTCCTCTGGTTCAGAACATGAGGGATAGCACCCCAAAATTCTGTACTAATGCACCCCCTCTTTTAAAAAACTTCCAGGGAATGAGATTGGACACCCCTCAAGCTTTTCCCCCTGTCATTGCTAAATTTTCTCTGCCTTTACTGTTTTGAATCCTTGTTTCTCTTTCAGGGAAAATATCTGTTACAGGAAAGAGGCCCAGATTCCTCTGAGACAGAGAGGACTCCATTAGACACAAGAGACTGGCCGCCGGGTAAGGAAGAATAAGATTTTTCTGTTTGGTCACATTCTGTGAATCTTGAAACTAATTTGTGGGTTCTTTTGATCTTTTTTGGAATGGCATGTGGGGCCCAGAGCCCCAAGGAAGGGAGACGTATTTTTACACAACTATCATATGAAATGGGTGGAAAGGTCAACATGCCCTTGGTAAGTGAGACTTGTGAAGGGCCATCTGTAGTTAGAGAGACACAGCTGAACCTCTAAGATAACCATTCACTCCTGGCTTCCCACTTACCTCTGTCTCCCGCAGGTGACCAGGTGATGCCAGCAAGACCTTCTGCATCTTTTCATGGTGGTGAAGGAGAAGCGATGGGTGCAGAAACAGATCAGGTAGAGGGAAGGAGCATTGTGGGGAAGGGGGCTGAGGGGTGGGGCAGCCAGGTGCCTCTGGGCCTGAACAAATCTCTCTCCTCCTCTTGGCTTCTGCCAAAACTACCCTTAAAAAGGCTGGAAATGCCATTCAAGAAAGTCTACATGCTGAGAACAAGGAACAGCCACCTCACCTCAACTCACCTCTTGAATGTTGCTAGTATGATGTCCCAGTCATTGCAGATATAAAGATGACAGATAGATGATAGATAGATAGATATATGATAGCTAGCTAGCTAGCTAGAGAGATGATAGATGATAGATAGATGATAGCTAGCTAGCTAGAGAGATTATAGATGATAGATATATGATAGGGTTTCAATTTACACAATAAGAAACAAACTGATGTAGAAATAAGCCTTTACTCAGAAAGTCCAGTATGACTCTTTCTTCATTATTATCTTCTAATAATATCTTCTATTTTAGGGGTTCCACAGTCTCCATAACATTGTAATCGAAATGCATTTGCCTGCTAATATTTCTCTTTCTTCTCCAATCTGTCATTTTCCTGATCTCCAGAAGGCAAGCGGCTTTCTATATCTGAGTATTTCTTGTATCAGCAATCTCTTCTGACATCCCTTTAAAGTCACATTCCTTATAAGAAAGCCTGCTTTGAGCTACAGCCAGCACTTTTTGTGTTAACAGATTCAGCCCTTAAACTGACACTGAATCTGTCTTCCCAGCACCACCTGCTGCTTCCGTATTTTTCAGTAAGAGTATTTTCCAATCCACCTCAGCAGATTCATCATGCTAAGTCAGAGATAATTCCCATTTATCATCCTCAGATTTCACTCCTTCTCTTATTTGTCTTATCTGCCATTTGATCTATTTCACTGTTTTCTAGTATTCAGCATTTAAAACCGCCACCTGAAATTTAAGTAGCATTCTCAAGAGTTCAATATTTGGTGAGGCATTCTGTGCCATAAGGATCCATTGGTTACCCCCTCATACATCTGTGATGCAGTTGAAATTTAAGCACAAAGAGAGGAAGGAGAAGACTCATAGTATAAATTATGGGCAACTGAGAGTCATAGTCTCCCCCCCCCCCAGGTGATAAATGATTCAAAGCTCCTTGAGAAATTCTCCAAGTGGTGGTGTTTCTATATTCCTCAACCCTCTGCAGTATTTATAATCTGTGTGCTGAGGGTCAATTATATTTCTTTTCAGTCCTCCTAATGATAACTAAAATAAAAGGGTGCAAACCTTAGGCTCTAATTAAAGAGTTATTATGCAGTGTTGAAACTTTCCGTGTTTTGGACGCTCCACCACCAACCGGAGATTTTATCTTTCTCCGGTACAAAGACGGATGTTGCTCAGAACATCTGAGGCTTCTGGTCTTTGACCTTCCCTTACCCTAAGAAAGGTTCGAGGGTCAGATTAAAAACCTGACCATCTCTTATCACTGCATAATTATCTCTGCCAGTCACGAACCAGAAGAGGATACTTCAATCCGCCATTCCTCAAACCCAGAAGTGTCTTGAGTTTTCTTTCCAATCACTGAATGCTAAAATAGACTTCTACCCAGCTGACAAGCCATAGTGAGCAGTGGCCAGGATTCACTTAAACAGCCCCATCAGTGCACTCGGGGGGCTTCTCTCCCCCATTTCTTCCCATCCCTGTACCCCCATGTGCTGCTTGAAGTTGGCTTGAGGGCATCAGGAGGTCCCACCTCGAACATCACATGAGAGAGCAGAGTGGGGATCCTTCTATTTGGCAAATGGGAAAACTTTTATCTATTTCTTCTAGGGTTCACTGTGCTTTGAAGATGTCGCTGTGCATTTCACAGAGGAGGAGTGGGCGTTGCTGGATCCTGACCAGAGAGCTCTGCATAAGGAAGTCATGAAGGAGAATCGTGAGATCATGGCTTCTCTTAGTAAGGCTTCCTTTTGGCTCTTTTTTTTTTTTTTTTGGAAATTACATAAATATCTCTGTGTGATGAAGCTCCGAGATTTTGGTGCAGCTCAACATCTCAACTTGCAAAATCTAGGCTTCTAACACCCCTCACAGCTCCCCTTGAATGGTGGTTGATGCTTTCTCTGTGAATATTCTTCCTCCATTCATGCCTTTTAAACTATGGCCAGGCTGCTCTGAATTGCTCAGGCCTTTCAAAATATCAGCTTCAGAGTGGTGAGGGAAGTTGAATTAGCTTCTGTTATTTTTTTTGCTTTTGTTTTAACTCTTGTCAGTATTAGGCTGACCAAAGAGACTACTGACATTGAGATGGAGCAGATTCCAGGATTGGGCCAAACCAAATCCATCTCAGAAAAAGGACAGGCTTTTCAAGTCTCAGGTTCTCATAGATTTTTCAATTAATGCCAGTCAAGCAGGGCAAGGAACCCTCTAGAAAGTCCTCACATCTAACTCCCTTCAGTTCTTCCTCTATCACAAATCTTAATCAGTATTTTTCACTAACTGGGGTCTCAATTTGTTTCTCAGGTTCTATTCCATTTCCCTCTTTCTTACAGGTGGTGAGGAAATGGAAGTTAAGAACAAGGGAGGCCATGACAAAAGCCACACAGAGGAGACGCCATATCAATATTTGGAGTGTGGAGACAACTTCAGCCAGAGTGGCCCTCTCACTTCCATTCTAGGAATTCACAGGGGAGAAAAACCTTATGAGTATTTAGAATGTGGGAAAAGCTTCAGTCTGATCACCCATCTCACTTCCCACCAAAGGATTCACAGTGGGGAGAAACCCTACCAGTGCTTGGAATGTGGAAAGAGCTTCAGTTGGAAGAAAAGTCTCACTTCCCATCAAAAAATACATACAGGGAAGCCCTATCAGTGCTTGGAATGTGGAAAAAACTTCACTCGAAAGAGCAGTCTCACTTCCCATCAGAGAATTCATACAGGTGAGAAACCCTACCAATGCTTGGAATGTGGAAAAAGCTTTCGTCGGAAGAACCATCTTGCCTCCCATCAAAGAATTCATACAGGAGAGAAACCCTATCAATGCCTGGAATGTGGAAAGGGCTTCAGATGGAGGGAAGCCTCCCTTTCCCATCAAAGTATTCATACAGGGCAGAAACCCTATAAGTGCATGGAATGTGGGAAGAGTTTTTGTCGGGAGACCAGTCTCACTTCCCATCAAAGAATTCATACAGGGGAGAAACCCTATCAGTGCTTGGAGTGTGGAAAGAGTTTCAGCTGGAAGGAAAGTCTCACTTCACATCAAAGAATTCATACAGAGCGGAAGACCTATCAGTGCTTGGATTGCTGGAAGAGCTTTTACACAAGCAAAGGCTTCCACCAGCATAAGATAACTCACAGTGGAGAGAATATCAATGCCAAGAGTGTGGAAAGAGCTTCAATCAGAAGGAAAATCTCACTTCACATGAAATAATTCATACAGAGTAGAAATCACATCAGTGCTTGGAATGTGGAAAGAGTTTCAGTAAGAGGGGCAATCTCACTTACCATCAATAAAATCAGAGAATTGTAGAGGTGGAAGGGACCCTGATTATCATCTAGTACAACCTCTGTGTCACAATATTGCTGGGCCCTCGGCTCAATCACGCAGCAAGCAGACTCCGTCAGTTTTCAAGCAGCTTTTATTATATACCATAATTACAGTCACTGCCACTCCCACAACTACCAACTCCTTTCAAGACATTGAGGCATCTGGGCTCTGATTCCTCCTCCAACAGGATGTCTTCCAGAAGCTCCCCTTTCGTTTCTGCGACTGACATTTTTCTTTGACCCCGGCTATCCTAGGAGCATGGGGAGATTCTGGCTGGTGTCCCACCCCTATCTCTGATGAATCATCCCTCCCCCAGTGGTGTTGTGAGACACCGCCCATTAATCCCTTGGCTTCCAGCCCTCTCTCACTTCCCTGAGAATTTATCTCTTCTTCTCTGGCAGAGGAGAAGAGATTTTGAGGGGGCTCGTCTTCAAATGGCTTGGAAGAAAGGAGAACTACTCCTTCCTCCTCTAGCTCTCTGTCTCTCTAGAGAGCTCTGTTTCTGATATCCTCCGACTCTTTATACCCATCCTTCTCTTCCTCTTCACTCTGGGGAGCTCCAGGTCTCCTCTCAGTCTCTTCTTCTCCAGGCTGAAAATGTGCAACACCCTCACCTGTTCCTCAAGAGCCTTGGTTACCAGACCCTGGTCCATCTTAGTTGCCCTCCTCTGCAAACTTCCCATCTTGTCAATATCTTTCTTAAATAGTGGCACCCATAATGGGATACAGTACTCCAGCTGTAGCCTGACCAAGGTAGAATAGTGTGGTACTCTGATGTCCCTCGATCAGCAGGGAGCAGGACTCACAGCCATAACAGCCTCTGACCTTTTCGACAATCTCAATGTTTTTAGATGGCCCTCTCAGGCCAGGTGGGAAAGGCCAGCAAGGAAGGGAGCAGGTCTTCCAGAACACACAACCAAGATGGTCTCTGGTCTTCTCAGCTGGCCTCAGACCTTGTAGCTGGAGTTCATCCGTCAGTCACTCCAGGCCCCACCCTCTTAGACCAGATGGGCAAGGCAGTGAGCAGGTCTTCTAGGACTCTTCAGCAGCCAAGGCCTCCATGGCTGGAGTCAGTCTGGTCTCCACCCTCCCAGGCATGCAAGACAGGGAACAGGTCTTCCAGGATTTGCAGCCAGTATGATCTCTGGCCTCTTCAGTAGAGACCATTGGAGGGTGGGATGGAATAGGAGAGTGGTGGTAATGTGAAGCAGGGCTGGTTAGATCAGTAGTAGAGAGACAACACTGTTTCTCATTGTTTTAGCTGTAAAGCAGTGGTTCCCAATTAGGGGTCCAGGGACTCCTGGAGGTCCACGGAACACACCCAAGGGCTCCACGGCACCATCCCCTGCCAGGGACTCACTTACCTTGTTGATTGCACAGTGGAAACCTTCTACAGATCATCCAGCTCCTGCTCACTGGGTGGGGGAAAACTTGTGAAAGTATAAATATATCTAAAAGACCACTGTAGACAGTTGAAATCATTGGCAGGATTACAAGGACACTTGTAAAGTGAAACAAACTTTGGTTATCATGATTATATAATAGATGGATAGCGGTAAAAGATGCAGGGGAAAAGAGAATTTTTTTAAAGAAATGGTACCCATGGAAGGAGGGAAGGAGGTCTCAAGGTTCAAAATAACCTTTTTTATTTTTATTTTTTGGAGTGGTTATGGTTATTGTGTATAACTTTATGAAAAACCAATAAAAATTATTTTTTTAAAAATGGGTGCACCCATTCTGTCTCTCTAAGAGTGTAAACTCTCTAGAAGCTCTGCTTGCCCCATGTTGCAGGAATTTATGCATAGGTTTGGGGGGGGTGTTGCCCCTCCAGCAGATATCATGCACATGCAGCCCACTACCAAAATCAACACCATCACTTTTGCGACTTTTGTGATTTGTCCCCACAAAACACTTCATCAAAGTGTCGATTCAAAGGGCCTTTGCTGCATACCAAACGCAAGAATTCGCTGATAAATGTCTCCATGTACTGGCTCACTGGGAAAACTTCATAAATTCCTATAGACATGTGAGCTCAGCTACTCAGCAGCCCCTCTGCCTGAGTGATAATCCCTGGCATCCTGATACCTGAGTGCCAGACAGGTAGCCATTCCAGAAATAACAAACCCAGATGAAGACAAAAGGGTGTGATTAACTTGGCCGGAAACAGGGAAATGTAAATGTCTCTTTTGTTCCACTTGATGGGTGTTTGGTGGAGAACAAGGGGAACCATGGGGCAGGGTCCAGGATGCTCAGATTCCTGCCACCAGACCTCCCCGTTCATGATGTCACAGTGATGTATGAGTGATGTAGTTGGGGGGGTGTAACATGGGGATTCGGGTGGTGTTGTGGTCTAAACCACAGAGCCTAGGGCTTGCCGATCAGAAGGTTGGCAGTTCGAATCCCCATGACAGGGTGAGCGCCTGTTGTTCAGTCCCAGCTCCTGACAACCTAGCAGTTCAAAATCACGTCAGAGGGCAAGTAGATAAATAGGTACTGCTCCGGCGGGAAGGTAAACGGCATTTCTGTGCACTGCTCTGGTTCGCCAGAAGCAGGTTAGTCCTGCTGGCCACATGACCCGGAAGCTGTACGCCGGCTCCCTCGGCCAATAAAGCGAGATGAGCGCCACAACCCCAGAGTTGTCTGCAACTGGACCTAGTGGTCAGGGGTCCCTTTTCCTTTAACATGGGGATTAGCAGCTAAAAAAAGTTTGGGTTCTCTTTTGTTCGGGGCTTCCATCTTGTTCCACCTGGTGGCAGGTGGGAGTCCTGTTGCAACAGTCTTCAATCAAGACCAAGCCAACTGGCTGCTCTTTTGCTCTGCTCTTCCTGGCTGGTGTCCTTGTTTTTTTCCCAAGGGAGCCCTCAGATTTCTCCATTAACACCCCTCAGTTCTTTGTGATAGTCCAGAATTACAAAGCTATTTCATGGGGTAGAGTCCACATGGCAGAAGGGGACACAAAACTCATTGCAGCACAGACCCTTTTTCTGATAGTACAAGCTGGGGAGGTGGGTTGTGGCCTCCCGGAAGTACCGTATTTTTCGCTCTATAGGACGCACCGGACCATAGGACTCACCAGACCATAGGAGGGGGAGAACAGGGAAAAAAAATTCTCCCCCTCTCTGTGCAGCGCCCCTTCAGTGAAGCGGGAGGAGAAATGGAAGGGGCTCTGTGAAGCGCCTCTCCAGCGAAGCGGAGCCTGGAGAGCAAGAGGGATCGGTGTGCACTGACCCCTCTCGCTCTCCAGGCTTCAGGCACCTATCCACGAGGCTTCGGAGTGCAGCAGGAACTCCTGCTGTGCTCCGAAGGCTTGCGGATAGCTGCCTGAAGCCCCCGGAGCGCAGCGGGAGTTCACACTGCGCTCCAGGGGCTTCAGGAGGCTTCAGCGAAAGCAATGCGAAGCCTCTGGAGCACGGGGGGAGCTCTCCCTCTGCGCTTCGGAGGCTTCGCGTTGCTATCGCTGAAGCCAAGGAACCTGCATTCGCTCCATAAGACGCACACACATTCCCCCTTAATTTTTGAAGGGGAAAAAGTGCATCTTATAGAGCGAAAAATATGGTAATACCAAATCCCCTCCACGGTCTGGAGCCAAAGTCAAGACCGTGAGCCTGAGCGTTCCCCTACACTGTACGGACAAGCATGACACAACCCTAAAACCCCAGACCTCTCTCTTTTGAGAAATCTACTGTTAAATGCATGCTTCCATGAAATACCATTATTTCATGAATGAACTCTGCATTTTCTGTGAATGGGCAACCACTGACCAATCAGGATTGTTAGATTTTGGCAGCCAGCCAATCAGATGTTGCAAAACAGCGGCCTCTGGTGTTTGGAGGGCGCAATGGGCAGGGCACCACTGCAATGCTTAGGCAGGGAAGGCAGCTCAGTCTTTGGCAGGTTGATTGAGCACCTCCTGCTGGGCAGACAATGGAAGGAGCTTCATAAAATGTCTCCATTCTGGTATGGGTTGCCCAGAAGTGGTACAATGTATCTTTTGAACTTGGCTGAAGGGGGAAACATACAAAATCTTCAGAAATTCACATAAAACCACTGCCTCAACCGCTTGGTTCCATTCCAATGGCATTTTCCTCCCACTGGGAAGGTGGATCTTCGGCACAGCCCTCCTCCATAATCCCACCGGCTTATGGTCACGTACACCTCACCCCTTCCCAGGAGGAAACAGAGTAAGGAACAGGAGGGGCAACAATGAACCAGGCAGAAATCCATTGGTGGAGGGAACTGGAACCAGATACTCTCAAAGCCCAAACTCAGGAAAGTCCGAAGGTAGAGAGAAGTGTAAAAGGTATATTTGTGATGTAACGATGAGGCTGTTCAAAAATGTATTATGGGAAAGGGGGGGAGAGGTCTTAAAAGTTCACACAACCCCATTCCTACTCCAGTGTGGTGTAGTGGTTAAGAGCAGTGGACTCGTAATCTGGGGAACTGGGTTCCTGTCTCTGCTCCTCCACCTGCAGCTGCTGGGTGACCTTGGGCCAGTCATACTTCTCTGAAGTCTCTCAGCCCCACTCACCTCACAGAGTGTTTGTTGTGGGGGAGGAAGGGAAAGGAGAATGTTAGCCGCTTTGAGACTCCTTCGGGTAGTGATAAAGCGGGATATCAAATCCAAACTCTTCTTCTAATTCTTCTTTGTGTGTTTGAATCTTGTTGCAACAAATAAAGATCAGGTCCACTGACCACTGTTTTGCAACTTTCACTTGGCTGGAGACTCCTTCTTTTGCTGACCGGAGGGACCCCCAGGGAGTGGCACCCTGACGAGCTGGGCAGCGAGTAAATCCACATGCCAGGTTTTTTTCCCTTATAAACTCTTTTCCACCTGAACTTCATCTCCTTACCTAAAAGCCTGACACCCGCAATGTGACAGGATTGTGACTCCTTCCCGCAGCAAACAAAATAGCTGTCCCCAGATGCGGAGGCTCAGGAAAGCTTCAGGGAGCTCAACAACCCCCCAAGAAAGCAAAAAGCTCAACAACTTTGGTCAATCCAATGGGTAGATCATTGCCTGGTTTTTTTAATAGTGAGTAGATAGCAGTCTCTTGGAAGTTGGACATGCCTGCTCTAGGAGACCCCGGGGGAGGTCACAGCAGGAGGGGGAATCTCTATGGATGCTTCAGCAGCCGGCCTCCTCTGGGTCTCCTGGCCCCCTCCTCTCCTTCCTCTGAGCCTGAACTGCTCTCTGCCCCAGCCTCTTCCCGCTCACCAAACCCTGTTTCCTCCTCAGCTTGCAACACCTCCCTTCCCATTCTGCTCCCTTTTCTCCCTCATTCTGCTCATCGCCATCCCACCACCAGTCCCTGGGCTCTGAGCCTTCTTCCCTTGTGGGTCCCCCAGCTTGTGCCTCCCCCCCCCCACCAGCCAGTCCATGACAGCAACAGAAGCCACAGCAGTAAAATCAGCGTGATGGTAATATGAACTGTGGGTCTCTGGTAGGAAAACTCCCTAGCAGCATGACTGAATAAAAACTTATGGAACTATGGAAAAGTACTCTCTTCCCCAAACCCCAGAATAAGGAGGAGCTCTGGGGTTGCCCCATGGGCTTCAGGAGTGAAGATGGGCCCATCAGGAGATTTCCCTGGTCCCTGCAGCCCCTCCGTTCCCCTCTTGCAATTAGGCTTGGGGGGAAATCACCCATTCAATTTCAGTATTTCAAGTTTTCGTCAGAACGCGCAGGAGGCAGCAATGAAGTTCTGGTGAAGAAGCAGTGCTTGGAGATCATGCGGTGGGGGGATGACAGAGTTTGGTGCAAAAACCGTCTTGCATGCTTGAGTAGAGCAACTCCAGGGCATGAGCCAAGTAGCAGCAGGGTAGGGGCCACATGTAGAGCAAGTCCCACACTGAGGTCAAAAACACACAGAGGCAGCAGGACTTCTTCAGTAATAGTTTACTGAGCTTTCAAAGCATACAGTTCTCACTGGGTCCCCAGTGAGGCACAAAACTTAGCTCCTGAGAGCAAATCCAGTTTCAGCAGTAGAAAAATACAGCATGCAGGATGTCTAAGTCAGGCACACACACCGGCAGAAGGGAGCAAGGGAGGAAAGAGGCTGGAAGGACACAGGGCAATGGAGGTGTGTCTTTCGCTTCCTGTCGTCTGGGAGGGAAGTCAGCAACTCAGCATCTGCAGGGGCTTCACGAAGAAAAGCTTTCTGCCGGCTGCTTCCAGGCAAATGAGCATCCCAGAAATCCAGATTCACCAACTCCACCTCACTATCAAAAGGTACCTTACATCTAAAATTATACTCACTAGAGTGAGACGTTACCTTCATTATTTCATTACTATACAGTTTTACCTATAAACAGCAGAACCTCAAATACATGACATGCTTTTAAGATGGATTTCCTGCTGAGTTCATTGCTGTGAACAAAAGAGTGGACTCTGAAAGGAACATGTTCCTCACTCCATACATCTAAATGGGTTCTCCTCTCTGAGTCCTTAGATGTTCCTTAAACACTCCATTATAACTAAAGCACTTTCTGCAATCTTTCCCTTTAAACAGCTTCTCCTCTTTGAGGGTTGAAGGGTTTGTAGGGTGTTGTCAGGGAACTGCCATCAGTGCTGGAGGGAGAGAGAGAGAGCTCCAGAGGGATCCCAGAGAGCATCACGGGATTGGGAGAGGTAGCCCATCTTCTGGGGAAGGGAATCAGCTCAGCTCCAGTGGAGAAGGGGGGGCAGATGGGGAATCTGAGAGGGAGTCACATGACTCCTTGCCTGGGACCAGTGGGGGGAGGAAGGGTCCTCCGCTGCCTACGCCTTCCTTGCGCAGAAGGCTTCCGCGCAGGGAAAGTAGGAGGCGACTGGGCGTGAAAGAACTTCTATGCTGGAAGAAGTTTAAGAAACGCCCACTGACGGATTCTGCCAGCGATTGAGACAGCCACGGGTGAGTGGCTGTCCGGACAGAAAAGGTTCACTTAGGCAACCCAGCCAGGTGTGGGCACCAGCTTACGCACGAGCAACCCCTTGAACCACTACAGGTGTCAACTGTTAAAGTTCTTCCTGTCCATGAGTCTGTTGATGTAGGACTTCCACTAGGACTGAACCTCAATATACTTTCCTGACGTTTATATGGTTTGTCTCTTGTGGGAGTTTGTTGATGTAAATCAAGGATTCCACTCTGACTGAAGCTCCTTCCACACACCATGCATTTATATGGTTTCTTCCCTGTGTGTCTGCTGATGTTTTCTAAGATTTCCACTTTGACTGAAGCATTTTCTGTACACCACACCTTTAAATGGTTTCCCCCTTGCCTGTGTGAGTCCGTTGATGTGTTCTAAGGGTAGATGTGTAACTGAACCTCTTTCCGCACTCCATGCATTTAAATGGTTTCTCCTTTGTGTGAGTCCGTTGGTGTAATTTAAGGCTTCCATTCTGATTGAAGCTCTTTCCACATTCCATACATTTAAATGGTTTCTCCCCTGTGTGAATCAGCTGATGTGTTCTAAGGGTAGATGTGTAACTGAAGCTCTTTCCACACTCCATACATTTAAATGGTTTCCCCTCGCCTGTGTGAGTCCGTTGATGTGATCTAAGGGTAGGATTGCAACTGAAGCTCTTTCCACACTCAATACATTTAAATGGTTTCTCCCCTGTATGAGTCCGTTGATGTATTCTAAGATTTCCAATCTGCCTGAAGCTCTTTCCACACTCCATACATTTAAATGGTTTCTCCCCTGTGTGAGTCAGTTGATGTTTTCTAAGGTGTGCACTCTGACTGAAGTCCTTTCCACACTCCATGCATTTAAATGGTTTCTTCCCTGTGTGAGTCAGTTGATGTTTTCTAAGGTTTGTATTGAACCTGAAGTCCTTTCCACACTCCATACATTTAAATGGTTTCTCCCCTGTGTGAATATTTTGATGTTTCGTAAGGCTTCCACGATCACTAAAGCTTGTTCCGCACACCATGCATTTAAATGGTTTTTCCCCTGTATGCGTCCGTTTGTGCATTCTAAGGCTTCCACTCTCACTAAAGCTCTTTCCACACTCCATACATTTAAATGGTTTCTCCCCTGTGTGAGTCCGTTGATGTGATCTAAGGCTTCCAATCCGACTGAAGCTCTTTCCACACTCCATACATTCATGTGGTTTCTCCCCTGTGTGAGTCCGTTGATGTAATCTAAGGCTTGCACTGAAACTGAAGCACTTCCCACACTCCACACATTTATATGGTTTCTCCCCTGTGTGAGTCCGTTGATGTGATCTAAAGCTTGCATCATAAGTGAAGCACTTCCCACACTGCACACATTTAAACGGTTTCTCCCCTGTGTGAGTTCGTTGATGTATACTTAGAGCTCCACCCTGACTGAAGCTCTTTCCACACTCCATACATTTAAATGGTTTCTCCCCTGAATGCCTCTGTTGATGTTTATTGAGGTTTCCAATTTGACTGAAGGCCATCCCACATTCCGTACATGTAAATAGTTTCTCCCCTGTGTGAGTCCGTTGATGTATTCTAAGTGTATCTCTTCGACGGAAGCTCTTTCCACACTCCATACATTTAAAAGGTTTGTCCCTTTTGTGAGTCCGTTCGTGTAATTTAAGGTGTCCCCTCTGACTGAAATTCTTCCCACACTCCATACATTCATATGGTTTTTCACCTGTATGAGTCCGTTGGTGTAATTTAAGGTTTCCATTCTGTCTGAAGCTCTTCCCACACTCCTTGCATTCATATGGTTTTTCATCCATGTGAGTCCGTTTGTGTAATTTAAGGCTTCCACTCTGATTGAAGCTCTTCCCACACTCCATACATTCATATGGTTTTTCACCCGTGTGAGTCCGTTCGTGTAATTTAAGGTTTCCATTCTGATTGAAGTTCTTTCCGCACTCCATGCATTTAAATGGTTTCTCCCCAGTGTGAGTCCGTTGATGTTTTCTAAGGCTTCCACTATCACTAAAGCTCTTTCTACACTCCAGACATTCATATGGTTTTTCACCCGTGTGAGTCCGTTCGTGTAATTTAAGTTGTCTACTCTGACTGAAGTTCTTCCCACACTTCCTGCATTTGAATCCTTTCTTGCCCATGTGAGTCCGCTGATGTGTTCTAAGTTTTCCACTGTCAGTTAAACTCTTTCCACTCTCCATACCTTTAATTGGTTTCTTCCCCGTTTGAGTTCGTTGATGTGAACTATGTGTGCTCATTCAGTGAAGCATATTCCACATTTCACACATTTCAATGGCTATTCCTAATAAAACCAAAGGTGCCCCATCCTCCAGAATTCTGACGTTCTTCTCCATCACCATCTTCAGAGTGGGAGGAAAGGAAATCCTGTTTGGGTTTCAGGGGAGAGAGTGCAGGAAAAAAAGGCACATCAAACTCCATTAACAACTTTTCTTATTTCAACATCTCCTACATTCTTCCACATCCTACCCATGTTCCCAATTTTTAGGAAATGAAAATGCAATGATGTCAAATGATAGTAATGCATCAGCAACCTTTCATAATCCTCAATCATCATTAATAAAGCAGTATGATTTTGGAATACCATTGTCCTGTGACACTGCCTTTCAAATTAAGTGGTTCCCTCCGTTAGCACCTCAAGATCTTCATAAATCACCTGCATAGTCCCTCTGGCCTCAGGAGGTCCATATGGACTCAATCTGAATTTGACCAGACACATGTTAGAGCTCAACATTGAAGGTTAACAACAGGAAGATTTAAAGGAACTATTGGAAAGACTATTTAAGGTAGCAGAGATATGGGATGATCAGAGCCCCCCGAACTTGAAACATGGGAAGTCCCAACAAAAAAAATATAATTTAGGCAGAATATTTGGACTATTTGATATGTATTTGTATAATTTGGAACATTCAATGTGATTTGATTGGATTGTTAAAATGGGAAACTTAATAAAAACGATTAAAAAAAAAAGAGCTCAACATTGAGTCTACCAAGTGGCAATAGGGATGGCAAAGACGACCTTCTTCACCACCTCTACTGCATCTGCAGAAAACAGCAGCAGGAGACTCTTTCAGGTGGTTCGCAATTTAACGGAACCACTTGCTCCATTGGGGCCAGGTAAGGCCCCCAAGATCTCCTGCAATGATTTTGCAAAGTTTTTTTGCAGATAAAGTCGCTCAGATTCAGAAAGAGGTAGACTCCACCATGGGAGCAGGGCCAGGGCGGGAGAGTGCTGGAGTCCTGCCTAGTCAAGCTGTGTGGGATCAGTTCCAATCTGTTACCCCCGAGGATGTGGACAGGCTGCTTGGACGAGTGAAACCAACCACCTGTCTCTTTGATCCTTGCCCATGCTGGCTCATAAAAGTGATCCAGGAAGGTCTGGGCGATAGGCTCTGTGGGGTGGTGAATGCTTCCCTCTGTGAGGGAGCCTTCCCAGACCAGCTGAGAGAGGCGGTTATTAAAAAGTTTCTTTAAAAAAATCTTTAGATGCAGCCGATATGGCCAACTATCGCTCAGTTTCAAATCTTCCACTCTTGGGCAAGGTGATTGAGCGATTGTTTGCTGAACAACTCCAGGCACGCCTGGAGGATGCAGATGATTTCGATCCATGCGAATGATACTCAGCTCTACCTCTCTTTTAAATTGGAACCAGTGTAGGCAGTCAATGTCCTGTTTGGGTGCCTGAAGGTTTTTGGAGGATGGATGGCGGCTAACAGATTGAGGTTGAACCCTGACAAGACAGAAGTACTGTCCCTGGGGGACAAGGGTGGGCACGTGGGGGGGATCCCTGGTCCTGATGGCGTAACTGTGGCCCTGAAGGACCAGGTGCACAACCTGTGAGTCATTTTGGACTCACAGCTGTCCATGGAGGCACAGGTCAATTCTGTGTCCAGGGCAGCTGTCCACCAGCTCCATCTGGTACGCAGCATGAGACCCTCCCTGCCCGCAGACTGTCTCGCCAGAGTGGTGCATGCTCTTTTTATTTCCTGCTTAGACTACTGCAACACGCTCTTTGAAGGTGATCCGGAAATTGCAACTAATCTGGAATGCAGCAGCTAGACTAGTGACTGGTAGTCGTCACCTAGACCATATAACGCTGGTCCTGAAAGACCTACATTGCCTCCCAGTACATTTCCAAGCAGAATTCAAAGTGTTGGTGCTGACCATTAAAGCCCTAAAGGACCTCAGCCCAGTATACCTGAAGGATCGTTTCCACCCCCATCGTCCAGCCCAGACACTGAGGTCCAGCTCTGAGGGCCTTCTGGCGGTTCCCTCCCTGTGAGAAGCAAAGTTACAGGGAACCAGGCAGAGGGCCTTCTTGGTATCGGAGCCAGCCCTGTGGAACACCCTCCCATGAGATGTCAATATAAATAAACTATCTGACTTTTAGAAGACGTCTGAAGGCAGCCCTGTTTAGGGAAGTTTTTAATCTTTAATGTTTTATTCTTTTTTAAATTTCTGTTGGGAGCCACCCAGAGTGGCTGGGGAAACCCAGCCAGATGGGCAGGCTATTATAAATTATTATTATTTTGGGATTCCCAGGTCTGCGTCTTTTCTGGGGACTGTGGTCTGGGTCAGTCAGAGAACTAGTGACAAGGCTTGGTGCTTGGGGTCAGCTGAATGGGTGCTCAGGGAAGCTCCTGTTCTTGGAGATGGACCTCTGTCTACATGCCTCACATTGCATGGAGAGAGCAGGAGAAGCAGAAGGAAAGCAGATGGCAAATGGGAATCCCAGATGGAAACACCCACCCAATGGTTCTTTATAATGATGATGTGCTGCCTGATCCTGTGCTCGTCTTCTGACAGAGGACTATACTAACCTGGCACTGAAAAGCAGGATATTCAAGGCAAAGAGATAACTGTACTTAATGGAAACTTCATCCTTGAATATATAGTATTGATTCATTAATGGCCTGAAGTCGTGTTATTTCTGGAGACATGAATTTCTTCCTGTTCTGTCTCAAGTATCATAATTATATGATGTCATGGGCTGTTAGGGGAGCGGTAGTACCTTTGGTGGGGGTCACGTCTTGCACCTTATGGGGTAATCTATCCACCATTGGTGCCCACCCTGCACTCAGCTCTCACCTGTGGCTTCTAGAAGCTGTCAGGATGCAACAGGGGCCACAATCCCAGGAATGGCTCACCGGCCGGCAAAAACAGGTGAGGATAGCTGATGGGTCTCAAATCCTTGGTGGGTTGGGGAATTCTGCTGCAGGAGAAGGCAGGCCCTGGTGGATGGAGAGGATGAGAACAACAGTGAATCCCACAGTCAAGAAGGCAGATTCTGCCCGTGCTGAAGAGGAAAGTGAAGGGCAGGTGGGGCACATCCACCTGGGAAGGGAGCCCATCGAGAAGGAAAACTCTGGTCCTAAACCTTCACTGCCTCTTGAGTTGTCTTCAGGAGAAGAAAAGGCTATGGAAGGAAACCCACACAAATCCAGAGTGGAGTCTCTAAGACAGTTGGATGGTGTCCTGCACACCTTCTTCATTCAACTCCTGCAGCCAAGCTGGTGCCCAACCTACTGCTCTGCTTTCCTTGGCACCATATCAGCCAGGCTGAGAAGGGGGTCTGGTAGTCTAGGCAGCCCAGAACCCCCAAACACACTGCCCAGACATCCATCCGGTGGCCCCTTCAAAGCTTTTAAAAGTATTGCAGCTGAAGCTGTTGTGGGCTGCAGGACCAAGAAAGGTCCTGCCACCATTATCCTTCCAATCGTGATTCAAGCCACATAATGAGATTGAAACTGCCCTGGTTGATGATCCATGATGGGTTAGAGGCTGAGGGGGAAGCTATCTCCTGGTTCTGCTGGATCTCAGCGGCTTTGGAGACCTCTGACCATAGTATCCCTCTGGACCCTCTAGGGGAGCTGGGGCCCTGTTATACGGTGGTTCCCCTCCTTCCTCCTGGGCCGTGTCCAGAAAGTGGTGTTGGGGGATGAGTGTTCCTACCCCTGTGTGCTCCCCTATGCTTTTTAATATCTATATGAAGCTGCTGAGAGAGATCATCAGGGGGTTTGGCTTGGGTGTTCACCAGTATGTGGATGATACCCAGCTCTTCCTCTCTTTTAAATTGGAACCAGTGAAGGCAGTGAATGCCCTGTGTGGCTGTCTGGAGGTGATTGGAGGATGGATGGCAGCTAACAGATTGAGGTTGAATCCTGACAAGACAGAAGTACTGCCCCTTGGTGACAGGGGACAGACAGGTGTGGGCGACTCCCTGGTCCTTGATTTTGAACTCACAGCTGTCCATGGAGGTAATTTCTATGTCCAGTGCAGCTGTCTACCAGCTCCATCTGGTGCGCAAGCTGAGACCTTCCCTGTCCGCTGACTGTTTTGCCAGAGTAGTCCATGCTCTGGTTATCTCCTGGTTAGACTACTGCCATGTGCTATACATGGGGCTACCTTTGAAGGTGACTCAGAAGCTGCAACTAATCCAGAATGTGGACCTAAACTAGTGACTGGTAGTAGCCGCTGAGACCACATATCACTGGTCCTAAAGGATCTTCCTTGGCTCCCAGTGTATTTCTCAGCACAATTCAAACTGTTGGTTCTGACCTTTAATGTGTCATGGTCTTCTGCTGGTTCCCTCACTGTGAGAAGCGAAGTTCCAGGGAACCAGGCAGATGGCCTCCTGCCCCATGGAACGCCCTCCCTTCAGAGGTCAAGGAAATGAGCAACTATCTGACATTTAGAAGGCAGCTGAAGGCAGCTCTGTATCGGGAGGTTTTTAAATTTGGATGCTTTACTCTTTCTTATATGTTCTGTAAGCTGCCCAGAGTAGCTGGGGAAACCCAGCCAGGTGGGCGGGGTATAAATGCAATTGTTATTATTATCTTGTGACATTTTGTAGTTATTTTGGAATTTGTACTGCAATATTAGCTTACGAAATGTTATGGGTGGAGAAAATCACAGGGTTGCCGTAAATTATAATCTCACCCACAAACTCTCATTCACACACAGTCTGTAAATTTGGGAAGGTCACACACTTCACCTGTGCTAATACTGGCAGTCTTTGGCCTGCACAGGCACACCCAATGTGTAAGCCTCCAGCCACAGGCACTGTCTATCATGAAAATGGGTCCTTTGACTGGGAAGATTCGTGCAATGGCTGTCATCAGATGCTGATAGGTTGTATCTCAGCTTGTCAGTCACTCTGACATTGCCTACAAAGAATAAGAGGAACAGAAATGCTTTCGAGGTGCAACTTCTCTATCAGCCCTGAGAGCCATTCCATGGACTCTGCACCCCTGTTTCTGATGACAGGTGTCCATTATCCTCATCCTCAATGAACCAGGCAGTGGAAACTACACTTAAAGATGGAAGCCTGAGAGAGAGGAAAAGGTTTCTGGCTGCTTCCTGGGTGGGATTGCGGAAACAAAGAGCCGCTTCTGAGAAGGCCTCTCCCCTCCCCTCTTCCACTCGGGATTTCCTCTCCTCTCCAGGGGACCAGTGGTTGGACTGGGCAGAAGCGCTGTGTCTGGACAGGCAGGGGCTTATGGGGTGGAAGGAGGATGTAGGTTGCAGGAAGGAAGGAGTGGGGGGACAGGACCCCCAACTATCCAGGGATCCCTCTCTGGTCTCCTTGAAGGTCTCCTTCCTAAGCAGGAGGGAGAGGCCTAGGTGGCCCTTCCGGAGATTCCCCTTGGGTGCCACGATGGAGACGTCTCCTCCCCACTTCCTCGGCCCCCTCCTTTTCTCCCAGAGTCTCCCCTGCATCCTGTTATAAGAATTTTAAGGTCATAAATAATAATAAAAATGTTCATAACTGTATATATAAACCACATGTCTGAAACCCCACAGAAAAGGTCTTGCACAAATTGACCTCAAATATTTCTCTGCAAGATCAAAGTGGGAAACCTCCCCATTGTCTCTTTCCTCACAAATCCTGTCTAAAGGGCACATTCCAGATATGAACAGGATGTGAGCCTGTGACCTGTGACCTAGATTAAGGAATTAAGTAGTTATAATAACAAGAGTGGCCAAAACCCAGATATTTCTGTTGTAGACCACCTTTTCTGTGTTGTATGTATGATGTTTCTGGGGGTGGTCTTGGACTCCAGGGTGGGCAATTTAAAATGTCTATATAAGGGCGGGCACACCTTTGTTCTGGGTCCTCCTCTCTCCTGCATGTGGTGAGTGAGGACCCTGTTAACAGTTGCCATGAATCTGATTTAAACTGATTTTATAATGAAACGATTTCAGAATGTTGTCTGTTTTACTGTTGTTAGCCGTTCTGAGCCCAGCTTCGGCCGGGGAGGGTGGGATATTATTATTATTATTATTATTATTATTATTATTATTATTATTATTAAAGATCAGGCTTACTAGCTGCTTTGCTTCTCAGTATTCTCTGGTTGGTCTCTGTTAATTTTCTCCTACAGATAGAGAACCTACAAAAGGCCTCTATATGGGCTCTTGGGTAAAAAGGAGCAGTTTTTTAAACTTATATTAACCCAAAGACCCCACGTGTCTCGGCTCACCCCTCGCCGGGCGGTCCCATCTCTCCATCCAGAGGGGGCCACCAACACGCGCAAGGGACTGGCAGGGGGGTCTCTATCCAGGGGGCCTCTCTCGCGCCAGTTAACCTTCCCATAGCCCGCCTCTCTCCGCACGGAGCCAGTGGAAACGGGGCAAGGGACGCTCGTGGGGACCCCCTGGGTGCGCGCCCCATGTCCGCCCCTGCCAAGGCGCCTAAGGGGCCAAGGAAAGCCTCCTTCGCAGCACGCGTGCCGGGATCCAGGCCCTGCCACGGGGCCCACGGAAGGCGCTTGTGGGAGCTGGCGGGGGTCTCTGGGTCCTTTTCTCCCCTCTCCCCCCCCCGCAACCCCTTTACCTCTTTGTCCTCGCTCCCGATTCTCCTGTCCTTTCCTCCAACATCCACCGGGGGGTGTGTCCGAAAGCGCGCGCCCCTAGAGCTACGGGGCAGAGCAGCAATCCGGAGTGGAAGCTCCACTTCCGGGAGAAGAAGGCAGTTTGGGAGGGGGATACCTCCCCCCCCCCATTCCTGGAGCAGAAGCTGAATTGGAGGAGGAGGAGGAGGAAGAGGAGGAGGAAGGGGTGCAACGTATGGGGGGCGGGATCTGGGGTTGTGGGGGCGGGGTGAGAGGAGGATGTGCCGGGAGGGGAGGGAAAGAATTGAGTCGGGGAGGAGAGGAATGTTTTTCCCCTCCCCTCTTCCTTCTGCGATCAGGAGAGCGGGCTGATCCCGGGAATCCAACTACAAAGCGGGGTCCCCCCCTCAATGTTTACGTTGCAAAAACCTTCCTTCCCCCACGCCACGAAGTTAGATCCGTCCATGTTTTGGTGCACATTGAGCAGCAAGTTGGGCTCTGTGGCTCCTGTGTTACGGGAAAAATGGGGCACACACACACATCCCGACACCCAGGTAAAATTCTTCCCTTGTGTCTCCCTCAGAGGTCACACAATGAGGCCAGGAAGAAAGCAAGGCAGCTGTTGATCTGTTTGCGCGCAGAGGCCCCCCCCCCCCATGGAAGGAGTGAAGCAGCCCAGAAGTAAAGCGCGTTGCAATTTGGACACCCTCAGATAGTAGCCCCGCCCCCCCCCCGGTCACAGAGAGAGCACCCCAGAAACATCCCCGGTTGTGCCACAAAGTGAGTTGTATCTGGAAATCAGATCAGACTCCGAGTTCATGTTTTGGCAACATGACAAGTCTGTCTGTCAACCGGGATGCCTGACGATTCCTGCTCGCTGCCTTTTCCCGGCCAGCCTGAGAGATCACTGGAAAGGGTGGATTTCTTGACTCCAGAATCCATCATCGCAGACCCGTTTCATTCAGACCCAGAGATCTGCTCTTTGGACCAGTCTGCTTGGATCATGTGGATCATCACTGGATCATCCATGATGCCATACCCGTCTCATGGGGGGGGGGGGGGCTCAGGAAGAATCTCCCGCCACGTGACTGGGGTCAGACAGGGCTGCTGTTTTGCTCTCTGTTCTGTTTTAGCTCAGGTTTTCCTGGCAGAAGTTCTATTTCATCAAGAAATGGGTGGATTCATTGAGGAAACGGGGCTACGTTGTAAAGAGGCAAACGTGTATACTTTGTAACCATCCAGTGAGTTGTGTTGCAAAGGCCATTTGCAGAAAGGCTCCTATTGCGGCTACATGCCGGAGTTTGGGTGTTTTGTGGAAATGTGTCTGTGTAAATGCACTCATCCCCGTGCATTTATAATGGCATGACATTAAATCCCATGAGATCCACAAGCACCAGAACCATAAGCCCACATAGGAGTCCAAAAGCACAGAACGAAGCAGCCCTTTATCTCTGTGTCGTTGGCTATTAAAAGCTGGATGTCCAACAACAACAAGAACATTGTCTCTGGGCAGCTTCCAAAAGAATAGAAGAAAACATGACCCAACATGAAATATTAAAAGCTTCCCGATACGGAGCTGCTTTCAGGCGTCTGTGGAGGTTTGTCTCCTTGACATCTGGTGGGAGGGCGTTCCACAGGGCAGTCACGACAACCGAAAAGGGCCCCTGTAACCTCACTTCTCGCACTGAGGGACCTGCCAGAAGACCCTCGGAGCTGGACCTCCGTGTCCGGGCTGAGCGATGGACGTGGAGACGCTCCTCCCCTTCTACTGGGCTGAGACCATTTAGGGCTTTCAAGGTCAGCGGACCTGGAGCCCATGAAGATTTCTTGGGACCCGTGTTCCAGCAGGGACCAGCTGTTAGGGGGCCTTTCAGCTGCTGTCCAAAACTGAATGTATCCCTTGCCGGAAGTAATCCATAAACCTCTCCTGCTCCGCCTTCTCGGGATGCCATTGGTGCGCGATGCTCCGGCTCTCGAGAGAGGGAGAGGCGTGAGTTGGGTTGCCAAGGGTTAAACGGAAACGAGCTAGATTCCTAGACAGGAAAGTAAGACGGGGAGGGGGAGCAGGGTCCTCCAGAGCGAAAGCCCAATCCCCCCCTTCCCTGCAAGAAGTCGGGCGTGTGGGGGTCCCCTTGGTTCGGCTCTGCAGAGGCTGCCTGGGGGCGCCTGCTGGGATCCGGTGAGTCTCCTCTCTCCCAGCATAGGGCCCATGGGGAGAGCGGGGGTCCCAGCGCTGCATGGCGAGAGGGGGGCAAGTCAGGGCGCGGAGGGTCGCAGGAGGGCGGCAGCTCTGCTCTTCCTTTCCATGGATGCGCTGCTGGCCCCTTGGGGAGGGGTCTGGGGTCCAGGAGCAGGGAAATGCATGCAAATAAACCCCATTCAGATGTATGGATCAGTCCCCTTTTATAACAGAGGTCGTCCGCGGATGGAAACATCCGGACATGAAATATACCCTGGTCCCTAAAATCTCACCTGTGCAAGGAAGGAAGACGGAGGGCAGAGAAGAGAAAGCGCTTCCTCTTGCAGGGCAGAGTAAAACCTGTGGAACTCCCTCCCACAAGA